ACAGGAGTTTACTGCTGCCACTTGGAATGAGCTGCAGCTCCAGCGGGCCCCGGGGTGAAAGATCAGGAGAGCGAGGCCAAAGAAAATGAACCGACGCTGCAGAATGAGAGGGAGAGGGTTCTAGATCAACAGGTGAGTCATCCAAGCACCAGCAGAGAACAGCATGAAGCGCTAACGCTGCCAACTCCAGCGCCGCTAAACACCTGATCGAACCAGGATCGAGACATGAAAATCTGTGAGCCAATCAGCTTCAGACCAGGTGAATACCTGTTTCTGATTGGCTGCAGGGTGTCAACTCATGAGAGTCCTGATGAAACTGCTCACTGCACTGGTTTACATCCCTCTGTATCCCAAATAGGTTACCATGGTAACAGGGGAATTTGTTAACAACCTTTTTCTGCAAAGGAACAAGGTTTGACTTAAAGGGATATTCCGACGTAAAATCAATTTAGAGTCAAACCCACCGTAACACCGAGTTAGACACTTTAGTAATGACCGCAGGATAGCAATACAGAGAGCCACGCCCCCAACCAAAACGCCACTCTATAGCCACAGATAATGCTCAGAACAGCACCTAACTTCATCAACAGGACATATAGGGTCACAGACATAGTACTAGACACCAAACATCTTTTTAACTTTGACTCATTTCTTTAGCAAAGAGACTAAACACAACTCACCTACTCTCTTCCAGCAGCTGTTTGTTTGTAGAGAGACCTCAGGCCAGTCCATTACAGACTACAGCGGGGTGACGCAGCTCAAGGAAGAACATTTATGATCATTTCTTTATCATTTCCTTGAAGTAATAATCACCATATTGATCATTTTACAGACGCAGTAGTTCTTCTGTCTCAGCGTCTCGGTCTGATTGTATTTCCATGAAGAAATGATCATAAATGTTCTTTCTTGAGCTGCGGCACCCCGCTGTAGTCCATAATAGACTGGCCTGAGGTCTCTCTACAAACAAGCGTCTGCTGGAAGAGAGTAGGTGAGTTGTAGGTGGCTGGGAAGTTAGGTGCTGTTCTGAGCATTATTTGTGGCTATAGAGTGGCGTTTTGTTTGAGGGCGTGTCTCTCTGTATTTCTATCCTGCGGTCGTTACTAAAGTTGGTATAACTAGAGAATCAAGCGGTCGACAACATTCATCTCTGGAGGGGGGGTCTAACTCGGTGTGTTTGACCTTAAATTAATTTTACGTCAGAATATCCCTTTAACTCATTAGTTCCCATGCAAAGACGACACTCCTGGGCTTTTCTTAAATAATAGCAGCTGCTCAACTAAAGTGTCACGTGATCATAAATAGTTCCTAGATGGACAGTTCCCAAAAGTCTCGAGTCCGTCTCTGAGCCTGGACAGGTTTTGTTCGGTTTGGATAAAAAGCAGGAAAAAGGAAAACAGTCAGAGCAGAGAGACCACAGTTCCCCACGGTTCCCCACGGTGTGGAAATCATGCAGAACTGAAGTAGGATGAACCTGACACAGGACAGACACCAGAGGACAAAGCAGAGGTGCTTCATCAGGACTAACGCAGCTGCACACGGACGACACTCTGGCGTCCACATACAGAAGACATTCTGTGTCAACAGGCAGGGCGTTGTCCCCGATGATGAGGCAAATCTCTGAGGCTCCCTGCTGAAAGCATCTTGGCACAAACATAACGATTACTTTCCCTGGCAGCAAAACAAAGCGGTGGACTCCACCCTCTCCGCCTTTATACCTTTAGACTCCGACTTATTCTTCTTGCTTAACTGTTGGCGCTCTTCCCCCGCTGGAAAACCGGCTGCTGCTTCTGTGTCACGCAGACCCAGCAGAGCCGCTAGTGCGGTTAACTTTAACCAACTGAACCGAGTCTATGGAGATGGTTTATCCACCTTTTCCCTCCCTGAAAAACAGCATTAAATAAAAAGTTCAAAGGTTAAAGAAACTAGAAAATAAATCCACTTTTATAATGAATCTTTTTATTGTTTCATTGCAGCATTTTGCACAAACAGAAAAAATACACCATCGTTGTTCTTGTGAATTTGCACATAAACAGATAAAATCTCTCATGACAAACATGAAGTATCAAAAAAAAATTAACAGGCATTCATGTACAACCGATCGAAGGTCCCATTAGTTTAAAAAAAAGGAGAAAAATATTAATATTATAATAATAGGAAATAAAACAAACAAATATTTACAAAGTTCTCTGTTTAAACTACACTTATGTACACAGCGGGGGGTCGGCGCTCGCACCTCAGGAGACGGGACAGAAGTGTTGAAATAAATCTGCGACTTTCACTCCGACACGAATAAACACGAAGAAGAAGAAGAAGAAGAAGAAGAAGAAGAAATGTGGAGCCTGAAGATCTGCTTGTTAAGTTTGTGGTTTTAAAAATAAGATTTGTAGAAAAAAAAAAAACTACAAAACGGGAACAACATTCTTTTTTAAACAATGGCGCAGACTGGCAGGTCGAAAACTTACAATAACCAAAGAGCACCCCCTGGTGGAGTGGAGGTATCCTAAGGTCGAGTTGAAGCAGGAGTGCACTTATTATTTTAGATTAATGTAAAACCATAAATCACCGACACGTGTTAAAGTTTTTCTCTGGCTCTGAGGTAAAGTTATTGATCGCTCCTCGCTCCGACGGAAGACGTTAAAGTCCAGTTACGACCTTCAATTACTGGAAAATTGTATGGGTTTTTTTTGTTCTTGCAATTTTCATTTATTTATTTATTTATTTATGGTCTCAAACTAAATCTAAAAATCTAGAGTAAAAAGGTCGGCTATACAGCAGGACAAATTTCTGTAAATTACGATTATTCGTTCCGTTAAAAATCCAGTTACGACCTTAAATAACTGGAAATTTTTCTGTAAGTTTTTTCTTTTTCTTGTATTTGCAATTATTTTTAAGGGGATTTTTTAATTTTATTTACAGCCTCAAACTGCATCTTAAAATTTAGAGTATAAAGGTCAGCCATACATGTGGACAAATTTCTGTAAATTATGATCGTTTGGTCTGTAAAAAGTCCAGTTAAGATTTTAAATAACTGTAAAAATTTCGGTGTCGTATTGTTTAAGTTTTCTTTTTCAAGCTGTTTTGTTTGTTGTTTTTTTCATTTACAGTCTCAAACTGCATCTTAAAATTAAATTTTTGAATTACGATTATTCGTTTTGTAAAAAGAGTAAAAATTAAACATTTTCTTCAGTTTCTCGGTTCGTTCCTTTGAGTGGCGCCGAGTTTTCGGCGCTCTCAGATCTCATTACTCAATCAGGTAAACTCGTCGGTGTTGTACATTAAAACAATCCGGAGCGATTCCGTCACACATGGTCTGTTTTTTTATCTGAAGCTGAAGAGTAAAACAAATACAGGAGAAAAAAAAAAAAGAAAATAATGACACTGTATTGAAACCACAAACTGTCGTCAGAGCTGGGTCGCCGTGGAAACAGGTAATGTCATGAAAACAAACATTGGCAAAAGGCTGTGAGCTCGACAGGTCGTACCTGTGCTGAAACAAGCAGAACCAGGTGATCATGAACTTTTCCATGGAGGGTTCTGGATGATTATTCCTTAAAGGGAGATTACGTAGAATATCGCTCGACATATTAACATGTAAAAACAAAAGTCAAGTATAAATCTCAATACATTCGTCGTGTTCTCAGACACACAATCACACACGTTACGTTACAAACAAGTATTTACAAAGGCAGTGTGAGGGGAGGGAGGGAGGGAGAGCGCCCTCCGTTAAAGTTCATACCTGGAGAATAAAAAAGGATCAGCTGACGGAGCTGAGGATGGAGGTCTGCAGGAGAACTAACAGTTCGTTCAGAGGAGAGGGAGTCCAGAGGGGGTTCCACAAGTCCTGGAGGCGCTTTAGAGCCCGACACCACAGTTCAGACGGCCGCCGCTCCTGCAGCCAGTGATGCACGTGTGTTTATGTTTGTGCGTTTGTGTTATACTTGGAGCCGTGCACGTTCTAAATCAACATGTGTTCAGTGACGACAACAGACGCCAAAATCATCTCTGAGCTCCTGGTGGATCATCAGCTCCGGTGCTGAGCGAGGACGGATCGATTTAACCGAAGAAAAAGAGAAAAGAGAAAGAAAACTCTGAGAGGATGAAAGTGTCACGTGTTAGAGCTCGCCATGGCGGTCCCTTTTCGCTTTTACTTGGTTTCATAAGAAGGTGAACTGATGGCTCCATGTAATCTGAGCCTGTTGCTCACACATCTAACCGGGTTTGTCGCCCAGATTTGTAGATTTCTTTACTGCCAAGATGATGCAAAAAACAGCCGCCATGGAGCAACACGAGGGATCGGTCCGTGTGATGTAACTTCTGCCGCGTGGAGGATCATGTTAGGGTTTCTCAGAGGACAATGGTGGATTCAACGCCGAAGACATGCTTACACCAAATATCTCATTTTGATGAGCGGAAGACTACAGCCGTCCTCAGGTAAATAAAACCTTCTTGTTCGAGGACATCTAAGTTTTTATTCCACTTTTTTTTGGTTGTTTTTTCCAAACTAACAGCAGCTGTTTGGTATCGTAAACAAAGGTTTTAACAGAGTTTGAGGTCCAAATTAAACCGGATCAGTAAAGAGACTCTGACAGAAAGTGATCAGTAAAGATCCAGATGTGGAAAAGTGATTTATCGATGATGTGCTCTGGAGTTTATGAGCATCGATGTCGCCTTCATGGATTCAGATAAAGCCACGTGTTTCGTTTCTTTTACGTGTTTTTAATTCATGTTTGTGTCTCATAGTCTCATATATATACTATAGTTATATAGTAAAGGAGAGTTATTTTTCTGCAGGTTCGGGTCAAAAAGGTACGATACTGAATTCTGACGCAGCCTCCATGACTCTGAGGAAAAGTTTCCTGTTAACAAACACGACTTCCTGTCTTTGGACTCGGTCTGTTTCCACCAGAGCGCAGAGATGATTTCGTCTGTTCCTGATTAATGCACAGGTGAAGTGTGTGTTTAAGTGTGTTTACATGTGTGTATGCACAGGCGTATCCGTGTTAGTTCTGATGGCGTTTCATGTGCAGGGCCAGGTGATCGGAGCGGGAGAAGCAGCGGCTGCAGGCGACGCACTTGAAGGGTTTGGCTCCGGTGTGTTTCCTGTAGTGTCGGGTGAGCTCGTCCGATCGGGCGAAGCGCCAGTCGCAGCTCTCCCATGTGCAGCGGTACGGTTTCTCCCCTGAAACACACAGACGAGAGGAAAAGTGAGGAAAAGTCAGACAGGAGGAATCGATTATGAATTCTTGCACCCCTGAACTTTTGCATCAGAAACAAAAGATTTTCAGACTTGACACAAATCTTCTTGTTCAAACCAAAAACTGATTTTAATGCTGCAGGATGAGACAAACTGTGCATGCATTATCTGAGCTTTAAAAGAATTACAAACTACATTTTGTCCTCGTTTTACACACAAGCGTCCAGGATAAACATCACCCCTGATGTTAGGACTGAAACCCTCCTCTGGGTGTAAACGTACAGGCAGGTAGAAAACAGGAACTGAGAGCGCCTGAGATTAAGAAGCCAAACAAATCTATCACAACACCATCCAACCACACCCAAACATTTCTGAGCCGTGCAGCAACGTGCCGCGACCAAACAGTGAGCTAATCATCGACGCAGAAGAGCTGAACAGGCGGCTGAGGAAACAAAAAACAACGCTGACAATAAAAATGAGAATAATTTAAAGAAAACAAAGTCTGATCGTCTCTGAGTGACGTCTCCACGCCGACTCTTTGCTGCTGCTCTCTCTGCCTAAAGATGTTTTATGAATTATTTTGATTTTTGCTGAAAACCCGCCCCTCGGTACGTGAAGACCGCCCCTCAGGTGTGCAGTCTTTTCCCAGCAGAGAGGCGAGGACCTCCTTTTTCTCATTAGCAGCGTGAGCCCTGATACTGCGTTTATGAGACTCTCTAATCAATACCAGGAGATATCTGCTATTGGTCATCAATCACCAGGTGACAGCTGTGAGCTGAGTAAAGGGGTCCAAAGAGCAGAGGGGGCGCCGAGATAACGAGAGTTAATCTGTGTTTTATTTTAATCTGAGGAGGTTTTTAATAAATAAAGAGTCGGTTTTTAATCCCCACAAAGACAACAATCGTCTTTTTAGACTTCTTTAATCCGACTAATCCCACATCAGAGCCCGCAGTCAGGACAATATCCTGTTTCTGGAGGAGTTCGCTGCTCTTTATGTGTGTTTGTACAAATGTCCTGGTATAAAAAGGCCGGGACGCTCCTGCAGGTGTGTTTGGTTTGACTCTATAGCTGCTCCATCGGGGTCAAAGCACCGCCGCCACCGCCGCCTCTCTCTGACTATTATCCCCGAGGGATGGCAAACAAGTGGGTGAAATACGACACACACACACACACACACACACACACACATGCACAGAACAAACACACTTGACCGGTATAGACTCTTTAATGAGCTGCCAGAAGGTCAGGTGCAAACCTGAAAACCATCCATCTATACGGCGCTTTAAAGAGAGACGGCGTTTGTTCAGCAGATTACACTTTCAGGTTTTAATTCTCTCTGAAGGTGTTTACGTTTTTATAAACAACTGCAGTCTTTCTGTGAAAAAGTGTCTTTAAAGAGAGGCTGAGAGCTGAGCTGCTAAAAACACGATCAAACATCCAAAAAGCATCATCATCATCATCTTCATCATCATCATCATCATCATCATCATCATCATCGTCACTTTAAAGCTCCTGCAGAGATTTGTTGTTTTGTTCGACGGTCGATTAGAAACGCTCGATTTGTTCTGTATGTTTCTCAAACATTCACTAACGAGTGTGTGTCTGAATACCTCATAACCCTTAATGGACACATGCAAACACAACAACACACACACACACACACACACTCACTGAGGCAGTGCGGCAGGATCATCAATCAAACGGAGACAAAAAGCTTTTCTTACAGGCTGACAGGACATCTATGTTTACTCTCTATAGGAGGACTCACGTTCCTCTCACTCCGGGGTGAAAACACTCCAGGAGAGATCAGGAGGTCGGTCTGCTCTACGACTTTACTAAACCGGAAACTACGATCTTCTTTTCACGATGTTACGACGTTTATCACAGAGGTCCATAGTGCTGCTGAAACCTGGAGAATCAGAAGATTTTCCTTTTATTTTAGAAAAAAAAGAATCTCTAAATTAATTTATTTTCTTTTTTTTTTTTTTAGAGCTAAAAAGCGCCTCTCTTAAACTCCTCTGAGACGAGATGTAAATGGAGGCTGTGAGCTGAGCTGCTGCTCACGTTTGGTTTATTTTTAGGATTTTATCATAATTTACAAGATTTAAGGGGAACAACAACTAATCTGTTTTTTGACAGCTGATTATCTAAAAACTAAAACTAATTACGGTCCGGGATGCAATATTTTTTTTTTGTAGAATGGTAGGGGTAAGTCCCGCCTCCTTCGCCTCTGATTTGCTAGAAAAACTGGAAACGTCATCACACGCTCAAGCCGAACGCGGACAGAACATTATCGCACTTCTGAATCTCCTAACCATAACCCGACAGACCTAATTCAGACCTAATTCAATCGTCTAGATTCTGTATATTTGTAGATGGTATTCAGACGTTGCACTTTAACCCGTTATTCAATAACTTTATTTCAAAAAGCAACTGTGAGTTTATAACTGATCTTCAAGTACTAAACCAAAATAATTATGATAGCCATTGAGCAAAATACAGAGTGGTATAGATATAGACCAGATTTAGACTTGGTCTAAATTTAGACGTCTAAAAAACTTTCATTTTTAACCTGTGTTAGCCTGATTTTAGACTAGTCGTCTCGGCTACATTTAGACGTCTATTAGACCAAAAATGACTCAGTGGGGGGTCTGAAAACTTGTGACTTATTTCATTTTTCAGGGAAATGATGGTTTTCATGGCGTTCTGGGCAAAGACGAAAACAGACGAAAACATTGATCTGTTTGTCTTTTTGATTTTAAATTGTTTTAATTTCTCTCTTTTTATCTTATTCTTTTATGTAAAGCACTTTTAATTACCTTGTGTATGAACGGTGCTTTACTAATAAACTTGTCTATATCTGTTTAATATTTAAATGTCTCATGACCTACTTTGTTATCTCTACTGGCCTTAAAAAAACAATATTTGACGACCGCTAGTCAACTCATCCAAAATGATTAAAACTCACAGACCAAGTGAACTATTAAATTAGTTATAAAAACAGATTCATGTTTGAAATCTGAGTTTTTCTGCGGCTCTTTGGAGGGACGTCGGGGGCTGACAGCTGAGCTGCCACTATCGTAAACCAAGCCTGTTTCTTTCTTTAATTCTAGACGTCTTAATCCTGAAATAATCCAGACTAATTACTCAGTTTAAAATGATCAGATTTAAAGTTTCAAATGTGAAGTTTGTTAAAGTCAAACCGTTAAAAAGTCTTTGTGCAAAAACGATCAAACCAGAAGAAAAACTCAGAGGACACTCCACGCCGTCCTGTAACTCCTCAGAAGAATCAAAACAGCGTTTGAAAACCACCTGAGTCTGTGGTTTTTCTTTTTTTTACGGCGTCAGAGAGCAAACACTTCCAGGCTCTTTCAGGACGTCTATAAACTCCCTCTGTGTGGACCTTCAGGTTTTATCAGCTCAGTTATTGTTTGTAAAGAGGGCTGGAGGGTTCCCAAACAGGGCCGATCAGACACACAGCTACACACACAGCTACACACACACACAATTACAGAAGTTGCTCATTGACTTTAACGGCGTTCAAATCGCTGCTGAGGCCGCGGTCAAGGTTGTCAGCGGGGGGAGGAGGTTGTTATGATAGAAAAGCGTGAATGAAAGATTGACGCTCCGTAACAGCCTTCAGGTGGTTCATGTTTTGATTGATCAGCTCCACTGATAACACTGACACACTGATTGGAGGGTGTGTGTGTGTGTGTGTGTGTGTGTGTGTTTTAATAGTGATATAAGTGTTTAAGAGGTTCACTTACGTAAGAGGACGAAAGTATGATCAGAAGGTTTGGAAGTGTGCTCTCACATTCCTGTGAAACGTTATTCTAGGACGACGTTATATAATCAGATTTTATCATTTAGTTTCTTCTGGTTTTTGTTTGTTTTCGCCCCTTTTTAAAAAAAATACAAACTTAAAGAGATATTCTGGTGTAAAATTAATTTAGGGTCAAACACACTGTAACACCGAGTTAGACCCCCCGTCCAGAGATGAATGTTGCCGACCGCTTGCTTCTCTAGTTATACCAACTTTAGTAACATCTTTTTAACTTTGACTCATTTCTTTAGCAAAGAGATTAAACACAACTCACCTACTCTCTTCCAGCAGACGCTTGTTTGTAGAGAGACCTCAGGCCAGTCCATTACGGACTACAGCGGGGTGCCGCAGCTCAAGGAAGAACATTTATGATCATTTCTTCATGGAAATACAATCAGACCGAGACGCTAAGACAGAAGAACTACAGCGTCTGCAGATCAAAATGATCATAAATGTTCTTCCTTGAGCTGCGACACCCCGCTGTAGTCCGTAATGGACTGGCCTGAGGTCTCTCTACAAACAAGCGTCTGCTGGAAGAGAGTAGGTGAGTTGTGTTTAGTCTCTTTGCTAAAATGAGTCAAAGTTAAAAAGATGTTTGGTGTCTCCTCAGACCGTTGTGTATTTCTATCCTGCAGTCGTTACTAAAGTTGGTATAACTAGAGAAGCAAGCGGTCGACAACATTCATCTCTGGAGGGGGGGTCTAACTCGGGGTTACGGTGGGTTTGACCCCAAATTAATTTTACACCAGAATATCCCTTTAAGTAAAACTTGTACAAAACTTCAGGGTGTTAGACTCCTGTAAATCCAGTTCAGCGACAGATAAGTCTCACAGCAGAAAGATCCAAATTAACCCACTTTGAAACCTGGACTTTAAAAACAGAGTCTAGTGAGTCAGCTGATCCGGATCTTATTCAGTCTGAGTGTTATCCACCAGCTGATCCAGGGAGAAGGATAAACATGGAAACAGACAGTTTACATCAAACTGGACTTTCCATCTGGAGCTGCTAAACTCAAGGTTTATTCAGTAGTGACAGTTTAGACCACGCCACACAAAGGTAAACCTGATCTTTACAAATCCACACCAGCAGCTGACTAACTTCAGCGAAGGTCTATCTCCATGATTTCTCAGAAACACGACGCCTGCTCTGTAAACGGGTATTAACCTCTGAAACGGCGTCCTACAAAGAGAATAAAATGAAAGTGATACTCAGAAGATTTATAACATTTTTTAAAGACCATTTCCTGATACGACGGCCTCAGGAGGAACGACATTTCTCACCCTCAGTGAACTGAAACAGGTGTATGATGGACGAGAGATAATAGACCGCCACATTAAAGCAACCTCTGCCGACATCATGGGGGCGTTGATGCAACATGTAGATTGATAATGTGCTACAGTTGGAGGTGTTTTCTTCACCTCGTGTCATAGAGCTGCACAGGTACACTAGATTCTGCAGAGGAACAAAATTTAAAATGAGGCGAGGACCGAGGACAAAGCCCTGAGGAACTCCAAAGATAACGTAAGACTGATCGGTCTGTTTAAATGATATTAAATTACAGTTTTTGGGAGAAAACGTCGACCTCTTCACTCTGGTATGAGTTACTTTATTTTGTTTCCGAACATTTCCTGCTCTCAACGTTTCTAACTCATGAGTCATCACCAACAAGACTCGGCAGGCCTGGTTTTGCCGGATTACGAGCCTGTTTTTGAGATTCAGAGCAGAACCAAATACAGTTACCAGAAACAACTGCTGCTGAATCCCACAAAGAGGAAGTTCAGTCTGGGGTCTGGGGTCCGAAACGCTGCAACTTTTTAGAGATTTAGTGAGTATCATGAATTTACCTCCTTGCAGTTGCTCCTGTAGGGTACAGGAGTTTGTTAACAGGATAGAAAAGGAGATTTTTTAGGTCTTCTTTAACTATTAAACACTGTTTTAAAGGTCATATTGAACATTTAATATTGATTTAGTTTTTATAAGTGTAGGCAACGCTTCATTTCTGAGTGGTCAAACTTTAATTTCCCTCAGTTTAAATGTTCCTGCATTTGGAGGTCTTTTCACGCCCCTAAAAACTCACTCTTTTGCACATATGTGAGGGTTTTTATAACATGAGGGTTTTTCAAAAGAAACGTTGAAAAGTTAGCCCTGTTAAATTTCCAAATCCAAGATATTCAGCCTCGCCACTGACAGTATTTCACGTATCATGCAAAAGTAGAGGAGTTAAAGATTCCGCTCGCCATCACTTTGCATAAAATGTAATTATCCCAATATATTAATAGTTTAAACACTATTAAATACTGTTTACAATGAATCCTAATGCATATCCGCTGGGACTGTGTGACGTGAGCGCCCTCTGCTGGGGCTCCCTGCAGCGTCTTTGCCAGTCTACGCTATGAGAGTAGTGTGTGCTAATAAACTCTGCTAAAATGCTACGAAATAAGTTTGTTTTTCTTGTTAAAAGTATTTAAATTTTATTTAACATGTTTGAGATCACTTCTATAATTCTTGTACGATCATTTCACCGTGTTTTCAGTCATTTCGACTCACCATGTGCATGTTTTGGCGTAGCTTGTCTGACAGTTAGCTTTAGTTTTTGTTTCTTTGTTTTTGCGATGTCTGAGTTTATACGAGTGCAGACAGTGAGAGAGACCTTATTGTGCGTCTGTTGTCACCAGATTAAGCGGCGTGTTGTTTCCAAAAGTGAACGTTTCTGCCTGATTCATGGAGGACGTGACGACTTCACCAAGACCTCGGAAACATCAGACTAAGATCATCTCATAACACGGTCGTTATAATAATAAGAGTGTATTTCTGAAATTCCTCCGCTCTCTCTCTCTCTTCTTTATTATCTATTATCTTGTTTACTCTTCTCTTTTCATATTTTATGGTCTATTTGCCCTCATCTCTGCAGGATCCTGCTGCTGTAACAACCAAACTTCCCCACCAGGACCAATAAACTTTCATCGGATCTATTTATGATCTGTTTCTGTTTGCTCATCTCGTTCACGTGCACTTCCCCGCTCTCCTCCGTCACTCTATTCACACCAAAAGGGGTTTAGCGGCTTTTATCGCATGAGTAAATCTGCAGAGTCCTGGTCGGAGGCTGCTGGGAATCCACAGGTTTCATCTTACAGAGGGGGAACACATCGAAACCAGCCTTCCCCCATTCTTGAACACCCCCCACCATCCTGTGAGAGGAGACTGAAAAGCAGGAGTAACTGGTTTGGCCTTCGTTTAAAGAGCGTGTCTTCCCTCTTTTTTTTCCTCTTTCCTTCTTCCTCCCCTCCTCCCTCCTCCGCTCTTTGTTCTGTCTCAGCCGGCAGGTTCGAGCACGTTCGGACACGCTGATGAAAAAACTCAAACTCCTTATAAGAAGTCTTTACTTTTGATTGTGTTCCTCATTATTCTTCTTATAGATACAGGGCGTGTCCGAACCGGCAGTGAGACAAATTAAGAAGTGACAGGAAGAGTTAACTGAAGGTATGAGTGAAGAGAGCGCAGCTGGATTAGTTTAAGGTTTTTTTTTTCAAATTTCACCCTGAATAAGAAATCAGAGAGATCCCCCAAAAGTCGCATTCGTCAAAAATACAGACGTAAAATTTCACCGTTTTCCTTTTCATCCCCCGACTCAGAAATCCAGTCATCCTTCACACATTTACAAGACGGTAGATTAGACCTGAGTAAATTAGGAATAGTTAAAGGGATAGTTCAGTGTTTTTAAGAGTGGTTGTAGCTAGTGTGGCTTTCATCAATGAAAACTATGACGAAATATTGTTATTAATGAACCTTTGTCACATGACAAAAACGAGACGAGGCGAAACGTAAACGGTGGTCTTGTGATGATAACTATAACTAAATATAAAATTCAATATTGTTGACAAATAAAACGAGATTAAATGTGGTTTACAAAATATAAACTCTGCTCAAATGTCTCTTCATTTTTGTTGACTAAAACGAGACGAAATTGTTTGGTTGCATTGTTACCGTTTTCTGTTTCCTCGGCAACGTCACATCCTCAATCCCCTAACTCGCAGTATTTTTAGACGTTTTCACGTTAGACGTTAGCTCAGCATGTGTGTGTGCAGTGCTCGTGTGTGTGTCTAGCTTGTGTGTGAGCAGTCAGCTCAGAGTCTGAATGGATGTTTTCTTTAGTCTATAAGTTAATAATATAATAATAAGATAACCATGTTTGATTTGTGAAATGGGTTTGACTACAAGAAAAATTTGGTTTTATGTATTCTAAACTATACTAGGTAATTATACTATATTAACTGGGTTAGACAGAATTACATTACTAAAAAGAGATTAAAACCATTGACTAAAACTAGACTAAAATAGACTTAAATAGACTTAAATAGTCATGGGCTATTCTGACTAAAACTCGACTAAAATGCTCAGAGTTTTAGTCGACTAAAACATGACCAAACAAAAATGAGTCTGAACGTGACTAAAACTGATTAAAACTAAAAAGACAGTTCGACACAAAGACTAAAACTAAAATTTAAACAGGCCGACAAAAACAGCACGAGTCGTAGCTGCAGGGATGCTGTCAGCTCGTCTCCTTCGTCGATAAAGAGTCAAGAGAACCAAAATGCAGACGGGGTCAACTCTACCACAAAACTGAACTCTTTTCTAAGAACTCCGACCAAAACTCAAGAACTGGACCACATTAAAAGTCCATCTTATATCATCTTAAAGCAGCTTAAACAGAGAACTGACCGCTGTGCGTGTTCCCTGTAGAAGATAAACACCAACTATCTCTGCGAACAAGTGATGTTTTATCCGAGCGTAGGCGAAGAAGACAGCGGATCTTTACTAGTCTCCAAATTTCTCACATTTTCTGAACTGAAGGTAAATCTAAGGTGGAGTTCAGCCATGCCAAAGAAAGTCAGAGATCTGGGTGTTCAGTTCCTGTCGGTGTATTTCAGGTTCAGGTAACCGGTGTCTCACCTGTGTGCGTCCTTTGGTGCGCCTTCAGATGAGAGCTCTTTGTGTAAACTTTGGTGCAGCCTGAAAAGAAATCAGAGAGAGAGACGGTTAGAAAACGTCCTCACCTGACACACTTCACCTCCTCCATAAATCTGTTTATCTGAAAACAGGCCGTGTGTCACCTTTGACCCCTGAGACAGAGACAAACGAAAACATGGACATCTCATTCATGTCGAATTATCTCAAAAATTTACTGCTTCATAAACACAGTTATTTATGTCTTTGGAGATGAGAATCGATAAGATATGATTGATATCGACTCTGTTACAGATTCTGCTTATCAATCAAATTTGTGTTTTCTTATCTGTCTCTGTGTTGGAAAAAAAAAGTGACCTGGGCAGGTTTTCCACTTTTATGACCTTTACTGCTGAGACGGTAAAACGTGGTTTCTGATTGGACCTTTACATGTCAGCTGATCACAGATGTTGACAAACCAAAACAAAGGAAAGCTGCCGGTCTCACAGAGTCAGTGGATTTTACAGTTTTACATTTATATCATTAGAGCTGCAAACACAGGATCAGGGCGGCCGAGTTTCAGAAAATGACAAGAGTCAGATTTTAGCGTTGTGACGTGTTTGGCGGCGAATTTTTTTGTTGCTTTTTTTAACGTTGATTTATACCCTGAGACTGATGTTCTCACCTCCATGACAGCTGCTCTCCCTAATACTCGTCTTAATGAACCAAAATTAGAAATGAAAATTGTAACAAGAATTTCGGCAAAATACATTCATGTGTCAATATTGTATCAGGTCGAGTGGGTTTTAAACGTCGGCGCTGTTGTGTGTGAAAGATAGTCAGAGACGCCAAGACCCAAAAAAAACTCAGTGTTTCAGTTACAGAGTCTGAAAAAATCAAAATCAGAGGCAGAAACAAGATGGCTACATCTACGAAAGTTATTTTAGCGCTTGCCTTGTCCGAATATAAGTCAAGTGCTGAAGTAACTTTCGTAGACTTAGCCATCTTGTTTCAGCCTCAGATTTTGCTTTTTTTTGACTTGGTAACTGAAACGCTGGGAACTCGGGTGTGACGAGGAAACTCAAACACAGCATTAGGCACAAAGGACCGATGGATTGGTCTGGGATTGGTTATCTCGGTCAGTCAATCAGTTACTTGAACTACGGCAAGCCAAGAGTATTGAACAGAGAAAAATAAGCGTGAGAAATGTAAAGTGTGGCGTGTTGTGTGAGAACGGGTCAAATTGCATGACTGTCTATTTCTGTGTTGTATTTCCTGTCAGGTACGCTGACCCACACACCTTGGAAGTTGCAGAAGTGGATCCTCCTCTTCTCCAGCTCCGGGTTGTTCCGTCGGTTGTATTTGGGACCCGTCAGGACTCCCTGGCCGTGCGTCATCAGCATGGCGTGATGGGACAACCCCGTGACCTTAATGCCCCCCAGATGCTGCTGATACGAGGCCCGGGCTTGTGGCGCCAAGGTGAGCAGCTCCGCCTGACCGTCCGGACTCCCTGGCTGTGAGTTCGGGGGTGAGGGGGGCAGGCTGTGGGGGGCCGTGTGCTGGGTCGAGTTGCTCGGTGAGACCTGGTAGTAACCCTGGTGCTGCTGCAGCTGGTGGTCCCCCAGAAGGTAGTTGCCGTTGGTTGTCGGCAACGCGACCCCGCCGAGGTTCATGATGGTCCTGCCGCTGGTGGAGACGTGCGGGGTGTTGTGGGTCAGAGTCATGGTGAGGTCGGCACAGCTGCTGACGGGCATGTGGTAGACCTGCGGCTGGGGGGGCTGAGGTCCGATGTGGAGCTCTGCGTCAAAGTTTGGCTGCTGCTGCTGCGGCGGCTGCTGGGCGCCAGCGGGCACGCTCACCACACCTCCAGAACTCAGTTCTGGTTTGATGAAGACGTTGTTGACGACGGGCGGGACACTGAACACAGAGGTGAAGTCCGGCAGGGCCTGAGTGCTGGAGGTGGAGATGGAGCAGGGCACCTCCAGTCCCGGTTCTGTCTTGATCTGCTGCGGCGTCAGAGTCTTGGTGGTGTTGGGCCGGTAGAGGCCCGTGCGGAGGTGGGTGGTGCTGGGGAGGATGACGTTGATATTGAGGCTGTAGGGTGCGTTGGGTTTGTCCTCGGAGAAGTACTCGTCCACCACAGAGGCGCTCTCTCGTCGGTACTTCTTGTCTGTGGGGTCTGTCTGTGGGACGGTCAGGAGTGGACTGTTGACCTGGGGGAAGTATTTGTCCAACTCCAGCCGAGTCTGAAAGAAAAACAAACGATTAAAAAAAAGGTTGAAGACGACTCTGAGATCTGCAGTCCAAGAACTCTGACATCAAAGTCCGGATTTCTTTTAAGCCTCTTTATTGTCTTTAAATTTGATTTTCTCAGCCAAAGACGACATAATAAAATAAGACACATTATCAGCAATGTGGTACATTATGATAAATGATTACAGCAAATATTACAGCCTGACAGAGTTTTTTAAAATCATCTTTAAAGATCCACTTTTTCTTCCCTGCTTTTAATAAATGAGCTCACAGGAATCAGAGGAACTGAAGCTTTTCTTCTTTTACTGTCTGTGTTTTTTATTCTACTGTTTTTATTTTATGTTCTATTGTTATTTATGTATTTATCTCTTTTATTTATCTCATGTACAGAACTTTGTTTGACTGCTGTTTCAAAGGTGCTTTATAAATAAACATTGACTTGATATAATATATGATGAAATATGGTATATAATATGATATGATAGGATACTGTAGGATATGAAACTTTACATGACGACTTTTCTGCAACACATCAAGTTAGACATAATAATTGGGATATGATGCTATAAAATATGATGAAATAAGAAACATTTTGATAAATTTTCTCGCTCTTTAGTAATAGAAAAAAAAACAAGTTGATGTAAACAGAGAAACAACCACCGACACCGCACCTCTGCTGAAATCACACATGAATAAATGTCAAAATCGGACATTTCTGTTAACCTGTCAGCAGACTGTGATGAGGTGGCTGTGATATGACTGGTACAAACGAAAAGTACGGAGGCCCTTAGGTGCAAAACACAACGACAAAAGAGAAAACACAATGGTTAATATAGTTGTGTTTTGCACCTCAGGGCCACTTTAGAAAAGAGCGAAACAGCAGATTTATAATAAAAATAACGATGAAGAAAACGGTCAAAGAAAAGTTTGGGAGAACTTAAAATCTATATTTCTCTTTTGGTGTTTAGTCGCACTTTTCTGCAGCTGATTTATTACAAACTGTGTTGAACTGAATTAAATCCGAACGTCAGACTATTTTTGTGAATGTGCTCGAATATAATCGAACAGAATTAAATGATGTAACTACAGCGACGGTTGTTGGAGTTTGCATGTGTGACCGATGTCATGCAACAGTCACTCACATGTGATTGTTCTTCTTTGAGGGTGTGGACAGATTACCTCGTTATAAATAGAGAAATGTTTTTCACTAACAGGTACGGGCAGGTGAAGAAAAGAAGTTACAGGTATGTTTTTCCTTTTGTTTAAACAGACAGCATTATCTGATCCTAATCCTGATTAACCGCCGTGTGTGTGTGTGTGTGTGTGTGTGTGTGTGTGTGTGTTTGTCATTCAGAGTCGCTCATGCAGACAGTAGCTCCTTTAGATGCTCAGAGGCCGTAACCTCAAGAATCTGTGCAGCACAGACCACTAATGCACACAAACAGGGAAATACATGCATGCAAAAATGCATTAAAGTATGCATGCACTTTTAAGATGCACAGATATGAGCGTGCACAACAACATCTGCACACACGCAGCACACAAACACAAACAGAGAGCTCCTCCGTGGGCGTGGCTGATGAGAGGATTTGAAGCGTGAAGAAGAAGAAGAAGAAGAAGAAAAAAAAGGTCTGAGCAAAACAAAAGAGGAGGCATGAGAACGACGCAGCGAAACTTAAACACTGTCAGGTAAAAATAGATCCTTCAGAGACAAACACAAACACACAACGCTGAAGAAAGGAGGAGGAACAACAAACCGTCTTTATCAACGACAAAACTGATGTTTAGCAGAGGAAAAACTTTTGAACGTTCGACTTCTACGTCCTGAAATCTGTAAAATTTCCTGAACATTTGTGGTTCGAGTTTAAGGGTATAAATGAGTAAATTTGTGTTTGTTTTTATCATGAACTCTCTGGTTAACTGAAGGTGAAATAAGAAGAGAAACCGACATGGAACTGAAGAGTATGACCTGAGCTTTGTCAACCACACCGGAGTGGAGCGACTGATTCACGGACAAATGAGCCAACGAGGCGCTGACACGCCGTTAGAGTTTCATCCACAGAGGACAAAGCAGCTGAGAAAGTTCGTCTCAACACTTTCCTCCCAGCGCGGCAAACTCAACACCAAACCTCCCTCATCCATCATCCACCCGTTCATAATCTGATGAAGTGATTTCAGGGAAATTCAGTTATTTTTGTTCAGGATTTTTCACAGAAAAGGAAAAACCTCATCGTACACTCAGACGTGTCAGCGGCGTCTTCAGGGCTAAAAGATGCTCGTCGTCTCCTGCAGGTGAACTCAAACCACCTTGTCATCGCTGCAATCTGAGCGCAGCGTGAAATTAAAGTCCGGGCTATTAGCAGAGAGGGAGAAAAAAGAGAAAACAAAAACAGCCTCTCTGTTTTCTTCCCACTGAAGGCTTCTGTGTGGATTCCTGGAGTCCACACAAACAGGCCCTGTGCTGCCGGGGCGCTGGCAGACCTCACCCCCGGGTGCCCTTGGCTTTGTCCCCTCCTGCTCTGCTGTTAATCCGTTCAGCTTTCAGACCCGGACTCTCCAAACTTTTCTATTTTATTTTATTTTCTAAGGACTTTACTGTAAATACAGAACAAACTCTTAGTGTGGCGGACGATCCTCCTGAAAACTCCAGGGGACAGTGGTGGAGACGAGAGCGTTGTAGACGTGTTTTTTAGAGCCCCTCAGAGCACGCCATACCTTCCTGTTCAAAACTGCTTTTGTGAACACCTGACTCGATTTATTTGTTGTCCTTTTATTTCGTTATTGTACCAAGTGGAACGTAAAAATGTTTAATAAAAGAACATGAGGTGAAAAAGGAGCTGGACGCCCGATCAACACCACAACTAATGCTAGCAAGAAAACGAGGCTCCAGCTCAATCACATCTTATTATTTAGATATGACGTGTTTATTGATTAACCTTTGCATGGGTTCAACATAGGGCTGGTCGATGAAATGATAACTATATATATTAAAGATTAATTTCCCTAAATATCAATATCAAACATGATCAATATCCTTTTCAATAGTCGTCATTCTGACATGTTTTGGTCGACTTTACGAACAGCCAATGAAAAGGGGAGTTTCTCCGGGTCTGAACCAATCATGTTCTGAATTAGAACCAAGTATCAACCAACTGCAGCGTCGTAGCAGACAGCAGCTCCACCCAACCATAGCACTTTAACAGGTGAAGCCGACAGCACTGTTGGTGAGAAACAAAGAAAATGAGTGCTACCCCCGACAGAAATGACCATGAAGGCTCAACAGATGACCACATCAATGTCAACCACAACACTGGCGTTAGGAAAACGTCGGTGGTGTGGAGGTATTTTGGTTTTTGGAGGTCGGACATGAAGCAGAGTAATGTGGACTGTAAATTATGTCGAGTTCATGTTCTCACAAAGTCGGGGAATACCTCAAATCTTTTTCACCACCTGAAGCAGCGCCACGCCGCAGAGCACGCGCAACGCAGAAGGTTACAAACCCCGAGAGGAGCGAGGAGCCGAAACAGACGACCATTCAGTCGGCTTTATGACAAAACGCCAAAGAGACACAAAGATCTCACAGATGCAGTAGTTAAATGTTAAATTTCATTTTTTATATCCTGATATATAATGACATCGACTAAACATATACCATGATAATCTTTTCCCCATATCGCCCAGCCCTACATCAAAGTATAACTAGTTCACTTTGTCCTCAACACGTTATCATGGAATCAGGAAATCCTCAGATCGAAGTTTCTGGACTAACTCTGATTTTTCGGAGTTTCTAAATGACTCGGTGGGTTAATAATTGGAGGACACGTATAACTGCTCCACCATGAATCCTTCAGCCTGATAACTCTTATCAGCTCACTTCTGCTTTATGGGACAGAGTGGGGGTTTCCACGCTTTCTGACAGTACGGCGTCCATCCTTAAAGGACCTCCGTGTGGTTTAGCCTCATTTAAAATACAGGGACACACTTCATCGTCATCCTGCTGACAGATGAAGCCGTGCTGCAACAAACACGACTAAAACACAAAAGCAGAGGTGAGGCTAACAGTGGAGCCACGATTCATTCAGATTATTACTATAATATCTGTTATTTCATGACAATCAAAGCTGACCTTTGACCTCTCTCTGCCCCCTAAAGCCTCTGACCCCCTCCGTCTCCACCTCCAGACCTCGTTCCCTGACTGCTAATTGCAAAACAATCGTCTGCGTCTGCGCGGCGGGTCGTCTTTATGACTCTGAGGAATGCGGAGTAAGAGCGGCCGTTCGCCTTTGGATCTCCATAAAACTAAAAAAATGGAGCTGATAATGTCGGGGGGGGGGGGGGTCTGCTGTGGATCAACAGAGCAGAAATCATGGCAGGGTCATCGGAGCAAAAACAAAACCTTTGAGACTGCAGAGCCGCTTTATGACCGCTGATGGAGGAGAGATAGGACGGCCTGTTGTGACTTCAAGAGACACGGATGAATAAAAATGAGAGTTTACAGCCGGGCGGTCAAAATCCACTCCGATATAAACCCATGTGAGGTTACAAACAACAGAAATTTCTCTGTTTTTAAATGTTTTATTGTTTTTAATTCAATTACAGACAGAATCAGTCTCATTACTCTCACAGTCATGTGTTTATAAATGCAAATTTAGTGTATTTATGTCATTTTTACCACTTTTCAGTCTTCAGCTACTATTAAACATGTTTATTTAATTTGTTGTCAACTCCATTAACCCTAAAAGTGACTAAATGTGGTTTTGACGTCTGAAACAGGTCAATATAAATCTTGGACCAATTTTGGACGTTAACACGACTTGTAGATCCGGTGGTGGACAGCACATCCAAATTACATGTTGATGTGAACGTCAGTTCAATGTCTAACAGAGGTATAATAGTGGCGTCTAAATCTTGGATCTATTTCGCACGTTGAACCGACGTCTAGATTTGGTCCTTGTTGGACCACACACACACGTCCAGATGAGGCACAAACGTGGACGTCATTTCAACGTCCAAAAGAGGTCCAGTTTGGACGTAGAAATTTCTAATCTGTTTTGCATGTCGCACTGACGTCTAGATGTGGTCTTTGATCGACCAACCCAATACTGACTTGATCTACAAGTCTCTTCAACGTCCGACGTTTCATGGGAGCAGGTCCCTGTCCATGGAGGCAGCCATCTTGTCGCTAAATCTGGTGAAAAACGGTAAAAACATGGGGGGTGTTTTGAGACAGGCTGTTTACCTGTGAAATGGGGGAGCTCTGAAACACTCCCCCATTAACACTTGGTACGTTCCTCCTATTGAAATGAACCGTAGACTGAAAATTGACGAAAAATTGCGTCGACCAATCAGAGTTTTGGTCGACTCAGCACTTAAGTCGACTTGGACTTCACAGCCCTAGACGGTGGCTGTTAAGTGCAGAAGAAGTTGTTTTGATAGACATTGACGGACAAATGGAGCGACATAATTATCGAGGAGATTCTTGTCCTTAAATGCCACCATAAGAGGAGGAGGAGGAGGAGGAGGAGGAGGAGGTGAGCAAGGGAGCGATTCGAGATCAGTCAATACTTCCATGTCAGAGTTACTCAATATTTCCTTCAATTATCACAATAAAACATGGAAGTTTATTCAAGAGCTGATTTTCTCTCTTTCTGGAGAAACTAAACCTCACAGCTGAAATATGATCCGACTCTGATCCAGTTTTTGTGTCACCATGAGAATCCGCCGCGGCGTCCTCTTGTTAACGTCCTTTCACACGACCACGCCGCGTCACCAGCTGTCCTATTTCTGTCTCCTCTTCATTGTCACTCTTTGTTTCAGATTTTTACCTCCAGAAGAAAAGGAGAAAAAGAAAACCTCCCTCTCAGATTCAGTTTGCTGGAAGTCCTGGTCTGTTATCAGACCTGGATCCTGCCCCCCCCCTCACCACAGGATGATCTCATCGTTCACGTGAACGATTTTCACTGTTTTTCCAGACAAATGAGACGTAAACAAAGACAGTCACCCAGGGGATCAACCGGCAGATGAGTTTAGAGACCGCAGGTATTAAGAAACAGGCGGCCGTCTGCAGGGGCACGGCCGGGCATGATGGGTAATTATGACATCAGCAGACCAAACAATCTGAGAGGGATGAGTCAAACGATGGATCTGTGTGGGTTTGAAAACGGAGATTCTGCAGGAATGAGGGTTTTTTTTTTCAATAATACAGACGACCACTAGAGGGAGCATCAACTTTAACGAGAGATTACACTAAATATCGTCACTGACAAAACGACTTCCTCTGCAAACAGCATCTATGAAAACAGGACTGACCACATGATGCTGGTGCTGCTCGACTTTTGGAACGACGAGGAGAGCACTGTTATGGTTTCCATCCTGACAGAAATGGACATTTAAAGTATTTGGACGGTTGCAAAACGAGAAACGGAGACATCTTTAAAAAAGGTCCGGTGACAGCGCCGCTGTAAAGACCCATATCGCCCCCTAGTTTTGGGGAGGAGGACACGTTCACGTCAACAAATCGATTTTCTCAGCTGCTGAGGTGAACGAATCATTTCAAACATATTTTATCTCACTTTCAAAAAGAGACCCTGTAGTGCAGGAATCTGTGAAGAGCAAAATAAACGAGTAAAAATTCTTCATTATCTTAAAGAGTTTTAAACAGATTTTTCTTGTTGATTTGTCGAGAGTCTATTCGTCCCAAAAATAAAGTTTTTCCTCTTTAAAGTGACTTTTTTCTCAGAAAGTACAGGAATCAGAATCAAGAACAGACAGGAACCAGAACTGAGAAGCAGAACCGGGTCCAGAATCTTCATTGATAAACTGGTACTCTGATGTTTTCCAGGACAAACACACAGAAAACAAATTCAGCTTTTATGTCAGGATACGTTTGTGATTTCTGCAGGTTTAAAGCTTTCATACCATCAGTCGTCTCACTGTTGACTTACTGTGATCTCTATCAGCGCAAATATCGCCATGACAACCACTAAAAACAGCGTGCATACAGAGTCAAGAGATGTTTCACAACGACGGAGGACCCGACATCCGAACCGACGAGTAAGAGCAGTGAGAGGACAGAGACAGAGAGACAGAGAGACAGAGACGCTCACTCCACCTCCGACCTGAAATAGTGAAGACCAAAGTGTCTCCATGTCCTCCGAGTCTCTACAAGAACCAACACAACAACATGAATCATGTTTTTTCCCATCATCCATCTGTGAACCAGCAGAGACTCGTCAGCAGACGCTCGCTCATGCAAATCTGCAGCTTTTGTTGTCCTGGAAGTCAAATCATTCGACGAAGCAAAAACACGCCGACCTCCAGCAGCAAAGGTGGACCACGGTCCGATAATTCACCTGAGGAGCTGAAACTCACATTCATCAGAGTCCCTGAACGATCCGCACATGTGAAGAATAACTGAAGACCAAACTTCAAACCATATCTGAGTATTGATCTTCAGGAATCATTAGAGCAGAGCGGAGACACGCTCTCTGTAGAAGTTACTCTGTAACTTCCTCTGCCGTCTTCACGGTGACACAACATCAGAAGAATCTAGAAATAGGTTTTATATCAGTGATTTATTACTGCTGCTGAGATGGAGCCGATTACAAACAGGAGAAAACATGTCTGAGTAAATGTTAGGGCTGGGCGATAAACCCAAAATGTACTGATACTAAAATTAATGACAATAACCGACGTCATTTTGTCCATGTCAGTATATTCGGTGTCAAAAAACTCAATAAATCAAAGTTAGTTTTAATGTGTGTAGGTAGGCGATGGTCTCATGTCCCTTTAAGACGCTGTCGTAAGTCAGAGACTGATCAATATATCATGATATTGATTTAAGGCAATATCGCCCAGCTCTATATTTGTGATACTAAACTGAAGTGCAGCTCAAGTTTCACTCAGATTTGGACAAAATAATTGTTTTTGACGATATTCTGCTGATATATTTGAAAATGGATTTATCAATCAGAGCTTAAGAAACTATAATATTTAAGTTTCTTGGTGAAATAAATCAGTTTTTCTTAATGCCCTTTGGAACATGGACACAGAACATCTTTGGGGGCTGTGAACTGAGCTGCTGCTGCTGCCGACAAAAACCTGACTCTCAGTCGTAGTTTCTATTAGACCTTAAATATCTGCTGCAGTGTTCAGTGTCGAGGAAATCTGAGCTGCTGCTGCTCTCCAGAGACGTTTTTCTGTTATAGTCCCAGTTTGGAAAGAAGTTTTATTGTCTCCTCTTTTTTCAAAATGTCGGGGTGCCTGAAGTGTCGGTGCGTCAAGGAAAAAAATCATAAAAATGAGGGAAGAGGAACCTGAACGCCAACTCAGCTGGTCTAAAAAGAGAGACTGAGATAAATGTAAAAACTGACTCTTTAACTGTGACAGGAGAGCTCGAGACGATAAGTGCTCAGCTGAGTTTTTTAAAAAGTTCCTTCAGTCACTTTTTAATGAAAATATCAGAGGGGGAAAACCAGAACATCAAATCTGACCAGGGTTAAAACTTTTAAAGAGAAAACTTCAGAAATAGTCTCTCTTGGTCCTTGAAATTTAAGGGTTTTGTTTTGTTTGCAGCTCAGCTTGCAGCCCACACAGATATCCTGTGTTTGTGCACCGGAGAACGTCAGAGTAAAAGATTAATTTAACATTTCTTCCCCTCTTATGTATCAACGCCACAGCTTTTCCAACGTAACTGTGAATTCTGTATTTGTATGATGCTCAACGGCAGAGCTTTGGGGGCTGCCAGCCGAGCTGACACCCAACTAAAACCTCATATTTTCCCAGTATGTAGATTGAGACCTGATCTGTGCGGTGAAGACGATGTTAGAAAAACTGAAATTGTTAATAATAACGTCTAAAAGATTCAAGTTTACCATCTGATCATTTTTGTTCATGTTCAGATGGATCAATAGACGGTTATTGATTCCCTTTGGCAGTTTTCTCTGCGGCTCTAAATAAATAAACATCTCTGAGCTCGTTGTTCTGGTTTGTGAAGCGCCTGACTGCTCTGTTTTGGTTCTCAGCGCTCGTCAACATCGCCTCAAGTCGAAGACAGACAGCTGCTCATATCTAAAATCTGATAGGTTATCGTTGCGCTGGTCTGGATTGTCTGCAGATCGTTTTTCGAATACAGATAAAAAGTTCGGAAATGCTTCTGAAACCAACGTGCCTTTTTTCAGAAAATACGAACTCTGACACAGTCACGTTTTTGCTCACGCGACCCTCCAGAAAGTACAACGATAACGTCACATTTCGCTAAAGTAGAGACCCGTGTGATGTTGGAGGAGCTTCATCAGCCTTTCACCGCTCAGACTTTCTCATGAGGTCAGCTTTTATCATCCTCCTCCTCCTCGATGCCTGGAGGCGGCCTGTGGAGATGCGGGCCCTGCTCAGACAGGTCGGGCAACATACTGCTGTCACGGCAGAGGCTTAGCTAAACGCTGTTAAAAACACCAACACAATGACACAGAGACGTGTCTGACAGAGGGGAGAGGAAAGTGGAAAAAAGAGACCAGAAGAAGACGACGGTTTCACCCCAAACTCTGATGGAGCAGAGACTCTCTGTTCAAGATTACAGAGAGAGGAAGTCAGAAAAAAAAACTGATGAAATGAGCCGACAGAGAGGAATGCATTAGCAAACATGCTTCATGCACATTCACGGTGAATCAAGAGCACATAAGGTAAACCCTCTCAGGCTGTGGTTGGCAGTCATTTGCCTGGGGGGTAACTATTTCACTTAACCTGACTTCTTTGTTCTTGTCAAAGCCAGGTTTTGCATAACATCGAGTACCAGCAAAGAGAAAGAGGAAGAAGCAGAGATGAGCGTCAGAAAAAAAAACACGCTGATGATGTTTAGAGGATCGGATGGAAACGTCGGAGTCAAAAATACGACAATTCAACACTGAACCAAACATGACTGAGGTTCCTGGGATCTTACAGGCAGCAAACGGCTTCTTTCAGGCTGTAAAATCCGTCGTCTCTGGTTTATGACAGTCAGTATGACCTACATACAGAACACAGTATGTGCTGCAAGACAAGCAGAGACAGAGCACGGCGTTTCCACGTCTACGGAGCAGGAGACAAAGCCCGGAAAACTTTAGAATACAAAAAACTGTGACCTCAAATCTATGAAAACAGGGATACTGAAAAACCTCTCTCTAAAATAAAACAGGAAAACCTGAACCAGGACCAGTTTCTGGAGTCCGTTCTTGTCTGATAAAGAATCTCCTCTGCTGTCAGGAGGCCAGTTCAGCTCCTGTCTTCTCCATCATTATCTGGGTCGCTGCACATGTTGCTCTGAAAACCTCAATCAGCTGTTCAGCTTTAAAGGGATATTCTGCCATAAAATTAATCAATCAATCAATCAATCAATCATGATCATTTCTTCATCATTTCCTTGAAGTAATAATCACCATGTTGGAGCCATTTGTGCAAAACTGATCATTTGACAGATAATTCATCATTTTTGTTGTTTATCCTGATTAAAATCCTGAGAGGCTAAACAGTTGTTTAGTTTAATTGACGCTGATTATTACTGCAGCTCTCCTATTGGAGGAGACGTGTAATTCGAGACCTGCAGGTTTTTCTTGGGTAATTAGTGCAGCTGTTCGTCTTTGAGAGCACAATAGTTTTTAACCCTGTTTACATCGGGTCTCGATTTCCTCATTATTGTTAAGTGAAAAGTATCATTTTGTTTTGCAAAGTAAATTCCAAGTAAATTCAATAAAGTAAAGATCGACGACATGCTCTGGATCGTCACCTCAGAGGGTCTTCAATCATCAGACGAAGCTGCACTCATTCATCATATTGATCATTTTACAGACGCAGTAGTTCTTCTGCCTTAGCATCTCGGTCTGATTGTATTTCCATGGAGAAATGATCATAAATGTTCTTCCTTGAGCTGCGGCACCCCGCTGTAGTCCGTTATGGACTGGCCTAAGGTCTCTGTGATTCAGGCGTCGGTGCACGCGGTCCCGCGTTCGCCGGCTGCTGGCCTGGCAATACTGTTTCTCACTTCAGCTCAACTTAAGTGAGAGACAAACGAATCACTCGAGGAAGCGAGTCGATTCAGTGCGTTCACTTAAAAGATTCGGTTCTTTTGAACGAATCGTTCGCGAACAACATAACACTACATGTTGAGGGTCGGTCTTGACCCGTGTTTTAAATCAGCTGTAAATGACACTAAAAACAAATTTCAATCATCCAGTTTGGTTCTCATCTCTAAGTTACCTTGTTAGACTTAATCATCCTGAACTGATCTCACATGTCTGGACATGCCCCATGTTGTTTTTTTGTGCAGGAGAAACATGGAAAATGAGAATTTCTTAAATCTCACATGATTGGAAGAGGATCTGACTGTTAGTGCACTTATGATTTCAGTTTTTACTCCAATTTTTGCTTTTTCTAACCGGGTCAACAGCGACTCTAACACGACAAGTGTCATAATTTTAATAAGAGCATTTTATAAGTTAGTGAATTTAATGTTTTTATTTTTATTTTGTTGAAATAGAGGTTCCTGAAAGCTGATTTAAGAGGTTCTTTTAAGTGTTTAAAATCTAAAACAGGTCGGTGCAGACACGAACACAGGAGGAGGGTTGAATCTTTAAATGACTTTTGAACCACTAAAGTCTGTTTGTCTCCATATTTTAAACAGTGGAAGCTACAAATGAAGATATTTAAAAACTAAAAGCCTGATCTTTTACGAGCTCTCAGCCTGAACTCCGATGAAGACGATAAAGTCTGTTTACAGCAGCTCAAGCATGCGACCACTTCCTCTCTGCGTTTGCATAAAAAATCAGCAGCAGCAGAAACCTGACCTCTTCAGCGCAGGAGGACACAGAGTCCACCACATCTCACTGAAATAAAAAGCATGGAGCGCCGACCTGCAGGTGGGCTCTGCACGGACGAGCAGAGCGGTTTGAGCCTCAGGTGTCCGGGTCTGTCACCTGTTTACCAAACACCTGGAAAGAGGCCAAACTCAGCACCACACGCAAGCGTCCGATTTCTGTTTGTGCTCTGTTGTGATCACGCAGGGTCGATGTACCATTCACCGCCATTTATCTTTAATGCGGCTGTCATGTCTGTGCTGTGATCAGATCTCTGCGGCAACAAAGGAGGCGGCGAGGTGGTCAGGGTCAGGAGAAGGCGCCGTTTATCAGCGAGTATTACTTTGAGATTACAACCTGCTGCGACACACGTTTTCTGGGATCAGAGACCACGGTGGACGCAGCAGATTCAGGTCTTTCTTGAATTCCTGCTTCTGCATCATGTGATCGACTCCTGCAGCTCTTCATTCATTAAAAACAACCAGGAAATGACTCTTAGTTTCAGCTTAGGGGTGAGCAAAAATGACACCTCACTGTTTTGGGGGATTTTGACAAGAACAACACTGGTGGTAAATAACAAAGTGCTCACTAAAGTCTCATATTGTACTGCTTCCTGTGAGGAGTTTTGATTTGTTCGATTTTCTTCATTCATACTGACAGAAAAAAATCTTTTTTAAAGCTCCTGTCATGAACTTACAGTCTGTTCAAACTGTTAAAAATGTTTGTCTTTAATATTAAATTTGTAAAATGTAAATAAACGTACCCCACCAGTACCTCAGCTCTCTTTAATCACCATATTCTGTGCAGCAGTTTTACTCAAATAGTGAAATAATCTGCTGATTTGTACATTTTCAGCCCATCTCTCCAAAGACAAATCACTTTTAGGTGATCAGATTAAAGCTCCTGTGAGCAACTTTTGACTTGGGTCAACTTTGGCGCCCCCTGTGGACAAAACAGACTCTGCTTCTTTCTTCCTCTATATGCACAAACAGCTTCTTTTTAAATTAAATATCACCTTGCTTTGTTTTTTTTACAGAATAGCTGCATTAGGGAATAAAAAATAGGATAAAAATCATGTTCACACATTTTAACTGTGGTGGCTGCATGTGTTTTAAATGTGCATGTGTAGGATTGTTCATATTCAGTGAATTTGTTTGGATTATTAAAGATTATTTTGATCGTTTTCTGCAAACTGAGAGCCGTATTCAATGACGTCACAACAAATGAGATATAGTCTCAGACAGTAGAATAGATGTACGTGCAAAACAAGGAAAGCCAGCGAGATATTAGGACCACCGTGTCCAAAACAGCTCAGAAGGTAGTGGGAAACGCCAAAAATAACGACCACAACAAACCTGATGAAGCTTTAAAACACCGTCAACAAAACTCAACTTCTTAAGTTCCTAAAATCCATCCTTCTGGAGCCTTAGAAACAACTAAATAAGTTTTATTGGACTTATTTTTACTGCAGAACTGCTAAACTGAGCCTCCAGGTGAACTTCACCTGGGTTTTCTTACAGGTCAGGTGTCTGTGTAGGACTTTAACCTGCGTGTCTAACTACCTGTACAGGTGAGCTGCTTCCTTGAACAGGCAGGAGGAGAGCAGACACGCTGCTGCTGCTGCAGGTCATAAAAAAGGATCTTCGCTCCTTTGTTTGCCCTCAAAAACGAACTTTTCTTTCCACCTGTGACCGTGATTCTATGTGGAAACTAAAGTGAAGTAAAGAAGGAGAGAAAGTACAAACACACACTCACACAAACACACACACACTCACACCGGACCCCCGGAGAGTCCCAGCGGCTCTGCGTAAACTCTCACCCCGGGTTTGACGTCCTCGAACACGGACGTCTCCTCCGCTCCCTCCGCTCCGGACATCCTGACCGGCTTCAGCTGCGTGAACACCGCCCTCTCCTCGCTGCTGTGCGGGGGGTTCATGGCCAGTCCGACACTCGTTGCCATAACAAACAATCACGTCTTAAAAAATGTCGTTTAGTCAAAATTGTGTTACTATCAGGTACATAAAGTGTTACTGCGACGTGGTAAGTCCACGGCCCTCCCCTCTCTTCTGCCTCACAGGTAGGTTTACCTGAGCTCATGTACGGACCTGCTACCTGGAGGCGACGGTGAGCACGCAGAACAGCCAATGGGAGCAGAGGATGAGTGTCAGGGGCCAATCAGGTGTGCGGAGGGGGCGGGACTTACCTGAGAGGCTCAAGGAAAGAGGAAAAACAACCTGAGGAAAAGGAGGTGTTGACCCCCCTCCTATTCACTCATTCACCTCCTCTAATAATTGATGAACCATTTACCTGAATTTCCTTGATTTCAACAGTCATGCAGATATTTGAAGAAACAGGAAACTCTCCATTTCTTTTTCATTTCTGACCTTTTTAATTTGTGTGTCATCGGTTTGTTTGATGAAGACTTTTCCCTGATCACGTTTCCTCCATTTGTGGTTTTGAAATAACGTGTATCCCCGTCACACAAACAGAAATAAGTGAGTCACGCTGACAGAGTTCACGTGTGTCTTCACATACAGTTAATACCTAAGAAGTGCAGATGAAACAGCGGAGTTAGCGGGTTCGATTTCCCACATAATCCTTTACAAACAGTCTCTTTACATCGTGTTGGAGAAACGTGTTCGTCTGTGAGATCATTTACTGTATTACACATGAAGGGAAATAGTAAAAAGCTGCAGTGACAGAGAGTTTTATTGCATGTTACAGCAGGTTGAGAGGTGAGACAGTTTCAGTCATGCATGGTGAGTAACAACAGCGAACCCAAACACTACCATGAAAACATAAATATATTTTATTAGTGTTAAAGTACAGGACAGAAAATAGACAAATGAAGCCAAAAACAGGTGAAAAAAAGTAGCCATGCTATAAACCCGAGTGATAACCATTAACTGTGAAGTCGTACAGCGACTTCACCGCCATGATCCTCCCGTTTAAAGATTGGAAGAAGACTGTTGGAGCAGCAGGACTGACCACCACCACCAGGGGCATCATACTGGGGGGCAAAGGCACTGAGTAAACATTATACCATAATCATTTATCTTTGTTTGTGACCATCGTTGAATTAACGTTTTTATATCGTATTACACTTTTAGCATCCATCAACTGGGATTTCCACCAAATCCAGAAAGGCAGCGATTTTTGCCGTTCGCCAATTCCTACCGGATCCATTTGTGAGGCGAATTTCGTGGCGGATTACGGACAGCAGTAATCACGAGAACTCACAAGAACCTGCAGATTCACGTTCAATCGCTCGATAACAAGTTGTCTCTCTAAAGACAGACACATAGACATATAAGCAGTAGATTGTGTCCTTCCAGAGGAGGAAATCTACTTCTAGACTTCTAGAATCAGCATCTCCTCATCCATGGTGTCATCGCGGTGAAATGACGTCTAAAAACCTTTCACTTGTTCGTCTCCGCCCGTTTGCATGGTGTGAAATACGATCCTCCTGAAACACGGAGTGTTTTATTTTGAAAAGAAGCCGGATGTTTTATTTTGTGTCTGTGCCCGACTTCCTTTCCAGCACGGGTTAATCTGTGCTGAATTTATCCGCCATGCTCCGGCGTCCAGAAAAAATAGAACTCTTGTGATCAGCTGAGGAGTCCGGCGATCCGCAGAGGAACGGAAAGAAGTCGGTGTAAATTGACACGTTAACTTGAATGGTTACGATCAGCTATGATCGGAGGATACGACCTTTTAGGAGACGATCAGGATGAAGGTGGAGATTGGAGGTTAGTCCACAATTCCACAACCGGTGCCAGAGCTCGGTCCATAAAGCCCGTAGTGAATTGGACTTGGATCTGGTTAGGGTTGGACTCGTTCAGGGCTCTTGTTCATAACTTTTATAGACTGAATTTCTCGGGGGGTTGAGGTGGTCCAGTTTGGGGGTCTTAGCATTTGGTTACTACTTTTTGCAGATGATGTGGTCCTGTTGGCATCATCGGATCATAACCTTCAGTGACCTTCTCACTGGACCAACTCACAACTGAGTGTAAAGCTGCTGGGATGAGACTCAGCACCTTCAACTCTGAGTGTAAAGCTGCTGGGATGAGAGTCAAGTGCCCTCTGCAGGTCGGGGGTGAGATCCCGCCCCAAGTGGAGAAGTTCAAGTATCTCAGGGTTTACATCAGCAGGGATGTGGACTCTGCACGGGTCTGTGGTGGTGAAGATGGAGCTGAGCTGAAAGGCTAAAGTTCTCCATGTACCGATCGATCTACGTTCCTACTCTCACCTATGATCACCAGCTGTAGGTAGAGACAGAAAGAACAAGATCACGGGTACAAGCGGCTGAAATGAGTTTCCTCTGCAGGATTGGTGGTCTCTACTTTAGTGAAAGGCTCGGTGCTCGGAGTAAAGCTGCTGCTCCTCTACGTTGAGAGGAGTCAGACGAGGTGACTTGGATATCTAACCAGGATGTCTCTCGGATACTTCCATAGTGAGGTGATCAGGACACGTCCCATCGGTAAGAGACTTCCTTTCTTGGGCTGCTGCCTCCGTGACATGACTCGGATAAGCAGTAGAAGATGGATGGATGGCGTTCATCAGTCTGTGGTGATGATGATTTTACTCCAGACTCATCCATGTTCATTTATTTAGATTTTAAAAAGTCCTCTAAAATGTCAAACTGGAAACTCTGACGTCAGGAGGTCTAAATCTGACGTTAACATTCACAAACTTACTTTCTTCAAACACACGCCAAAGATTCATCGACACGTGCAGATATTTTCATTCTCATGTTACATAACAGCCGATTAAAAGTCACCTGCTCAGTCATTAAGTTTCTACCTCTCCGAGAAAACGACAACAGGCTGAAGATTAGTGAAAATGACCGACTGCATTGTGTGATTCTGTCTTCCATTGTCTCCTGAACAATGTGCGTGCTTATTCACTACAAAAGCAGAGTCATGACTTGAACTCTTCATAAAATATTTTAATAATTACTCTGATGATAAAACGGACACACCCAGACCTGGGAAAAAATAGATCCTACGCTACACATCGAGGAGAGTGAGGAGTTTTAGCTAGCCGCAGATGTCAAGTGACGCAACGTGAATTTTTCTACAGATCCGTCAGAAAGCATCTGGTTTATTTTGGCGAGGACGCTCCCTGAATTCATTTTCTTCATCAGTTTGGAGAAAAATCACATCATCTTATTTTACAAAACGTTTTTAATTTTGATGCAAAGATTTATACCTCCAATGAGGCGTGGTGGTGCATACATCGGCGCCACGCTGTCTCAACGATTAAAAATAAAAATCCGAGGCTTGTAAACAGACGGCTCAGCGGCGTGTTCAGACAGATCCTTTTATTCTATTTTGAGGGCGTTTGTTTTAAATATACAACGGTTACTGAGTCACGGGAGCACCGCGGACAAACCGCTGAAGGTGGGGCTTATTAAATGTAATTATCTGTACGTGAAGCAGTCCTGTAATACAGCTTAAACTCTCATTATAGATAATCATATGTTCTTTTAGAGGTTTTATTTTACAGTTCAGATCTGAAGGTTTATTTTCTACCTGCTTTAAATGTGTAAACGCTGCGATCAAAGTTCAATTTATCGAGTTTTCCCCTCATGAACAAACAAATAAATACATTTAGATCGAAGATGTCCCACACTGGGATATTTTCTCTGATCCCATCAGTTTACTTCTCTGTAACCCGACATCGACACACCGTGAGAAAAGTGCGCTCTGATGTGGATCCTGTTCATACGAATAAAACCAACAGGAACTGTTCGGAGCCGGTTTAATCGGTCCCACAGGTCGGCCCGCATATTTCTCAGGTATTACAATTCAGCAGAAAGCTTTGATTTGACAGCTTTGACATCGTGCAGAATAACCAGCTGCTGTCAAAGAAGACGCCAATGTCACAAGGATAATAGGATCGTAGTAACGTGCCCAAACCGTGAAAATAAGGGTCCTCTGGGGCGTCAGTACCTGCTCTCACTCATCCAAACAGAAAATTCAGGGTTTACTCACATTTTGCAGAGTTGGTTCGAGTCGAGTGAATGCAAACATGTCTGAAAAGAATTATTCTGTTTTCAAAAATATCCTTTTCACACCAGCATCTTTATCTCCAAATGACTTGAAGCCCCCGTGACTTCTTCAGATGTTGACCATCTGTTTTAAAATTATCTGAATTTATTTATTTGTGAACTTCTCTGCTCCTCTTAAATTCTTGACTGTATTCTGTCTCTCCATCATGTAATAGATATTATGACGTGTGCTGCTGACCTTACCGCCGTGTCAGCTTTGTGAAAAAGATCTGATTAATGCGATAAATGGAAATATATCCTGACAGTCACCTGGAGCAGTCCGGGGTTCAGAGGACACTTTCACGTCTTACTAACGACTCTACCACTGAGCCACCACCGCCGCCCCAATAACTAATCAATATTTTCTATGTGCGTGCAATGAAAACAAGATAGATCTTTAATTCAAGATTATTCCACCTCGTCAAAAATAAAGATGAACTTCACCTTTAATTCAAGCTCGTTTTACTTTTGCCAAGTTTTTCTAACGATCCTCCTCCACCCATCATCTCATCGTCTTTCCTGTTTGGATGTTCAAACGCTGCAAATGCAGAATAATTGACTCTGTTTTAACTGCTTCTGTTTTTCATTCAGCTCAGAGAGTTCATTCCAGAGCTTCTGTCTCAGCGTTCCCATCTGTCTTTACCTCGTTTAAATTCTGCCGTCGTAAATCATCGGAGTGCAAACTTGGCCTAAACCCAGCCGGTGTAATTATGTCAAAGAAATTTAATCTCCGGCTCACAGCGTGAACTAACTAGTCGGTTAGGTTTCAAGAAAAAAAGTTTGATCTTTGGGGTTAAAATAGTTCCTACTGTCATGTAGGATTATGTAAATACTTCACATCTCCAGATTAACTCCATATATCATCGCACACCAACGAGAGGACTCTACCGCTCTTTTTGAAATTTAACCAAAAAATGGACGTTAATGTCGGAGTGTGAGTTTATCTGTAGGGTCAGTGTCATCTGGAAACCTCTGATCATCTGTTTTAATTTAATTTAATGTGCTCTTAATCCAATTCAAATCTGTACCATGACCGTCCATATCTGTAATTTGTGATAATGTAGAAGTGCTAAATACTGCAGTTCCCTGAGTGTCCACTTGGGGCCGGCTGCAGAAGTATCATAGACCACATACACATTCAGTCAAAAAGTCAATTTTTATAAACAAAGTTTTTGACGACATTTAGGGTCTAAACTCAGCTGGATTATTGTGACACACAGAGTTAAAATCATCGGTACTGACAGATCCATGTCAACCATTAAATATCATAATAAAAACAACAATAAAAACTAACATTGTTATTTTTTTTCCATCACTTACTGGATATAAAACAGTGGGCTACAACATGTGCATGTGTATTCTTGGCTGTGCATGTCTAAAGTAATGATAGAAATTTTCTGTTAGTTGTTTTATGTTGTTTTAATGTGTTTTTGTTTTATTAAAGGGATATTCCGGCATAAAACTAATTTAGGGTCAAACACATCGTAACACCGTAGACCCCCCTCCAGAGATGAATGTTGTCGACCGCTTGCTTCTCTAGTTATACCAACTTTAGTAACGACCGCAGGATAGCAATACACAGCAGATGTTCTTCCTTGAGCTGCTTCACCCCGCTGTAGTCCCTAACGGACTGGCCTGAGGTCTCTCTACGAACAAGCGGCTGCTGGAAGAGAGTAGGTGAGTTGTGTTCAGTCTCTTTGCTAAAGAAATGAGTCAAAGTTAAAAAGATGTTTGGTGTCTAGTACTATGTCTGTGACCCTATATGTCCTGTTGATGAAGTTAGGTGCTGTTCTGAGCATTATTTGTGGCTATAGAGTGGCGTTTTGGTTGGGGGCGTGTCTCTCTATATTGCTATCCTGCGGTCGTTACTAAAGTTGGTATAACTAGAGAAGCAAGCGGTCGGCAACATTCATCTCTGGAGGGGGGGTCTAACTCGGTGTTACGGTGTGTTTGACCCTAAATTAATTTTATGCCAGACTATCCCTTTAACTAATGTGATTAAACGGATGACATGCTTTGCAAAATGAGGTGAGAAACATTTTCTTACCTTCGCCTGGACTGCAGAGACCTGGTTGCTTTTTTTGAGCTCGAGTTGATTTCTTTCTCGTTGATACTGATGCATAAGTTTTATTTGACTATCATGGCCTGTAGATAAAATAATAAACCTGTCAAGTGCAGACTTTTACTCAGGGCGTGGTCCTTCTTCATGCAGAAGCTTCTTTGCTCTCCTGTCTTACATCACTCTGTTGTTCATCATAATATGCAAATCAGACATGATTAGACAAACAGGGAGATTATGACTGTTTAATTACACAGCATAAAGAAGGACACAGCTGTGGTTACGTCTATTTTTGGGGAAATGTGTTTGAAGGAGTTTGTCTGACTTTTGAATGGGGTTCATGTAATTTTTAATAATCCAGACTCAGATTAAAGGACTGAAGCCTGAAGCTCGGTAAAAAAGCAAAAACCTGAAAAACCACTTGAATTTTTCCGATTGTAATTCATGTTTGCGTTTGTGATGTGAGTAAACAAAGACCGAACAAAGACGACTCTGCAAATGAAAACAGAGAGCTTATAAAGTCAAAGAAGAAGAAAAGGAGGAGCGTTTCGTTTTGTTGTTTTTTTTTGAGGGAAAGAAAAGACCGTCGATTTGTCACATTCCTCCCCGTCTCTCTCGCTCTCTCTCTCTCTCTCTCTCTCTCTCTCTCTCTCTCTCTCTCTCTCTCTCTCTCTCTTTCTCTCTCTTTAGCGCTGAAGGCTTGTTTTTAAGCCGAGGGCAGGTGAGGACAAAGTTTACAGCTGAAGCAGGTGAACGCCCTCCACATCTCTGCTCACGAGACCGTAAAAGAAATGAACCGGTATGATTTTTCTGCCTGCTCACTTATTACTTTATTCGACACACGTTCAAGGAGAAAACACGACCTCTGGAAACTCTCCTGTAACTTTAAATCAAAGTTCGTAGACGTCTTAAATAGTAAAACATGTTTGGTACAGTGTCGAATCAAACAGGTAAGTGACACACGGTGACTCAGAGGAATAAAACGCGTCCTGGTGTTCAGGAATTGCTCTTGCCTAAATTCTGTGTTGGCTCATGTTCGACGGAGACACGTGCCGCCCAGGCTCAGAGCTCATTGTATGTGTCATAACCACAGATCGCCGTTTAAGGATGATAAAAGATTCAGAAGTTGATTAACGTGTCGGTTTGGTCCTGCAGGTAAAATATTCCTCCCAGTCATGGTGGACGCCATCTTTGGGACCGTAGCGCTGTCCCAAAGACGGCTTCGTACAATCAGTGAAAAATCCGACAAAACTACCCGCCTCTCTGCAGAGTCCCTCATGGCGATAAAGAGCTGTGAGGATTCCCACTTCTGTATTTTAGGATGAGTTAACAATGAAGAAACTTTTCCCAATTAGAGCGAAGATAAGTGCAAGATCAGTCGATTAAGAGATGTGATTATGAAACTTTCTAGACGGTCGTTTAAACTAAACTTTAGACAGAATCTGTTTGAGGAGACGGTGACATTTCCACGGTGCAGAAACCGACAGTTAGTGCTTCAGAGTTTCACGAAAAACCAGCTAATGGAAGTGAGAGTTCACTGTCCGGTCGGTGTTGGGCGTAGCTGCAAAGATCTTTGTCTTATTTCTTAAGAAAAATCCTGTTTACTGCATAATTAGTAAAAGTTTCATCACAGGATTGCATAAGTTTTCTGCAGAAATGACGAGCTTACACAACGACTCTGTAAAAATATCTCAAATATGCGACTTAATGATGTGTATGAACCTGTTTAATAATCAAACGCTTTCACCTCTCATCGTGAAAGTTGGAGAACGTTGTAGATCATCCAATCACAAAAATGGTTCACTTCCTCATTCAACACTTATTTATAGAGGTGCAGGGATTGACACTAACTTCTTTCACATGTTCTCCTAAATTAAAAAAGTATGTCTGATCGTCCGACCTTAGTGCTATTATTTAAAATCAATTTCAGGGCTTTTGGTCACATGACAGTGAAGCTATTGAAGAAAAACAGCCTTTTCTGAGAACATCAACCGGTAATTTATTGACGGTCCCTTATTCAACACCGACGTTGACAGTGAGGGTGTCGAGTAGATTTAACCGCGCTGCTGTTGTTATTCCCGGTTATGGAGAGTGAGAAGACACCGGTAGATCCTCAGAGAATGTCCGTCAGATATCCAACCTGAAACTAACTTCACCGCCGTATTTACAGGAAAATATATCCAACCTGAAACTAACTTCACCGCCGTATTTACAGGAAAATATATCCAACCTGAAACTAACTTCACCGCCGTATTTACAGGAAAATATATCCAACCTAAAACTAACTTCACCGCCATATTTACAGGAAAATATATCCAACCTAAAACTAACTTCACCGCTATAGTTACAGGAAAATATATCCAACCTGAAACTAACTTCACCGCCGTATTTACAGGAAAATATATCCAACCTAAAACTAACTTCACCGCTGTATTTACAGGAAAATATATCCAACCTAAAACTTGCTTCACCGCCGTATTTACAGGAAAACATATCCAACCTAAAACTAACTTCATCGCCTTATTTAAAAAAATTTGTTGCCGCATCTAATTCTAGTCGCATATGTGAGTGAAACGGTCACACTGTCGAGCCCTGAGGTGAATAGTCAGAGGTGGTAAAATGTTTTTTCTACATTTACAATAAAAACTGCAGAGTTACAAAGTGTGTTGTCTAGACTAGATGTATGTAAAGTTTTAAATCAGGAGGTTAACATGCTGTTAGTGGTGATAATCCCAGAAAATAGACGTAAACGGCCCAAAACGGTTCAATGGGAGATCTCACGAGATTTCAATGAGACTCACTGATCAATTAGGTCATCGCAATCAGCTCTCCTAACTGGTTCATCAGTGTGTGAGGTGACCAATCAGAAGAAAGTACGCTCATGAGGGGAGGGGGGATTTAAAGAGACAGCAGCTAAAATCTAACGTTTTAGAAAAAGGTTAAAAAATCATTTGAGATGTTAAAGAAGTATAATACTACCTCTTTCAGTCCTGCAGGTCTTTGATTATATACTTGATTAAACTTTAAAACTTAAAGTTGAAAACACCTGAAATGAAATTGTTAAATGTTGGTGTTTTTTTTTGTTTTTTTTTTGGGGGGGGGAGGCCACCTGTGCTGGACTGAGAGGAGCCCTTTATCTAAACCAAAGTCCCTCCTGTTTATTGTGACTGAGTGGACAGTTTCACACAAAGCGCTTCGGTCTCTCCTGAGGGGAACCTCAGACTGATCCTATCTGCTGAGTCTAGACTTCAGACAGCCGCCGGGGTTAACCCCTGCTGGAGGTTGAGGGACGTCCTCGGGGCCGTCAGTCCTCTCGTCTCTGTCTTTCTCGTCTCTGTTTTCAGAAGGAAACACTCACAGGTCTTCAGGATGAAGCTAATCTGAAGAGCACACAGAAATATTATCCTTTCAGATGTTTGCACTGCGGTGTTTCTCTGGATTTAGGAAACGTCTCCATCAATCAGAGTTAGTTTAACTGTTTCTACATGATCTAATTTGTTTATGATGTTTATAACGAGTGAAATTGTTCGTGTTGTTTGTGGTCTTTGTCAAACCGTCAATCTTTAGACTGGTTTGTACTTAAAATAAGAGTCAGCACTTATCCTCATCTGAGCGATGTGTCATCAGAAAACAGGTCTGTGAAAAAAGAAAAGAAAAAACTGGGGATGAACTCTGCTTTAACAGTTGTCATGGCGACCTGCAAAACTAAACAGGAACAAGTTCAGGACGGAGGAAAATGGTCAGGGATCCTTCACTTTGGTTTGGTCCATATTTATAGATTTTTGTTGGTATCAGAAGAGTTTATGACTTTTTCAGTATTTAATAAGGACGACAGGACGATACTTTTACCTGAGATCTCTGCACAAGCATAAATAAGCGATTCCTTTGACTTTTATTTTGAAAATTTTAACCTATCACATCTGTCTGCCTTCTCACCACATCTTGACTGATCGACTCAAAGAAGAAATGATTTTTAAAAAAAAGGAAAAAATTGAAAATTAGTGCCTGTTTTTCCTGCTTTGTGCAAAAGAGACAGAAAAACAAAAGTGGTTTTTCATTTTCACTCCAAGACTGTAAAAGACAACGTGATTTTGTTTTTGATTTGACAACATAAAACAAACAAAACAGAACTTTTTCAATATTAAATTTATAACAATTAAACAAGACTGAAGATGGGAAATGGGTTGAAGATGTTTGATTTTGATTTTGATTAGTTTGAGACGGTTAAATGGTAATCCCGTATCTGGCAGTGGGATGAAAAAGAAAACACGAAGATAAAAATGTGCTAAATCTATCACAGTTAACTCTTAATAACTACTTGTTCCTGTACCGAGCCTTAAAAGGTTGAACAAAATCTTCAATAAAATAAAAGAAAACACTTATTTTGTTTATGGATCGCTCATGAAACACCAGAACTTTCCACTTCTTATTTATGAACCTTTTCTTTTGGCCTTGTGCATCCAGGACACTGTCCTCACTAACTAAATAACTAACTAATACACTCACTCACTCACTCACTCACTAACTTACCTATTTACTTACTTACTTACTTACTTACTAACTAACTCACTAACTAACTATCTGGGCTCTGAACATGACTAACAACCTGCGGAGTCATCCAGAATTCCTGGTCCATCCTGTCAGTGAATGACCACCCACTGTGAAATTAAGAGTCATTTTGTTACGTAACCTTTGTCTCATTAGTGAGCGGTGTTCTGACTCATTTTAAAGATATAATCAATAAAAAAAACTGAATCACAGATCGGAGAAGATTGCTGCTGTGATTATATAATGATTAAAGCATTAATGGGTGATATTGGGGTGAATGGTTCTTGTCTTTGTGGCTGCGTGGTTTGTGTGGGTGTGACGAAACAAAAGAGTAAGATTGGACGTTTGGACTCGGTGTCCTCTTATTGACTCAGGGAGGAACGGCGAACAGCCTCTGATTGTTCTCAGGAATGACGCCTTCACTGCAGGACTGTTGACTTTTCTGATGGTAAGAGCTTAAGCATTGATCCGAGTAAACGCAGAGCTGCTCTCAGTTATCGGCTGTATGCACAGAGGTGAGACCCACTCAAGTTCAAGGTGGGGAGATTTTTCACGGCTGAGAGACGAGTGACAAACTCAGGTGTTCAAAAAATGACGTTTCTCAAGAGTCCACTTAAGACCGGCTTCATGGACATGTAGAAAAACCCACTATCACAGCAGAAAACATCATGTTAGCAGTAAATAAGATGGTGAGGTGTCTGAATGAACCAATTCTCCGTTTCTACACACAGTAAAAAGGATAAATTTAACAAACTTCTGTCCTTGTTTCGTTCACAAGAACCAGGCAGCGATCGACAAAAGTACGTTAACCTTTATGTTAATCGATAAACTCCTCTAGTTTTGCTTCGTTCCAGATCTACTCAGGATTTCTGAGCTCTGAAGATTCATCTGAAACGCCCCCTGAAGTCAGATTTACGACTCGGAAAGTCGGACGATCCTCACCGACCCCGACTTGACGACAACGTCATAATCCAAGATGACAGCGAAAGCTCTTGTAATGTTTTATTTATTAGCACTTCTGTTTTGTTTTTGTGAAATTAAATTAGTGGTTTATGTTGTACCGCCCAACGTTAAACTGTGAACACGCTGCTATGGTGTTTGTAAGAGTAAAATACCGTGTTATGTGTTATTTACAACAGGTATAGCTAACAACTAACAACAGCTAACGACAGCTGATAACCGCTAACAACAACTGACGACGGCTAACGACAGCTAACGACAGCTGACAACAGCTAACAACAGATGACAACCGCTAACAACAACTAACAACAGCTAACAACAGCTTATAACGACTATCAATGCTAAAAACAGATGACAACGGCTAACGACAGCTGACAACAGCTAACGACAGCTGATAACCGCTAACGACAGCTGATAACCGCTAACAACAACTGACGACGGCTAACCACAGCTAACGACAGCTGACAACAGCTAACAACAGATGACAACAGCTAACAACAGCTTATAACGACTATCAATACTAAAAACAGATGACAACGGCTAACGACAGCTGACAACCACTAACAATTACTGACAATGGCTAACAACAATTAAAAACGGCTAATGACACCCGACAAATGCTAACAAAAACTGGCAACGGCTAACGACAGCTGATGATTGTAAGCAACAGCTAACAATGGCTAACCGTTGGCGTCCATCTTGATTTTCTGACTTGTTAACTGGAAAGCCATTAACTCAGGTGTAACGTCATTCCCAGCTCTGACATCCGACTTCCGAGGTAACTGGAACGCAGCGTTAAAACTGGAACGTATTTTTTTACTTAACATACCAAAACGATTTCCAAACCAGTTAGCAAGAAGCTAACGGGTTTGTATTTTGAAGGATTAAAAACGCTGAAAACTTCACAGCTGTGTGACTTTTGTGTTCTTTTTACTCCCCAGTTTATGAAACAAAGGCTGAGTGTAAATTTCGCCCCCAACAGTTTTCTCTTCTCGAATCGCCCGCTCTAACAAGTTTTTTTAGGATCATTAAGACAACGAGCTGAGGCCAACGATCACACTGCTGCTAATAAGGCTGATCAAGAGAAAACGAGGATCAGTTTGGTTTGATTATCGGCCGATCGATCGGTGACGAGTGGGTGTCTTACAGGTGACTACTGCTCTAGAAAAATCACATATTTTTAAGCCATCTTTAAAAAGGAGAGTGAGTTCTTGCTACAGATTACTACACACATCCTTCTATTAAATGAGATCAATCTGAATCAACTCTATGCAGATGACGCCTCACTTCCTGTGACAGTAAAGCGTGTTAGTCATTTAAGAGCTGTTATCTGTACAGACATGATTATCGACTTCTTTTATTGTTCACTTTTTACTGGAGGAGACACTTTACAGCTCTGTGGTGTGGTAACTATAAAAGTTACACCAAACTGTAAATTACACTCGGACTCCAGAAACAGATTAGTGTTGAGACGTCTCAATGACCGTATCAGTGACTCCACAGTCAGGAACGCTGTTAGAGATATGACGCCGTACCGTAAATTCAGCAACGATACAAATCTAAGAACGTTGATTTCTCCTAATTATGCATAAAAAAGACAGAACAAACTGAATGTTCACAGAAAAAAAATTAAAAATGCAAAAATATAAATACAAAGTTCTTAATTTAGCTGCATTATGAATTTTATTTCATTAAAATGACTTTTATATTCAGAGGATTTGCTGCTTTTTTCATTTTCAGAGAAACTTTTCTTGGCGACTTTTCTGTTGAACATGAAATAATAAAAAGTTTATTGACAACTTCTTTAATGTTTGTCCTTATTCTAAAACAGGTAAAAATCATATCAGGGTCTTTTTCTTCAAATATATTTATTCCTGCTTAATTCAGCAGACTGGGACTCATGGCAGGGTTCCTACACAAGTATGGAAGTAATTTGATCAATTTCCAGGTCTTAAAAAGTATGATAAATGAAAAATAGTTTGAGAAAATATTTAGGTTTCCAACTATTACCACAGTAAAAAAAAAAAAAACAGTTTTCTAAAATAGAGAAGTTGGTATTTCCAAAAATAATTCTAAAAAGTAAAGTATGAAAAATTCCAACTGTGTAGGAACCCTGTCATGGCTTTTCCCCCTCTACTTTAAAGTTCCTCTGGTTAATAATAATAAGAGCTTTATTATAAAATATATTACTCATGTTTTGGCATAAATTAGCATAAAACAAATTAAACATATGAGAAGTAAATCCCTGCAGCTGCCACCTCTGAATTTAACCTCTGTGGAGTATCATGACTTCTGCGATTTCACTTCTCTGTCATTTTGTTTCTACAGTTTCTCTCATTAATTAATAAAAGTATTTTAATCACATTAAAACGGCTCATGATGGTGTTATACTCGTATCCTATTAGTTTGTGATTCGTCTAAATCACTAACTGTGAAACTGAAACTGTTGTAGAGAAGCTTTTATTATGATAGTTCCTACATAGTAAAACTACACTTTTATTTTGAAGGTTTAAAAAAAATAGTTGCACTTATTTTCAGCATAATATCAATATTTGATATTTGAATAAAGGAGGTTTTCCAATATCCTGCCACAGCCCTGCGTGACTCTTCTCTCTGTTTTTGGCCAAACTGGTAATTAATCCCATAATAACCATAATAATATAATGATAATGTTCTAATTATGCCTCATTAAATCTCCTGTAATTACCAGGCTGGTGTCTGTGCTCATATGACTGATTTTTGTACTTTTCATAAAAGGATGTTGTAAAGTTTTGACATCTGTCCGTTAGGAAGTGTCGCAGAGATTCGCTGTAACTCGTGTATAAGAGGAACAGCACTTATATTTTTATGGTTATAGTCACATAAATGTTTTTCTTGGAGACAGTCTGAGTAACATGTAAACCATAAAGATAACCGCGCACAGTAAATGTCATTTCGCTGTCACCGGACGTCTTATCAAGAAGGAAACTTTGTGCCGTTTATGGTCAAACGTCGCTGAAACGACCACACTCCTAGGTCTGCGTGATTCGACAGAATATAACGAGGAAACCGTCGGTGCAATCGTGTTTTTGAGGTTAGAGAAAATTCCCCAGAAACAGACGACAACTTTGTAAAAGACGATATTTACATGTGGATGCAAAACGAGTTAAACAAATGACAACAGAGACAAAATGTGAGCGTGTTCGATCCTGTAAAGACAAGAAACACTCGTAGATTCAGAACAAAACGGTGGAAATCGGTGAGTTGCAGATTCCTGATAAATGACCAGGCAGAAGGTAAAGAGGGCGATCCTAAAACTGAAGTGAAGCAATAAGGAAGACGCTGATGCCAGACCTACTAACACAAAACCACTTCACCCTCCAGATATTTCAGGGAGGAAGAAATGAAGAACTGTTTCACAACACTCACAGGGCTGTAAATCCCTGCAGGATACGTGACCATATTTGGGTTTCAGGAAGTCCTGGAATTCCTTCAGGTGAGATATGAGTGAGTGTGTGACGTGACCGTGGAGGAGGCGGGAGAAGAAGCTCTTATTTACTTTATCGTTTCCTGAAGGTGATGAATCAGAGTTGATGTTGCATAGATACAAACTCACATAGATCTACTCCTAACCTAGATTTACTTTCCTTTTAAAAGCAGATTGATACTTTGACCCCTGAGCCCCGCCGTATCAGGTTACCCCCCCGTCCAAACACACACCTGTCAGGAGAAGGTGAAAGGTGAGAGAGAGGTCTGCTCCGAGGACAGAGAGGAGGGGGAGCTGAGCTCTTATTGACTCCTCATTGTTCGAGAGTAAAACCTCCTCACGGGGTCAGAGGGAGTCCCACCCACACGCTCCGCCTACAACGTGTCAACGCCGCCTCAACGTCGTCTCATCAGCGGCCTCGTTGTTTGTTTTAGCCGCTATTCTAGATTACAGTCAGGGTTTTATCAGCTGATATTTTTCATGTCATAAAGTCATGATAACTATTACACTCCGATGTTGATGTTGAGAGGGAGAGCGTGTAACCCCCAATTTTCACCCCATCCAGACTGGCTCTGATCCAGAGCGGCGCCACACACCAATTCCTACTGGATCCATTTGTGAGGCGAATCATGAGAACTCACAAGAACCCGCAGATTCACGTTCAATCACGCGATAACGAGTCGTCTCTCTAAAGACAGACACATAGACATATAAGCAGTAGATTGTGTCCTTCCAGAGGAGGAAATCTACTTCTAGACTTCTAGAATCAGCATCTCCTCATCCATAAGTGTTTTATTTTGAAAAGAAGCCGGATGTTTTATTTTGTGTCTGTACCCGACTTCCTTTCCAGCACGGGTTAATCTGTGCTGAATTTATCCGCCATGCTCCGGCGTCCAGAAAAAATAGAACTCTTGTGATCAGCTGAGGAGTCCGGCGATCCGCAGAGGAACGGAAAGAAGTCGGTGTAAATTGACACGTTAACTTGAATGGTTACGATCAGCTACGATCGGAGGATACGACCTTTTAGGAGACGATCAGGATGAAGGTGGAGATTGGGGGTGAGAAAAACTAAAAAAACGAAGAAGACGGTGGAAATTGAACTGTTGTACTTGATAGTAGGAGAGGTCAGGGTTGTGGGATGTGGGTGTTCATATGTACCGATTGGGTGAATCTCAATCTATGACTCCCGGGGAAATTAGCGAGATCTCGTCCAGTCTCATCAGAAATATCGGTAATCTCGCAAGCGCTTCTCCACCATTGGCGGCGGCGGTGGATCAGATCCGATGGGCGCTGTATGCTTGGTCCGCCTGCCAGTCCGGAGCCGTTCCGGATCCAGTGGGTTTAACCAGTTAGTGTCTTGTTCGTCTCCTGAATGAAAAAACTGATTATTATGAGGCAGTGACTCGTTTTGGACCTCAGCACCACCTTCATGTCCGGTTCTGCTCGAGGTCTCTGCCTGTTAAAGGAAGTCTTTCTTCGTGACTTCCTTCATGCTGCTCACAGTGGAGATTTAAACCAGAAAAACAGCTTTATTTTATAACAGCTGGTTTAATGGCCTTAAATAACGATCTCTGCAGAAAAACCGTTTACAAATTCTTTCTCAGGTTGATTTTCAGTCCCTCTGAACATGAAAACTCTTTCCTGTGACTGAGACGTGTTTCCTCACTTTGTTAATCCGTCTCTGTGTGGGTTTTTGTCATGCCTGCTGGATTTCATGATTTATGGTCTGACATATTTGTTCGTTTTCTTCGTTTCCTGAAGGTGGGAGGTTTCTCAGGACTCTCTGACAGACATTATGGATTCGTGAACTCATTCTGTCTAATTTTTCATAACCTGTTCTTCCAAAGTCGGTCCTGACGTACAAAAACTGTGACTTTGAGCGATGAATCAGCGCAAACACACGACACAAACTGACACGAGCAGATCTGAAGTCTGTGAAATCAGAATATCGATGAGAGAGAGAAACAGGTGAGCGAGGCCTTCACGTCTGCACACAAACAAACACACTTCACGTCAAGAGCCGCCGATCTGTCAGCATCAGGTTCTCGTCACGCCAGCGTAACTTCACCCCGTCACGACACTCTCGGCGTGCCAAAGTGAGCACCGCGGACCACAATGCAACTGTAAAACGATGCGCCATTGAGCCGCTGACAGCAGGTGACACTTCATTAAGCGGCGGGTGAATATCAGGACACCTGATAGGCCCTGTGTGTGTTTGAGTCTGTGTGTGTTTAAGGTTCACTTTTTTTTTAAAGGCGTGAACAGAACTCGAGTCCAGACGTCGATTTTATAGTAACGAACGAGTGTTTTTGTGAGTTTCTGTTTGTTTCCCACCGTGTAAGATTCTGTCAGAGCTGCAGATCTGTGGAGGCGTTGGATCTCATTAAATTTGCATGCAAACCTTTTTTCCACAGAAGTGTCAACTCTTGGGGCGGACCTGTGATTGAGTAACAGACGTCACTCATTTCTCTGTAAAACTTGGTGAGAACAAAACGATTGAGACTAATTACTACTATCATTATCATAGTTATTATTATATTCATATTTTTTATTTTATTTTTTTTTCCTTTGCTTTATCTAATCTTTTTTCAATTCCTCTCCCCCCAGGGCGGGCAGGTGGGTTGATAGATGTTGGGGTTTGCACAATCTTGTCCCGTTTCCCGTACTGTATTGTATTGTGTAGTATGTGTCTTGAGTGTTATGTGTCCTGTATGTTAAAAACTGAAAATCCAATAAAAACATTATTAAAAAAAAAAAAAAAAATGATTGAGAGAACCATGAATGATGACGGTTTATCTCTGTGGATCCGACAGGAAGTCAACAAACTGCTTTTTGAGTTTAAAACGGGCAGAAAAAGACAAAAACAACTGATCTGTGAGTTTAGACGGCAAACTCAAGACAAGACGAGTCACTACATCAAAATTCAAGTTTGTGTTTTTTTATTGATCAGGGTTCCCAAGAATGTTCCAGATCCCAGAATTAACATGTCAGCGTCATGTAAAGAGACATGTATGTTTAGTCCCTGTGAAGAACCCACAGGACGTAACGAATCCAAGTCAGTGATGGGAAATCCATCATGAGTTCTAACAGGTCTGGTTTATTTCATCATCACCTGTATGAGTTTATCTCGAACATGAGTGGGCTGTGTAGATTGTGTAACAGCTTCATGATTTTTCCTTTTTCTGTGTAAAACACTTTATAATACTTATCATGAAGTTATATCAATCAATCAATCAGTCTTCATGTATATATTAATTTTCATACACAATTATGTAGCACAAAGTGTGGCAGAGTGTTTTATCTCACTATATTGAACTGCAGATTGGTCCGATGTTTTCTTTAATTCTATTTCAGTCCAAAGACAATCGACTCAGATGAAACTTTACAACTTTAATCTTATTCTCTTTAGTTTTTGTGCATTTCTCACCAGTTTGACCAGTTCTGAAAAAATCTGACGCTGTAGCAGAATCTTTGCTAATCTCTCCAGGCGACGCCGTTGTTGACAGGCTGGCTGCTGGCATTCAGACCAGCCTGAAGTTCTGCAGGATGGATCGCAGAAATACGAAACTTTTTAAATGTTTATTTCATCACCAGCTGGAGACTTTGAGGATTTTTCCTGTTTTTGTGGGTAGAAAGAGGATTAGAGCTGCATGAAGAGAAAATAATATTAACAGGAAGGAGATTAAAGTCGAAATTTAAAGATTAATGTCAAAATTTCAAGATTGACGTCGAAATTTCGAGATTAAACTAGTGGGATTATGTCAATAAAGTCGAAATTTCAGATTGAAAAATGAAATGTCGACATTAAAGTTGAAATTTTGAGATTACAAAATGTTGAAATGACGTTAATTATGTGTCGAAATTTTCGAGATTTAAGTCGTCATGAATTGTTGAGATTTCAACTTTTTTAGATTTCTACTTTAATCTTGAAATTTTGACTTTAATTGCAAAATTTTAAGTTTTTTAAATCTCAAAATAGATTTTTTTAAAAATCTCCCTCCTGTTATTATTTTTCCTCTTCTTGTGGCCCTGATCCTCTTCTGTAGCTCTATGTTAGAGGTGGAATCATGCTGAACTCAGTCTTAAGTCTCTGAGTTAGTATGCACTTGTGGTTTTTTTATCTCTACTCTCACATCAGTCTTTATATTCACTGTATCATCAGCCTGAAGAAGCTAAATTTGGACCTCAGCAGGTGACACATCGTAGGTCTGCGCGCTGACGACCTTCAGTCGTTGTTCTGTGATAATCTGGCGGACATTAATAATGACTGAGCTGATGTGTGACGCCTCATTGACCATGAAATGTACACCAGAGTCCCTAAACCCTCTGATGGACACATGTAGGTCAAACACATGAGCAGATACACAAACTATAACCAGGCTGATAAACTTCCTCAAATCTAATATCCTGTTCACAGAGGACACAGATGGTGTTGGTTCAGTCACTTCACTAGCAACAACATTTTGAATTTGCGTCATTTACACCTAAAACTTGTCCAAGTTTCTCTGCTAATTCAGAATTCTCGACTGACCGTGTCGTTACATGTCCGTTTACTGAAACTGGACCTTTTAAAAGCATGTAAACTCATTAATCCGACTTAAATAAAGTAAATCAAACTTACCTTACTAACGTACCTGGATGGTTCAGTTGGGTATCGATTTTCTCCTCCATCTTTACTGCATAATCGTCCTGAAACTAGGCGAAGTATTCTGCACTCGCACCCGTGTCCGAGCTGGACGTTGAACAGCATGGACACGCAGCTGGAAAGACAGAAAGTAAACAAAACGTCATTAAACGAGGAGAGAATACGACCTTTTAGTCTCCGTTTCAGCTGCGGTGGAAATTTGGGATAACTGTCTTCTGCAGATTATCTGTTTGGCGAGGAACAGCTGAGTCTGCAGCTGGATACTCATGATTCTCTGGACTGTTTTTATTAAAGTCCAACAAAATACGACTTAGTTGGACTCAAATCTTTTTGAGTGTTGAGGTGTCCAACTCCAGTAAACATTATTCCACCTCTGCTGCAGCAGATGGTCCTCATATGTCCGTGATTACAGGAGTTTCCACCTGCACATTAGTTTTTCCTGGTTAACTAACAGTCGGGGAGAAAAACCTGCACTGGGATGTGACGATCAGGTCATGGGTTCAGCGGGGAAAGCTGAGGGAAAGTGAGGTCAGGTAAAAATGGAGCGTGTCTTCAATCATTCAACGGTTTAACGCCATGGAAACCAAACTATTATAAGAACTTCATTATAAACAAACCATGTAAACATGCAAGAATGGAGGCTTACAACAATAATTACATATAATTTAAGAATGATTTGCATGTAAATGTGTCGGAGATAATGCCGTAACAAGTCCGGACAAACACCTGGAGAAGCACGCAGCATCAGCAGCAAACCGAACACTTCCTCTGATCTATTTCAGTGACTTCCTCTGCGTCACGAGCAGCATTCCTGTCCTCACCGGAGGATTCTGATTGGCTGACGTGAAGCGAAGTCGACCAAACCGCTGCAGTGTTTTGGCAACCGCAACTAAACTGTCAGGTACAACATAGCTGCAGGGCGGCGAGATTTTTCCACTTTCATCTGCGATCAGACGGGAATCTGAGCTGCTGAGTTTTGTTATTTGATAGTTTGGAGATAAATGCAAACGTATAAACAAATAAACACCAACAGGGAAAAGAAGAGTCAACAACAAACAAAATAATGTAGAAGGTATAAAAAATATATCAAGGTTCAGTTTGAGACTACTGTAGTGTCAGCATGTTTCTGCAAGGATAATTTTTTGCACATTTTAGATCAAAATGAGGAAAAAAAGCAGCTGTGGTTTTTGTGAAAATGTTGACTCCTCTCAGTTCTCAGAGTTTACGTTGTTGTTCAGTTTCAGGTTTGTCTCCTGCAGGTCCTCAGAGGAGTTTTCCACTCACCCTTGTTCTCACTCCGGCTACATTTTTGCCTCTGAGTCCGTTAAGTGGGCGTCGGCGGTGACTCCATCGCTTACGTGTGCCGGCCTCTGTCACGGCGCTGACTCAGCTTTGGTAAACGGACCTGCACGCGCCTGCACACAATGAGCTTCTTAGAGAGACGGGATTGGTTACCTGTGTAGAAGAAATGATGAGGATGGAGAGACAATGAGGAGTGAAGAGAGAGGAGGTAGGCCAGGAAGAGGAGGATGTGAGGAGTTCGAAACAGCTGATCACCTCCTCAGATCATAGAGAGTTCAGATGTTAACGCTCAAACCTGAAGAGAGAGAGAAATCACTCGTTATGCAGACGACATGATCCTGTTTATGTTAATGAGCAGGGGCGTGGTCAGGCTGTTCCACAAAGGGCACCTCTAATGTGCTGTGGGGCACCCTCACATTGGGGATTAAAGATCCGTCTCAACAGAGTCGACCCGAGCCTCAATGAGGCCCTGAGCAAAATTAGATTTTTGTGTTACATGGTCGTGTAAGAAAACAGAGACTGACTGATTCATCAGCTGGTCACTTCAGTCCAATAGAAGCTTGACACGCCTTCATTTTGAGCCAATCATCTTTAAGGTTGTTTCTTCGTCCAACGTTCATTCATGCTTAGGAACGTGTGTCCTTCCACCTCTGTCTCAGTGAGGGAGAGGAGGAGGAGGAAGTGTGAGAGGAGGATGACCATGAAGAGGGAGAGGAGGATGACCACGAAGACAGAATGGAGGATAACCAGGCAGAGGGGAGGATGACCATGGAGATGAAGAAGGAGGATGACCACGAAGACAAAGAGGAGAATGACCATGGAGACAGAGGGGAGGGTGACCACGAAGACAGAAAGGAGGATGACCACGAAGAGGATGAGGAGAGGATGACCACGAAGACAGAGGAGAGGATGACCACGAAGACAGAAGGGAGGATGACCACGAAGAAGGAGAGGAGGGTGACCATGAAGACAGAAGGGAGGATGACCACGGATAGAGGGAGGAGGATGACCACGAAGACGGAGGAGAGGATGACCACAAGGACAGAGGGGAGGATGACCAAGAAGACAAAGAGGAGAATCACCATGGAGACAGAGAGGAGGATGACCACGAAGACAGAGGAGAGGATGACCACGAACACAGAGGGGAGGATGACCACGGAGAGAGGGAGGAGAATGACCATGAGGATGAAGAAGGAGGATGAACACGAAGAGGAGGACGACAATGAAGACAGAAAGGAGGATGACCAAGAAGATAGAAAGGAGGATGACCAAGATTAGGAACAGAGTGAGACTCTGTCTCTGTGTTTACCATCTCTGCAGAGCGCTGCATGAGTGAACACACAAGTATGCACAAGTTATACTTTTGTGTATAAGTGACTATCTTGATACAGTGATCTTGTATGTACAACTCAGGTGAACATGATAATAACGTTTACACACAAATTAACCGTAATCCCAGAACAAGAACATGTCGGTGACGAGCAAACCAGCACCCCCTTACGTCATGTTCTTCAGGGCGGTTTCCCCACCCGTACTTTGTTAGCTGAGTTTACTCGTTGCCACGGTAACGACTGTCTATAACATCCAGGCTGATTTCCTAACAGGTCTTTGTTTGATATAGTCGAGTACAGGGAGTTAGAGAGAGAGAGAGAGGACGTGTGGGCGAGCGCGGCTCCTCAGTCGAGTTTGTTTTCTCAGAGATTAAAATGACAAAAGCCGCGATATGAAACGACCTTTGACCAGCGTCACTCTGACAGTTCCTGTATGAGAGCGTGATGGAGAGACGCTGCTGCGGCGAACTGACTGTTCAAACACTCACAGACACATCTATACACAGGGAGTTTTCATACCCTCACACACACACACACACACACACACACACACACACACCCCTCCCAGTGTTAACGGAGTCATTTAGAGGGACTGATTTTATCCGTTTAACTTTATTTAAAGGTCCTCAGCAGACGTTTAACGCCTGAGTCTCTGCTACATATTTATGTCACATTTAGAGGTGGAAATTTGATATTTTAGAATCATAAGAAAAAAGATTTATACATAGAGTAATTTAAAAAAATGAATGCTTCGTCCTGCTTCAAACTCACAAGTGAGATTTGACGTCTTAAATTCATTTTGATTCTGAGAAGTTAAACATAAATCAATTGTTGGAATAAACTGATTCAAATTTACAGTAAATCAAACAAAGACTTCCTGAAGTCTGGAGTGACGCTCTCACACCTTCTTTGTCAACATCTGTACAATAAGGAGAATAAACCAAAAGGGCATCCACTGTTGCTTTTTTCGTGTTTTATGAATTATGTTATTCTGATAGATTGTTTTTCAGATTTTATACACTGGAATGGAATCAAGGAAGAATTTTTTTATGGTTTTATTTGTTTAAGGGCATCCAGTGATCAATTTTTAATGTCCATTTCGCTGTAGAGAACCAGATTGCTCTGTTTTTTTACAGTTTACATACAAGAGGAAAAGAAAAGGTTAGATAAGATAAGAGCATTTCTCTCTTTTTTTTTCTCCTTAGTGGACTTTTTTTTCTTCTCTTTTTTACTTTTTACTGATCTGAAGGACTCTCAAAGGCTGCAGTTTTTTTCTGACTGGTTCAGGGGACCTCCTTTTTAATACTCTATCCACTAAAGACATCCACTTTTTCATCTTTTAGAAGTGCAGCTTTAAAGAAACTTTCATGCATTTTTTATCAAATATCAACTAAAATGAATTGGATAATGTTGAATTCACTATAGGGACACTCTGACAGCATGTCTTGATCGTCCTTTAGTGCACTATCGCTCTGTTTCAAGAAGCCGGCTGTCTTATCATTCATATTTGTGGTATTCACTGACTTAATTTGAAGTTAATTTCAGATTACAGTCATATTTTTATCTCCTGTGTCAACACAGCCTTCTGTCAGACTGCTGTCCTCCTCTTCTGTTGAACACAGCTCCCTCTGCTGGACAAAAGAGAGAACTTCTTCTTTAAACACACACTTTCTTTTAGTATTTTCCTTTATTTTGATTTTATCTATTGGACATTTGAAAATCCATTACCGTTGTAATTTATGAGTTTTATATGTGGTAAGATGTTTGTTTCCTTCTATAAATTGTATTAAAATACTTGTTATCGAACAAATTAAATTAACAATAACATAACAGTTTTTATATCAAGGTGATTTTGCACAAATTCAAAGTCGAAAGTAATATTTCATTTGAGTAATTTGCGTAATACTGTTCGTTATTGTTTATAGGTATGACACTTTCCACACAGCCGGGGGCGCACTGCTCCTATCTGTCCTTTAAAATGAGCGTTGGTAGAATCGTAGAAGAAGAAGCACCATCCTCTTCCTGGGTGAGGAGGGTAAACAAACGTGCGTTTGTGACATTGAAACAAATTTCAGTTCCTATAATTATTATGAGTTAATTTAAAACATGAGTTAGTTCTTCGGGGTGTTGGAAAGTCTCGGTTTTAACAAGGAGCTAAAAGGTAAGAGAAATACGAGCTCTAAAGCTGCGTATACATGTGTTAAAAAAAACGAAGAAGAAATCCGTTTAAGAATCTGACAGTTTATCGTTCTCGTTGATATTTCTGGTCCTAAACTTGATGTTTGAATCCACGAGTGACTGATTTCTAATCTTCAGAATCGACTTTCAAATTCGGCATTAATATATTTTTCCAGTCATCATCCATTTAAGTTTAACTTTGATCTCCACATCATAAATCTGTTGAGTTGTATTGGCCACTGAGTGCTAACGCTAATTAACGGTAACGGTAACTAACGGGGCTGCACCGGATGGTTGAATGGTGACATTTAATTATTAGTAGACTTAATTAGCCGACCTAATACATGCCGAATTTAAGAAAACATCTTCACAATTCATCCAAATTCTACAGACTCAAAATATCAAAAAGTGTCTCGTCTGGAAGAGGTAGGCTGCAAAATACAAAGATTAAGTGAATGGAATTTGGCGTACTTTAGTTTTCGCTTCATATCACCCCATGTGTAACTTAAAACCACAACCGGCATATTTAATAACTTATTTATTATGTAGTTTTAATTGATAAGTGGAGTTCACATCAGTAGACCACAGTTTTGTCTATTTGTTTATGTGAACCAGGAAGTTTTAAGGCAGAATTTAACCTGGTATCACTAATATTGGATCAGTGCAGCGTCTCCTCACCCTGTTTTTCTGACTCTTTAGTGTCTACAGATCAGATCTATGACTATATTCTAAGATATTCAGAGATAAATTAATACCAGTTGTTAAAAACAGTTTTGTCTCTTTTCCCAGGATGGCTCTCTCATGTTTGCGGTTATGTCCCAGACAAATGACTTCAGGACTCCAGGTCTGCGGTTATTCCACTCTCAGTAAAGCGTCCAGACCCCAGGAGAAGACCAGCAGCGATCCGGTCTTTCAGTATGTCGGCCAGCACAGAAAACCAAACCACAAAGTCTTTGTTTGGGGCTTCAGCTTCACCGGCGCTCTGGGGATCCCCAGCTTTGTGGCTCCCGACAGCGGCAGGAAGAAACCCCGCAAATACCAGCTCACGCCTTACCGTCTGGAGACGACAGAGCAGGTGAAAACCAGCATCACTGCGGATTAAATTCACCTGAGTGAATGATCCTGAGCTTGATCTGTTATGTGATGTATTTAAATGATGTGATATTTTCATGGTCATGAACCACAGAAGGACAGAATAATAAGGACTCGTGATGATTGTCGTCTTATATTAACGGCTTATTTAAGTGTGGAGAAGTGATGCGGCTGAACTCATCTGCTCCTCCTCTGTAGATCTCGTCTGCTGCTTGTGGTTACGGCTTCACCCTCATCGCCTCCCGGACTAAAGATGTGATCAAGCTGTGGGGCATGGGCCTGAATAAGGACTCTCAGCTGGGCTTCCAACGCACGCAACACAGCCGCCGTGAGTCAGACCTCGTTTCCTGTTGAGAGCGTTGACAGTTTTCCTTCACTGTAGAAAAAAAACGAGGTGACACTCAGCTTTTCAAAATAAAAGGAGGATTCAAGAGGGTTTTAAAATGCTGAAGGTGTCAGAAGATAAAATTGAGCTTTCGTTCAGACGCTCTTTAACCTTCAGTATCTTAAATATTAGATCAGTGCAGCATCTTCTCCTCACCCTGTTTTTCTGACTCTTTAACGTCTGCAGATCAGAGCTACGACTACGTCCTGGAGCCCTCACCTGTAGCTCTGCCTCTCGCTGAACCTCAGGAGACCCGGGTGGTTCAGGTGTCATGCGGCCGCGCTCACTCTCTGGTCCTTACAGACTCTGAAGGAGGTAAGAGAGTCGCCGTTTCCTCCTGTCTGGATGAAAGTTCACAGAAACCGCTGTTTGGGGAATCGACAGCAGACTCATCCTTCTCTACCTGAACATCCTTTGCTGCGACACTGCGGTTACATTTATTTACCAGATAAGTTCCTAAACCTTTGAGGGATAAAAGCAAAGTCGTTTTTCTTCAGTCGCTGAATCTCTGCAGAAAAACACGAAGCTCGGCGGTCACGCTCAGCTCGTTTATGGTGCAAACTCGTCGATTCAGTCTCAGACTTTTGCCCCTAAAACAAAAGTGAAGTCAGCGGGGAAACAAATAAATCAATCTGTGATTTTTACCTCCTCTTGTTTTCTGTGTTTTCTCTCTCTGACAGTTTTCAGTATGGGGAATAACGCGTACGGACAGTGTGGGAGGAGGATCGTCGAAGATGAAGTCTACAGGTGAGACACAAAGATATCCCCGTTCAGTTAAAAACCAACAGTCTGTCGTCTCTACCTGCATAAAGATTCATTAGACTGGATATTTTTGAGCCTTAAATCAAGTGAAAAATACTGAAAGTAGACGTTGTGACAGCGCGGCTGCAGTGATGGATTCTCTCTCTCTCTCTCTCTCCGGTCTGAACAGCGGCAGTCACATCATTCATAAGATGGATGGTTTTGACAGCAGAGTGGTCCAGGTGAGAGCAGCTCTGATGACGGATGATCCTCTCCTCTCTCTCTTCCTCTAAAAGACCGTCAGCGAGGATCACACTCCACCTCGCTGTTTATACACGAGGAGCTAATTTAACTCTACGCTAATATCAGAGACGCTCAATCTTAAAATCTGACTTTTACGCTCGAAGTTCGGTCGAACTTGACTCTGAAGAATTTAGATTTATGATCATGTTTGAAATTAGTTTACGTTTGCTTTGGGAACTTGTTTAAATATTTGGGTGGAGATCTAAATGTGCGTCACTCAGTCCGTTTTCATGACACTCGAGAAAACCGAATTATCGCCTTATTCCGATTAAGACCGGACAACTGAAGGTCGCCCCCTAGTGTTGGGGAGGAGGACACGTTCACGTCAATAATTGGATTTTCTCAGCTGCATGTAAACGAGGACGAGGAGAGAAGTCTGATTCAGAGAAAAAAAGAGAATTATGAGTTTAGTCTGATTAAACTGAGACTGTACGTATTGACTGAGTGGATGTTAGCTGGTGTCCCGACTGTAGTTGACGTCCATCCATCTGTCTGTCTGTCCAGGTGGCGTGTGGACAGGACCACAGCCTCTTCCTCACCGAGACAGGGAAGGTCTTCTCATGTGGATGGGGCGCAGACGGACAGACGGGTCAGTGCTCTTCAGGATTCAGGGGGTTTAACAGAGACAGACGACAGCTCTGTGGTCTGATCGGTGTTTTCCTTCACTGCTGTCCAGGTCTGGGACACCACAGCGTGAGCTCCAGCCCCGTGGAGGTGGGAGGGGATCTGGCGGGGGTGAAGGTGCAGCAGGTCAGCACATACGGGGACTGCAGCCTGGCCGTGTCTTCAGACGGAGAGCTGTTTGGGTGGGGGAACTCCGAGTACCTGCAGCTGTCCTCGGTCACCGAGTCCACACAGGTGAGGATCCAAAGCAGGGGTGTCAAAGTCAAATGGACGAAGGGCCAAATAAAAAATTTAGCTACAAGCCGAGGGCCGGACTGATCGAATGTTCATTGAAAATTTTTTAAATGATGCATGTAGTCTAGTTAAACTAATTGAACCTACTGAAAACCTAACAAATATATTCCAATACAATCAGATAAATAAAGCAATATTTTCTTATGGCTCTGTCAGTAATCTTTAATTTTCAACAGACACAAAAGACAAATTTCCTTTATATAAAAATCCCCATAACATGAACATTAAATGAAAGAAACCGGTATTATTCAAGGCACCATCAGTAGCCTATATTTTCTATTTTAGCAAAAGTGGGCTAAATTTACTTCAAAGAAAAAAATAATAACAGCAATTTTCGATCATCCACTCAACTGAAATATTTTTAAAATATAATTGGATTGAAATACAATAAAAATGTGTTTCGTTTCATAATGTCGTCTCAGATTATACTCTTTCAGTACCACCACACTTTCTCCACACAGAAGACACACAGGTTTTCCAGCTACCTCCGTGAACATATACTCCGACTCCCACCTTGTTTGAAACCCCCGGTTCTCAGTGTCCACCTTCCGTTTTGCCATTTTTGATGGGCATCTGAAAGTTAATTTTACTGTTATGCTGACGACTGCTGTGCTAATAAATATTGAAATGAAGCAGCCTACTGCTCGGTGCGTCACCGTTGCATTGTGGGAAATGTAGTATTGGTGCGTGTAAAAGATCTGCGGGCTGCCGGCTTGCTGCGGTCTGCGGGCCGGTTCTAATAATAAATCAAGATCATCCCAGGGGCCGTAAAAAGCCTTGACTCTGACATATGTGATCCAAAGACTCTATACTTTGGTTTCTGTGAGGCGGCTCAGCTCAGATTTTCATTCGTTCAGGTGTTTTAAAAACTCTGTCCAAAGCTCCTCTTTTCACTGAAGTCTCCATTAAACACAGACGGACCGAGGGGCGAACATGTTGAGCCTGAATTTTACAAAACCTCACCGAACTCTGCTGTTGTAAACCTCTGAGAACACCCGTCTGTCATAAATCAGATTTTATAATAAAATTCACGCCATGAAATCTTCTGCTGCCAATCCTGTTCCATGAATCAGTGAAAGTTTTGAGTATAAATCTCCTCATGGCTGAAAATCCGTGTTTTACAGTCCTGCAGACTTAAGATCCTGATCTCTTATTTCAGATCAACTCTCCTCATCATCTTCCTCTGAGAGGCTGTGGGAAGGTGGTTCAGGCCGCGTGTGGAGGGACACAGGTCGCCATTCTCAACGGTGAGTCTGCGTCCCTCAAACACAAGTCAGACGCGGAGTAAGAAGTCTTTCCCAGACTCTCAGTCTCCGTCTTCTACTTCTGAATAAATCTTTTGAGCCTGAACTTCACCGCAGATCCAGACAAAGCGAAGTTTTCAGGAAGTTACGATGATGGTTTGAGACTTTTTTGGACACTTGTTCTGTTGTCGCTGAAAGAAAGTGAGAAAAAAAATGATAAAAACTGAGGGACCCTGCAGATTTATACGACTTAAAGGTGGTTAATAAACATGGATTATAATATCTGAATTATTATATATTAACCCTTTAACTTCATCCACTTAAACCGTCTGCTCACGTGTCTCTGAATCTTCGCAGATAAAGGAGAGGTCTTCGTTTGGGGGTACGGCATCCTGGGAAAAGGCCCCCGTCTCTCCGAATCCTCGACCCCGGAGATGATCCCCCCCACGCTGTTCGGACGCTCGGAGTTTACCCCATCGGCCGCCATCACCGCAGTCAGGTGTGGCCTCCAGCACTTCGCAGCAGTGACAGGTGAGGACGGCGTGACGTCTCTCAGTCTGATCAGATCACCTGAGAAACGGCTTTTATTTAAATCCACGATCAGTCGACCTTCGTCTGTTTCAAACCAGGATAAGAGACGAAAACGTAAAGTCTGTCTGGAGAAGGAGTTCACTGTCGAGTCAGGTCATTTAATCTGAAGGACAAAAAAGCGTCTGTCCTTTTGTCTGTCTGGTTTTTATCTCTGAAGCAGCTTCCAGAGAGACGGGCCGGAGTCTCTGGGTAAATGTGATGACGTGAACAGAGAGAGAGATCGACCGAGACGAAGTGAAATCCTGTTTTTATGAGTCAGACTTAAACTTTTAAACCCGAGACAGAAGGAGAGCCGAGACACAGAGTCAGGGAATCCTTTCAGAAAAAACATAAAAACCAGAGAAATGAACATTTAACTCCAACATGATCCAGAAGAACTATTTAAGGGTCACTGTTCTTTTCCATTCACGTAGTTAAACCTCGTAGTTACAGCTCATGGAAATGAACGCACACCTGAAAAACAGGTGCATTCAGCAGTTCTGATCTAATCCGGTCGGTCCTCTGTAAAGTTTTCTGGTTTCTAGTTTTTTTCTCTGTTGTGAAAGTTTTGAACTCCAGCCGGCCTCTGCGGCGCCTCGGCGTGTGTCCGGCCTCACAGCGTGACGTTTCTGTTTGATGGTTTCTCTGCAGATCGAGGCGAGCTCTTCGTTTGGGGGAAGAATGTGAGAGGTTGTTTGGGCATCGGGAAGAAAGACGACCAGTACTTCCCGTGGAGAGTAAGACAACACTGACTCAATATTATCCCTGCAAACACGCAGCTGATCCACTGTGAGGAAAACTAACTCTTCACCGTGACCGCTAGATTACAGCTGCAGTTATTTAGACCGACACTGAAAAACAGCTCATCTTCATTTGGCATTTACATCAACAATTACTTCAGCAGATTTGACTTTATTACAGTGATAATAGTCACTACACTGTGAGCACAATTATCAGGCAAATATTTTGACCGTATCATCATTTTTATGCATATTTTCCAACTCCAACCTGGATAAACTGAAATACTTATTGGATATAAGTATATCAGGTGATGTGAATTTGTGTAATGAGGGAGGGTGAGGCCTAAGGAGATCAACACCTTAAATCAAAGTGTGCAGAATTATTAGGCAGCTTGTTTTCCTCACGATAAAAAAGAGATTGAAGAGACTCTGAAAACTCTCTCAGAGGGATGCAGCACTCTTGAAATTGCTCGGATATTGATCACAGAACTATCAAACATTTTGTTCCCAATAGTCGACAGTGTTGCAAGAAACATGTTGAGAAAAAAAAGACGCAAATTAACTGTCGAAGATTTGAGAAGACTGAAACGTGAAGATACCAGGAACCCGTCATCCTCCAGAAGAACCAGGTGTTCAGTTTTCAGAGACACGACCGAGGTAAAGAAGACTGAAATCAGACCACCACTGAATAAAACACAAGAGTTAAAACATCAAGACTGGACCGAGAAACAGCTGAAGACAGATTTTTAAAGGTTTTATGGACTAATGAGATCAGAGGGACTCTTGACGGACCAGATGGACGGGCCTGTGGCTGGATCAGTAACGGGTACAGAGCTCCACTTCAGGGTTCTGGTATGGGCTGGTATTATTAAAGATGAGCTGGTTGGACCTTTTCGGGTTGAAGATGGACTTAAAATCAACTCCTAAACCTGCTGCCAGTTTTCAGAAGACACTTGATTTTGATGCAGGACATTTCTCCATCACATGCATCGAAGTCCTCCACCTTAAAAATGAACGAATGATGGCGTGGCCCCCTTCCTCAGCTGACCTAAACCCTACTGAGAACTTGTGGGACCTTCTTAAACTGGAGATTTACGGTGAAGGAAAACAGTCGACCTCTCTGATCAGAGTCTGGAGTCTGAGGTTGATCAAGAAACTGACAGACTCCACAAACTGAAGGTTCATGACTGTTATTGATAAGAAGGGTGGATATATGGGTCAATGATTTTATTTTAAATGTAAAAAAATTATTATTATTCTCACTTTAAGGAATGAAAATAGAAAAGTTAGAGAGGAACATTCTCATTTTTAATTTAGCTGCATAATAATTCTGCTCACTAATAGTTTCCCAATAATTGTGCACATGTAGATATTCTCCTAAAGAAATCCAAAATCTCACTTTTACTCTCTTAAATATTCAGGTTTGAGGTTTATTAACATTTTAGATTGATCGAGATCACAGTAGTTGTTCAAAAATAACATTAACTCTCAAAAATACAACTTTCCTAATAATTCTTCACACAGTGTAAATCTACAGATCTGACATGTTCATGATCGAGTGAAGCTAAAATCATAATGAAATTGAAACTTGTTTAATCACTCAGTTCTACTGTCCACATTTCTATTAAAAAAATAAGGAAGGACCTGAAAAAAACGACTTTTTTAGTACTTTCTCATCAGTTCAGGTAAATAATGTCTAAAATACTTATTTTAAATCATCCCTTTAAAAATCTCAGGATTTGGGAAAGTGTCAGAGTCTGCCTCACGGGTTTTAAGGGGAAGAGCTGATTCTGCGACACTTAGACGTTGGTTTTTTTTTTTCCACTTTGAGAGTTTAGAGGAAAATGAATCTTTGGGCCGATGGAGCAGAAAGTTCAGTTTTCTCATTTAACTCTGGAGTTAAACCCAACACTGAAAATCACTCACTCTCATTTCATTTTAACCGTCTTCTTCGTGATCCTCTCTCCACCAGGTGACGGTGCCGGGACAGGTCCTGGATGTAGCGTGTGGTGTTGACCACATGGTGGCACTGGTGAAGTCCCTCATCTGAGCTCCTGCGTCCCCTCTGCTCTGGATGAAAGGCTGGATGTTTGGCTGACCCCCCCGGACCCTCGGAGAGCAGATCAGGGGCCGCGCTGGAGCCTTGAAGCCAGCTGCTCACGGCGGGGGACGGACCCTCGTGTCCCTGACGTCAAACAGCGGAGACAGCGATCCTGCTGCAAACAGACCCGGCTCACTTCATCCTGCGCGCCAAGACACCAAAGAAGAGTTTGAGTATTTCTGCTCCACCGTCTTTGTCTGTGATCCACGAACAACGAAACAAAGCAGAACAACGATCGACAGACGGTCCTGATGTAAATAAAAGAACATTTAGGGATATCATCCTGAGTCTGCAGGCTGTCAGTTATGTTCTAATGCTCTGTTTTATCCCACAAGTTAACTGGTTAATGAAATGTCGGTAAAATGTCGGAGGAGTCGGTTATTTCATAAACTGTCGCTGCAGATTGAGGTGAAGACACACCGCTCCAGAGGAAACAAGTTCTGAGGAACCAATTTAACAACCTGCACTCATTTTTCACTTCACTCCTCTGTGGTCCTCTTTCTTCTTCTTTAGGGTAAAAGGTCTGAGACAGCTCCAGGAAGTTTCAAAGACCGACTGCTGCCAGCTGGGAGGGATGTTGATCGAAACTTTAAAAGAAAAAAAAAAAAGACGGTTTTTCACAAGATGTTAACGCCACCAATGTACAGTGATGTATGTCGTAAATGTTGTTTTCCCAAATGCAATTAAAGTATTTTTACTACGACTTCTTTATTATGTGGCTGTTGATTAAATAGGGACTACAGCAGGGTGCCGCAGCTCAAGGAAGAACATTTATGATCATTTCTTTATCATTTCCTTGAAGTAATAATCATCATATTGATCATTTTACAGACGCGGTAGTTCTTCTGTCTTAGCGTCTCGGTCTGATTGTATTTCCACGAAGAAATGATCATAAATGTTCTTCCTTGAGCTGCGGCACCCCGCTGTAGTCTGTAATGGACTGGCCTGAGGTCTCTCTACAAACAAGCGTCTGCTGGAAGAGAGTAGGTGAGTTGTGTTTAGTCTCTTTGCTAAAGAAATGAGTCAAAGTGAAAAAGATGTTTGGTGTCTAGTACTATGTCTGTGACCCTATATGTACTAACCTCAGTAGAACATGGTGTAGTTTCGTTCAGTAACAGAACCTCATTGGAAAATTAGCTGATTTAAATTTACTGTGCTCTTGTTCAAATATATTAACTCGACAGCACATATATCCATACCTGTTAACAAAATCATTATTTCATTGATAATTCGGCTCAATAAAAACACCTTTACCTTTTCATTTTACTACAGCAGAAGATTATTGGCCCAGCTTATAGACTACAGAATTGGAGAAACGCCCCCGCTTAAGTTTATGTTTTCTTAGGAGTTAGAACAACTCTGAATATAGTACTATGTCTGGGACCCTATATGTCCTGTTGATGAAGTTAGGTGCTGTTCTGAGCATTATTTGTGGCTATAGAGTGGCGTTTTGGTTGGGGGCGTGGCTCTCTGTATTTCTATCCTGTGGTCGTTACTAAAGTTGGTATAACTAGAGAAGCAAACGGTCGGCAACATTCATCTCTGGAGGGGGGGGGTCTAACTCAGTGTTACGGTGGGTTTGACCCTAAATTAATTTTACACCAGAATGTCCCTTTAAAGTCAAGCGAGAGAAAGAGTTTCTAATAATGTGGTTTTAGTCTGATTATGTGGAGCAGTCGTCTCTGAGAATTAGCAAACACAGTATTTCCCTCTAGTTTACTACAGTAACTATGAACTAGTCAGGAGGACGCAGACCTGGACCTCCTCTGAACCTGAACCTGAACCTGAACGCCGGTCTGGACTGTAACCTTGGTTGTCGTCACTCTGACGGACAGTTTTGTTCTCACAGCACAGCGAGCGGAGCTGAACTCGCTGAAATCACTCTCATATCGTTGCGTTTCCCTCTCCTTGCTGACTTGTCTGTTTTGTGCCCATTCATCACGGTGACAGGCGGAGGGTCCTCAGAGAGAGTGGAAATGTATTTATGACAAAACTACTGAGTGAGCAGAAAACAGCCGACCTGTGATCCTGCTGCTCGGCGGGGTGTGGGGAGGAAACGCCGGGACTGAAAACTGATCTCAGAGCCCGCTCCTGTTTTATTATGTTGGAGTTAAAGTGAAGATTGGACAGAGGGGTTAACATCTGAAGACAAACTGTCGTATGAATCTAGAGGACACATGTTCAGAGATTCATCCAGAGGGCAGGTTTTACATCTAGAGGGCACTTTTTATACTTTATCAACTGGACAAGAATCCGAAGGGCACAATGTCAATATGAATATTTTAGATGAGCAGCTACTGAAGTGATTTCTGCTGTAATTTCAACAGAGAGGGCACTTTGTGATGTTTTATTTACCAGAGGAGCATCGAAGAGGACACTTCCACAGACACCAGGGGCACCAGGGGGTCAAACTCCGACACGTTTGGACTCAAACCTGAAGAAGTCCTGAAACGCCCTGAGAGTGTTCAGTGTAAATGTGATATACTGATATTGTTGTTCCTCTACCTTCATCTGGATGTTGCGCTGACTCACCGCTAGTTCAGTTTTGACTCATCGTGTTCGTAGGTGGAGGTTTCCCACCAGTGACCTCTCAGCTCCACAGACTGTAAACCAATCAAACAGGGAGATGGTGCTGCTTTTCAACTGGAGATGATGAGGATGAAGAAGAAGAAGAAGTGCTCTTTGGTTTGTAGCTCCTCTAGAGTTTTGAACTTTAATTGTATTGAGTGTAAACTTAATTAACGAGACAGAAAATATTCATAAAAGCAGTAAAAGGAGGAGAAACTTGGACTTTTCACACCCGTGGTTCAGCTTCTTTATGTTTACGGTGAATTTGTGACAGTAAAGACAGTTAGTGAAATCTCCTAAATCTACTCCAGGATACAAAAGGAGATCTTTACAGAGGAGTCAGAGAGGTGCAGAGCCGAGGAGTGGAGAGTTACGTGAAGAGGAAGACGACCCTGATAAGTGAAAACACTAACAAACCATGATTGCTCTTTTCACCTGGATCTCTGCAGCTGGATCACTCCTCCTCCTCCTCCTCCTCCTCCTCCTCCTCTCCTCATGCCTGTGTGCTGAGGTGAGCTGAAGCAGAGAAAAAGAGGCGTGTGGACGCTCCTGTCTGTTCTTTGCTTTGTTTACTCAGGTCAAATAATACAGACAGCTGATACACCTGCAGTCCTGCTCGCCGGCCTCCATTTGCTGCAGACTGGAGAGAATCAGCGGAGCTAAAGTCAAGAGCGTGTCCTAAACATGGATTTTTACACACATCTGCTCATCAACAGATCAGTTTTGTGATTTAACAGACTGTATTCCTGCCAAGATCAGGGTAGGAAACTCATAAACTGCTGTCATGTAATAAAGTAAAACAAACTGAAATAATGGAACAGATACAGATAACTGGGAGAGGATAAAAAAAATGAAGACAGCTATCATCATCATCATCAGCATCCAGCAACTTGTTCAGATTCACGTCCAAAAATCACAGAAATGTCAGGAAAAGACGACTATTTTTATTTTTTTTTTACCAAAACTTTAAAAGTGTTAAAGTTTTTGTTTCCATGTCTACAAATAACCAAAATTACAAATTTCAATACTGCATCTGATTTTTTTTTAGAGCGCACAAATACGAGGATAGTTGCTCATTCTCCACAGACTCTGTTTGGCTCTTGTGAAAGCCTAGAGTGAGGAGAACCGTCCAATAGGGTGGCGACACTGGATTACGCTCCAGCTCGTAATGAGGCATCTACGTATATAATGTCTATGATGGCTCCATAGAGAGAAGCAGTGAACTGAAAGACAAACAGAAAAGCAGATAAATCTATAGACACATTTCTTCAATTTGTACGGTGGCCCTGAGGTGCAAAACACAACGAAAAAACAGAAAACCCCTGACATTAACCGTTGGCATGTTTTGCACCTCAGGGTCACCGTAAATTTGGACTCTAAAACGGCTCATGGAGGAACGAAATAGCGCCATGTCGGAAAAATCAAAGTTCTGTGGAAACTAAAGAAGGTTGTTTTTTTTTTTTTTTTTTTTTTTTTTACATTTGAACAATTTTTGATAAATGTTTAACAAGGAATAGTTAAACTTAAAATATATCCCGATTTTGATATTTGTCGACATAAAGCCGATATTATAAGAATCTAATGCTGCGTTCGAGTTTCCTCGGAAGTCCGAAGTCCGAGCTGAAAAATGCCGTCACACCAGAGTTCCCAGCGTTTCAGTTACAAAGTCGGAAAAAAGCAAAATCGAAGGCAGAATCAAGATGGCTACGTCTATGAAAGTTATTTCAGCGCTTGCCTTATATTCAGACAAGGCAAGCGCTAGATATAGCAATCTTGTTTCAGGCCTTTGATTTAGCTTTTTTCCGACTTGGTAACTGGAACTCAGGTGTGACGTCATTTTCAGCTCCGACTTTTGACTTCCAAGGAAACACAAACGCACCATAACAGGAAGCCTGTTTTTTTTATTTTATTTTTTTTACATTTTAACACTTTTGATAAATGTTTAACAAGAAATGGTTGGATGCAAATGTCACCTGTTTTAGCTAACAGACAGGTGAATGTTTTTAACACCCTCCTTCGCCTCTGATTGGCTAGAAATGCTGGGCTCTGATTGGTTATTCCTAATGGCTGTTAAACGTCATCGTCTGTCGGGTTAGGAGATTCAGAAGTGGAATAATGTTCTGTAACGTTGTTCAGAGCCGACAGCCCGCGTTTGGTTTGGGCGTGTGATGACGTTTCCAGCTTTTCCAGCCAATCAGAGGCGAAGGAGGCGGGACTTTCCCCTACCATCCTACCAAAAAATATCGCAAAATTCCACTCAAGTGTAAATTATTTTCCCTGAAACATACAGAAAGTTAAACAATGAAATATAATAAAAAAGTCTTAGAGTGTCCAAAAAAGGTCCGGTTAAGTTCCTGCATAAACGTAACAGGTGATAATCTGCCTTGGGAGTTTAATATCGTCGAAATTGTTTTTTAAAAGTCATTAAATTTCCGATTTAGTGGTCTATCTTCAGGTTTACTCCCGTAAGAACCGAGGTCTGATATTTGTGGATACCAGTGTCGGACTGGTGCGTCTCCAAACGGTCCTGGTTTAAAGTAACGATGTAAAATTGACACATTCAGGCACACCAACTCAAAAAAGCTTGTTTATTTCTTTTTTTTTTTCACACAAGAAGCTCCAAATGAAAAGCTTTCAATGTTTTCTTTGAAATGGAGTGAGAAGAAAAGTCACCTTCCTCATGTTTTAACACTGATAAACACGGGGTTTCTACTCATCACAGCTGATCAGGAGGAAGGTCGTTGTTGTCGTCAGGTGGAGGTGTTGTTGTCGGGGAAGAAAAGAAGAAGAAATAGAACAACCAAATGTTTAAGACCAACGGAAATCTCCCCGTCTGGACAGGATCTTTGTAAAGTAAATACCCTCCCTGTTTCACATCAGTACAGCAGGTCTTTGGGGGGGGGGACCTGCGTTAAAGTGCAGACTGGGGCAGGGGGAGGGGCATCTTCAAGACCGTAATGGACACCAGGGTGAGGAGGGGGGAGGTTCCTGCCCTGTGTGAACCTTAGCTTATGTTTGCACTCAGTCCTTATTCTGGTACATTGTCAAAGTGGCTCAGTAATATTTTTACTGCTGGAGATGATAATCAAAATAATAATAACGATTAATGTTTTAATTCAGCATCAGGTCTGAACTGCAGGGTCTCACTGTGAGCAACACGGTCACGGAGTCAGAGCTGGAGTGTTTATTCAAGTTTGACGATGTTAATTCATGTGGAGTGACGAGTCAACAATAATAATAATAAAAAAACACTTTATCACACGGGGAAGGCGCCCCCTGCAGGTGATTGTCCAAAAATAAAAATAAAAACAGGAACTTTACCTTAAAAACTATGAAAACAGGAAATCCTTTCTGTTGTTGTTTTGGGGTTAACAAAGTTTAGCAAAGTCAGGCTAGTGTTCCCACGCTACGCTAATCGCCTCTGGGCTTTAACTCTGTTTGTGCCCACTGAGATGAAAGTGGTCTCAGTCCTTTGGTCGAGGAAAGCAAATAATAATAATTAAAGACTTTTATTATTCCTATAAGCGAGCCAAACTCATCCAACACTTTTCTCAGCTGACCCTAAAATGAGCGGCTGTAAATATAAGACTTTAAAGCTCATATGAGGATTTTTTTTTTACGTTTATAAATTGGGCTGAAATTCATATTGACGCCTTTTTACAGTGTCAAACAAGATGATTCGCGAAAAGTTCAAATTTTTTAGTTTTTATCGCCGTAAATCAGTGCGAGGGGGAGGAGTCAGCCACACGGCGTCAGAAACAGTCCTGATTTTACAATTTACTCCTGAAATATCCACATTAAACCAGCAGAGGGTGCATTTTTGTTTGGCAGAGTCTGCTTTGTCCACAGGGGGGCGCTCAACTAAAAAAGAGCTTTAAGTTATTATTCAGTGTTAAATTAAAACATAAATATCTTTGAAAACGTAACAATAAGGCGGAAATGCGTTCCTGGAGTGGTTCATAAAAACACTTTCAGTTTGTTAGCTAAATATCTGTCGTTAGAATCGCAAAAATCGTCCATCTCATCTTCCCGAACCCCGAGAGTCACATCAGACCGATATCAGACCGATCATCACGATTCTTCTGATATCTCAAAAAAAAAACTGATTGATTGAGACGAATTTCTTTCTTGCGCTTAAAATGGGCCAATCAGACGATCACCTCTGTAAATGTGTGAACTTTGATCGGCGAATGGATCGTGTTGCTCACAGTGTGACCGCGTTTCACTCTCTTACGACTAAAGAGACTCTTTCCGATCCACTTCATGGTTTTACGGGTCAAACTTCCGAATTTAACCTCTAAGTCTGAGAAACCCCGACAGCTGGATCATCTCTGTCATTAAAACACGTTAAACAGCTGCTACTAAAAGCTAAAAGAGAGAAAAAAAACAAAAAAACAAAACGAAACACGTGGTTTTTTTTTTCCACCAGGCGCTCGCTCCATCATCGCCGGCTGTCTCATGAATCGTCTCCTTCAATTGCACATATGAAAAGGTTCGAGACAAAGGCATCAGTTTCTGCATTCAAACATCTTGGCACAGAAAAACGGCCTGTGACAAACCCAACGAAACCGACGAAAGGAAAAACGGAGCGCTTGATATATCGAGATATATTTATATATATATATATACTATTTCTTTTGCTTTAGAGAGTACATTCGTCATCCTTCTGTAAGAGGAATTATGTAACTAATACAGCATGGTGCTCGCTCACGAGGGTCAGGGAGTGGGAAGCTTCAGAGAGGAAAAGAAGCGGATTAAGTCTGGTAAACTAAAGCGACAACTACCAGAGCGGGCGGTGGAGGGGCTCGAGTGCCGAGGAAGAGAGGAGGGGTGGAGGGAAAGAAAATGACCGAGTAACAAAGGCATCCCTAACACACCGTCACACACTCTCCCCGCCGTACGCCACCCACGCTTCGTGGTTAGATCCCTTCCTTCAGAGCCGGTCCTCGGGAGTCCGCTCAGAAGCTCTTGGCACTTTTTGGACATGATAAACGTTTGAACGAAATGACTTTGAAAACGGTCGTTTTCCTCCGGCTTTCCTTCATTGTGCTGTGCTCTTGGTCCGCAGAGCTCCGATCACACTTTGGATGTTTTCTTCCGGAACCTGCAGCACAAAAAAAAAAAAACCTCTGTGAGCCGCTGAGCGATGTTCAGAAATTCAAACAGACTATTTGATATTGTGCTAAAAAATACAAAACTATGACATTTAATCTGACTAACAAAGACATTTTTATCATACTAACGATAAATTTTTATCATACTTTACATTGATTTTTCAACTTACTATATTGTGACTTTTTTTATCATACTAGACTATGACAATTTTTATCATACTATACAATAATTTTTTTAACATACTTTACTGACATGTTTTTTTATACTGAACAATGATTTTTTTAACATACTATAAGATGATATTTTTATCATACTATTTAATGGTTATTTAACATACTATACAACGACAATTTCTTTTGTACTATAATTTGACACTTTTATCATTTTATACTATGAAAAATAAATATATTCTATGACTTTTTTTTCACAAGATCTCATTTTTTGACCTAATATTCTTTTGACATTTTGTTATCATACTATACGGTGAAATTTTTATTATACTATACAATAATTCTTTATTTTTTTATAATATAATTTTTTATTTAATAATTTTTTACTATCCTACGACATTTTTATCAAACTATTTTATGACATTTTCTAAACTAAACAATGATTTTTTTTACATACTTTACTATGACATTTTTATCATTCTATGCTATTGAATTTTTTTGGCCACCCTTAACAACATATGAGTCGCGTGGGTCTGCAGACCCAGAAGCTGCGAATACAGGACCTCTTTTCCAGGACCCCAACTAGGGGTCTGGGACTTTTAAGTGCATTATTGTGTTTTTAGTGTAAACAAACTTTTTATCACATCTGAGTAACCCTGACCTTAGCCATCAGATAAACTAACTGGGCTGATGACAACATTCATGTCAGGGAAAGGTCAACACTGTGTGCTCTCATGAGATATCAGGAGGGTGTTTGAGTTTTTTTTTTATGCCATCTAACAAACTGAAAAGGTGTTGCATGTTGAAGAGACCCTCAGTGATATGTTAATATTTAGAACGATGAACTTATAAAAACAGGGTCCCAGTCATGCAGTAAAACACTAACGGTGCAAATTCTCATATTTCAAACACTGAACTATCAAATAGTCATCATAAATGTTTTCGGACTGATTTCTGGACTGACTGATTCATGAATTCGTCTCCACATCATGTAAAGAGCGTTGAAATGACGATAAATCCTCACCAGTGCGTGGTCAAACTTGAAGGTACTAATGTAGTAAGCTGGAATGTCAGCCGTTGCGAGGGGTTCTGATATCTGAGCCACGATGCCGCACTCGTCTGCAAAGAAGAGACAGACTCTGATGTTAAACTGTCTGATATAATGAAAGCAAAATAAATCCAGTTATTCAACACGGTCAGTTAAAACTATCGACCATTTTCTATTACAGATGTCTGAAGATTGAATGAAGAGGCAGTTTTGCCACAAATACACCTCTTCAATCTCAAAAAACAAACTATAAAAAAACAGATTATTCATTAATCTATGCACCTCATTAAAACTAACGGAGCTTCACTACGTGTGAATTTAAAAACTTAAACTCGACTTATTTTTGGGATCAAACAAACAAATCAAACTGAATTTTAAATCTCTACATTGAAGTTTAATCCTGGTGTTTTAGTCGTGGTCATGCTGAAAGAGCCTGTGGACAAACCAAACCCACCAAATCCTAAAGGTTGTCCCCCGATGCGAACCATTTTCCAAAGCTCCCCAGACGCGCTGGTGAAGAGGACGTTGTTTGGAAACCTGCACAAGGAAGAAGGAGACAAATCAGGAGTGATTTAAGAAGTAGATCTGTGTTTCCCTTCGATGAGGATTAAATTAACTTTAATTATATATCCTAAACTCTGCTGTCTGCCTCCTTTCACTGAGCAGAGATTTTTCTATCATTGGGAGCTCCTGAAACAAACCATCATAGACCACTAAAATGACTGGCCATCTATTATGAAAGTACGGTGGTCGAGAACCGCCACTGCTGCAAATAAAAAGAAGCCACAACGGAAGTTACCGATGAAAAAAAAGAAACCGAAGTCCGCTACAAATAAAAAAGAGAAACGGCGCAGATTTTTTAAAAAAGCCACGACGGAAGTTAACGACGCAAAAAAGCTGCCGGGGACCAGTAATGAAAAAAGCGAGAGGTCTGTGATTTTATTTCTATGAGTAGAGCCATAAAGCTACCGAACTTGATTTTCCTCTCGTGGTTGGTCTTTCGGGGCAAAGTGGGTTTCCAAAGCACAGACTACACCAACATCCTCAGTTCAACTTCATATGGACTCAGGCGTTACACGGTCAAACCACATGACACATTTAAAGTCTACGAAGCGAAATGAAACAATAACCTTTCCACTTACTTCTTCGCTCGTCTTCTCGCCGTCGTCTTCTGCGCCTAGATCGTAAAACACCGGTGCATCATCATTATTAGTCCCCGGCAGCTCACTTCCGTTGTGTCTTCTTTTATTTGCATCCTTTTATTTTCACAATAAGTAACTTTTTTTTCACATCGCCACTTTTTTTTGCGTCGTTACCTTCCGTTGTAGAGACGTAACAATTATCGGTAAAATGATAAACAATGTTTTTTTAAGCTTATCGTTCCTCTGTTATTTACGGTTGAGGAAAAGTTCATTCTGCTTTTATTTTGATTGTTTTTTCAAAATTAAACTTTGTTAAATGATTTCAGGGCGTGTAGAAGTACTTTTTTAACTTTTTGAACATATTTCAAAAACACTGTGATAATTTTGGTCACAATAATCGTGATATGAAATTTTCATATCGTTATATCCCTATTCTGTTTTTTTTATCACATGTTTCTTTTTTTTTTTTGCAGCAGTGGCTGTTCTTGGCCACCGTATAAAAGGCCTGATTTTAAAGTTTTATATTTAAATTGCAAAGTTTATTTAACTTCTCACTAAAATGTCCCTTTAAACTCTGAAATCAGCAGGTGAGCTCTGTCACGACCTGCTGCATTAGACAGAGTTATTGTAAAACGGGTGAACTATTCCTTTAAGTCTTATATAAAGCAGGATGACCTACGTATATGCAGCATCAAAATATGAACTTGTGAAACACTAATGGAAGTTTAGTCCAATGATGGTTTCACCTCCGCGCGGCTCAGAGACACAGCTGACCCATAAAAGAGCGAGAGATCGCCGAGAGCCGGAGCGACAAAAAAAGAGAAACCACACGGGAGGTACAGCTGCTCGGGTTTTTACATCCTTTCTGCTTAATTAGAGAGCAGAGTGAGAATCAGGGGGACACACAGGAGAATAAATGAGTCAGATAGAAACCCTCGGCGGCCTCAGCACATCCTATACACACTCGACTGCTGGGCTATCGCTTAGCAACAAACCCATCGCCCCCTCAAACAGCAATCATGTATTTGTTCCCCCTGTGCAAACATCGTACAGGAGTCGACTCAAACTAAACACCTCAAAGAACCCGAGTGGATAATCATCACACCGCAGGGATGTGGAGATGTCATTTTCTACTTCTACTCCACCTTTGAGTGGTCTGCTCGTCCATGACCAGAGAGATGTAGCCTTCAATCAGCGAGAAGGAGAAGAAGCGGATGTGGTTGGCGTCCTCGCCGGGAGCTCCGGGCTCCTTTGGCCTGGAACGAAACGGGAAGAAAAGTCAATGTGGGGGAACTACTGATGCAGAAATCCCATCTGGGTCATATTACAGAACCAGCACGCCTCCTGGACCCCGAGGCGGGCAGATAAGAGTGCGGTGGTGACCCAAACGGCGGACTACTGAGACCAAAACCTCAAACCCACCCGATCCACTCCCCGCACTCTGGGGTCTTTATACTCGAACCTGGATGTCGCTTATTTTACCGCCAGTATGAGGAGGTGGATTTGTGACACCTGGAGCTTGAACAGATGTTTTCTGTACAAGGTGGTGATTAAGAAGCTGTGTAAAAAGTAACACCTCTGAGACCTGAGACGTGTTTAACTTCAGACCAGTGGAAAGGGAAAATAAAGATGCTGCAGATCACTCAAGACTACTTCATAAAAAAAAATTAAAAATTGGCCGATTTATCGGTAATCTGTTTTTTTCCCCACCTAATAATCGGCCCCAAAAATCAACATTAGTTGGGCCCTAATTACTGGGAAGTAGATTGTTTTTAGCTTTGTCGGCAAATTTTCATGCTCCTAATTTCAGAAACAGTTCATTAGTGTGATGGAAGAATCCTGCCTTGTTAACAATCCTTATTGCTCTCTTTTGCATCATATAAATAGGCTGTAAATTAGTTTTTTTGTATGCATTTCCCCAGACTTCTATATAATATACCCGTATTGTATAATAAATATAAAGTTTTATGGTTTAATTTGTGTCTTATCCTACCCAGATACCAATACTCCTTGCCAGCTTTGACCTAACAGAGTTTATTTGAGGGTTTCTTACTGAGATGATGGTTTATTTTCACCCTCATTCACTCTTTCTATCTCGGTATTATCAACACTCACTTCAACCTCTGGATTTGGTTGAATTGGTCTCTTTCCAAACTCTCTGAACTTTGTCTTCGTCGTGTTTAGAGATGAGAGTCTTTGGTAGGTTTCTGGTCCAAAACTCAACTTGAGAAATCACCAAAGTTCTGATTACTCCTCCTGAGGGGACGTGTTTGAATATCTGAACCAAATTTAGAGGAACTGTAATGACTGTCTGTCGAGGTTTTAAGGGTTCAGTTTCCTTCAGGGCAGAAATGCTGCAAAGAAACCCCGACGACCTTTCTCCACTCCAAACTTCACAGAGAAGAAAAAATACGTGTCCTGTAAGAAATCGCCTTCCTCACCTCCACGCTCGTTCTTCTGAAATTCAGTGATAAAACCAGGAAGAGGCGGTCCTTACCCTCCAGAGTAAAACATGACATCCATGAGCAGGGTGGCGACAGAGGGCAGCGTGTCGGGGTCGAGGCTCGTCACACAGAACATGTTGCTGGGACTCGATAAAGGGTGGATGATGGGACGGGGAACTAAACGACAAAAACACAAAGAGACAAGGACTCAGTCGGCTAAATACACCTGAATCGACTGTTTTATAAGGAGGTAGGTTTTTTTCATCAGAAGTCCAGCAGGCGTTAACAGATATGACTGTCTGCTCTGGAGGTGAGATAAGAGGTGCTTTTAGTTTCAGAGACTCCTTTTTAAGCGAACTAAACGCCTCCTGTGGCTCATTGTTGTCTGAATCCCCATCAGGACCTGAAGTAGAAAAATGAAAATCAAGCCGACAACATCCCGGTCAGTTATTCAGAGATGAAGTTTTCACGGCTCTCTGTTTGAGTCTTAGTTTAACTTTTATACAACAGACAGTTCCAGATCAGGGCGGCAGCAGGTCTACGCTGTTTCAGGGTGTGAACCATAGATGGACTTATACTGCCAATAAGAGCGATTCCTGAGAAGACCAACTCATGAAACTGTTAACAAAAACCAGAAGTACACAATAAGGAGGGAAAATTCACACTGATCAGGTTTAATATGTCGAGTCAGGACCTGTTTTTTCTACATAAGTAAAATCCTCATTGGAAACTAGTGTTGTGTCGTTCATGAACGATTCGTTCAAAAGAACTGAACTGCTAAGTGAACGAGACCTGATTCGATATAAACATTTTGCCGTTTAGCGGCGTGCTGCTCGCTGCTGAGTTGTTTCCGCCGACAGAGAGGTGAGTTTTTCAGGGCAGGGGAGTGATTCTTCCTTCAGGACATGGCGAATGAACGACATGAGTCACCCAGTGAACGACCCTGTGACATCAGCAGCGAGGAGGGGAGGGGCTAATGAACAAACTCGCCGCTGTGTCACTCACTAGTGTTCTGCGCCGACAGGACGAGGCTCTGAAACACTGACTGATTCAGTGAACGAATCTTTTGAACGAATCGTTTTGATGAACAGATTCTAAAGATTCAGTCAAAAGAACTGATCTTCCATCACTATTGGAAAGTCCTCCCTCTGAGTCTTTTATGGGGTACATCAGTGACCCTGGCACTAAATCTAAACCCTTGATTCTGAGTCCCTCAAAAGGTCCCGACCCCCTGCCCTCCTATTACCGTCATCGATCGCTGAAAAGCTGATATTTGTCCAATACTTCATTTATACGCGTTAAGAATAAAATATAAACGTCTTTTTTTCTTTACCGAGTTTCGGCTTCACAAAACCGTTGGTGACTCCCAGATCGTGAACGGCAACCGTCTCTCCGTTGACGACCCGCAGCAAAGTGAACTCTGAGGACAGCGTGTGCATAACCATCGGCAAGTCTCGCTCTCGAACCTGAGGACAGAGAGAGAGAGAGAGAGAGAGAGAGAGAGAGAGAGAGAGATATGAATCATGAGAGTGTGTTTTTAAAGCTCCTCTGCACACCCACTCTCATGTCCGCTCAGTTATTTTAATTACCGACTTCTTAAAACTCAAAACAGATTTCCATGATTTCCACAAAATCAGTCAGTGAGTCTGACGCGAAACACGTGGGGTCCTTCTCTACATTTACAGTCTCTGATAAGGAGAATAATCGGTCTGTACGTCTCTGCCTCTAAATGAAACACAGACACATATTTGTACAATAACATAAAAACCACTCAGACAATAAAAACGCCAATAAAGATGATTATGAGACAATAAAAACAGTCAGAGAGCAGATTCCTGTAAATCAGACCCAGCTGTACGTTCAGAATCAAATCCATCAAAAATGAAAAATGAGCCGTTTTTGGTGAAAGTTAGAGAGACGTTTTCAGAACAACATGAAGAGGTTTTTATTCTGCAGTTTAATCATCGAATCACAGAAATGTTCAATCAAAGAGTCTTCAGTTTCCTCCTTTTCATAACAGGAATAAACAAACATGTTTCTTTAAAAGAGGGAAAAAAAACTGAAGGTCAGAAAGTTTCACAAAGACATGAGGATTCGTCTTCAGGGGACAATAAATGTGGGCAGTAAAATTCCTGGAAATCCACTTATTAGTCTTCTTGGATCGGAGCGCCGGCCAAAAACAACCCCAAAGAAAACCGCTCCACTTCCCAAGGGCGAGTTTATTTCTGTGTTTTTATTGATCCTCAGATTTGGCAGTCCTTTTTGTTCCACAACGCTGATATTGAAACTGGATTTGGACGTTTAAAAGCCGAAGAAAACACTCGATGTAGATCTCCAAATCATCAGATAGCATTTTAAATAATGGCGATTTTGATTTTTGCCCTTATCAAGCCGCCCTACATCTGAGCGTACAGTAGTGTGAGTCTGTCGGTGCGACTTTAACGCTTCATACAACAGCAAAAATCCAAACAGAGGAAAATAAACAACCCGTCTGGAGCTGGAGTGTTTTCCTCTGAAACTCGGTAACGCGGTCTGACACAGCGTGGAGATGTGCGATGGAAGACAGCGAGAGCAGCGGCAGGTATTCGCTCTTTTTATCCGACATGTCAATAACTGGGATTAGAGTCGGGGGGGCGGCTGGTGTGCAGACAGGAAACAGGTCTGAGTACGATACCTGGAATTCCAGCAGCAGCAAGAGGCTGAGCTGCTGCTGATCCCCTTTATGTAACCGATTATGAACATCCACACTGTGTTGTTTTTTTATTTTCATCGACATGCCAAAGCCGCTCAGCAGACTCGGGTTTTCCACGAAAGCAGGGCAATAAAAAAACACTCCCTGTGGCCACAGAGGATCTGTGTGGGTATGAGAGAGGATCTCTGTCTCTGAATCAGAGGCCTGGAAAAGGTGCAGGTCCGGGGTTACTGCTTAGACAGAGACGAGGTTATGAGGATGTGAAGAACTGGGGTTAATAATGGACCAATAACACAACTGTGTGGAAGGATAATGAGAACCTGATCAGTTATCTGATCGGCTAACCCAACAGTCTCTGTTTTCTGATCTGCAGGTCGATTTTGCTTCTGAACGTCTGTATTATGATAAATCTTATATAAGTCTAGGGCTGAGCGATAACACGATAACCATATATATCAAAAATTAATTTCTCTAAATATCAATATAAAACATGATCAATATCCTTTTCGATAGTCGGCGTTCTGCCATGTTTTGGTCGACTTTTTTTTTTTTTTTTTTTTAATTTGGCTTGAGCAGATACAGGCTTTGAGAGAAAATCAAAGAGCCTATCAATGATCTGCAGCTACTCAGACTGGGGTAAATAAAAACATAATGTTTATGGATAAAAAGTCCATGAAGCTTGATGTAATAAGAAGCTAGATGTAATATCTCCAACAACTGCAGGGGGAAGGCTATTCCAAGTTGTTATGGCAGAGTGGAGAAAGCTCCTGTCAAGGCAATTGGTTTTAGACTTGGGGACTTTCAGGGCGTGACTTGGCAGTACTCTCCGGGTGATTCTTCCCACGGTGTGGGCTTGGGGTAGCAGAGCTTTGAGGTCCACTGGACAGCTGGGGGTGTGCATTTTATAGAGAACGGTTGTTGCTGCGACTGTTCGCCGGTGACCCAGCTTGCTGATGGCGTACTGCTGAAGGGCAAGGTCCTCATCCACCCCGATGATTTTTAGAGCCTTCTTCTGGATGAGGTCTAGCTGCCTAAGAGTGGTCGGAGAGGCGTTCATCCAGGCCAGGCAGGAGTACTCCATGATGCTCCTGATCTGGGTCTTATAAATGTTGGCCCTGCCCTTGGCATCAAGCTTGTTGGCCAGCTTACGCAGTGCACCAAGACGTTGTCCAGCACGTCTGCAGATGTTGGACAGATGGCTGGTCCATGTGAGCTTGCTGTCTATAGAAAGACCCAACACCTCCATCTGCTCACTAAGGGTGATCTTGGTGGTCCCAAAGTACAGGTCGGGTCGAGAGGGATTCCTCTTTCTGGACAGGATTATCGCCTTGCACTGTAAGGGGAGTTGCTCGGGGTCCGCTTCTCGCTGAACCAATCAGCAGGAGACGGACTGTGGCGTGTTTTTGTAGACCGGACGACGCCTTAAAGAAGTCAGTTTGATAAAAGCATAAAGATGTTTTATTCTTCAGACTCACCAGGATGAAGTCGGTCTGATACGTGGACAACATAAACACAGAGATGTTGTGGTCGGCCAGCGGTGCGATGACTGATTTGGCGATTTTGGTGACTCCGATGGGCTGCGAGTTGGAGGTGTTGCCGCCTCCTGACACCACGTTGAGAGCCAACCACGTGGCGTCGGCAACACTGATGTGCTCTGACTGGGGCAGCTCTGTGAACGGACACAAAGACAGGCCGGGTCAAATATCAACACCTTTACCTGCAGCAAACAGGAACCTAACATAGCTGCACATCAGGACAACATCTGCAACTCCAGTTTGGAATAAATAGACGAGAAACTGAGTCGGGATGAGTGAGCAACGTTCATGAGGGTCTGTTCCTCGTTTTAGTTCTTGTTTTTAAAAAGATCTATTTTCAGGGACGAGTCAACGACTGAAACAATGACAGAGAGTTAAAGGTGGAGTAGACAGGAGTCTGTTAAAGAAGCATCTTTTTATTTTGTTGTTTTTATACAAAAATCTTCGAATATCAGTCAATAGTTATTAGCTATTGATGATATTTGGTAATATAACAATATCTCTGTCGCAGTCTTTCTGACTGTAAACAAAGCCGTTCTCCACCTCCTCTAACCTGATTGGTTGTGAGGCAGACGCTGCTCCCCCGTGTCGTTCAGGAGCCCAAACAAAGTTAGCGTGCTACAATATCGGACAGTAGAAACCAACCAGAAAGTTCGGAAAATTGTCTGAATCCTCCTTTGGCCACGACTGCCGACACAAGCAAGAAAACAAAGTAAATACCGGAGACTCTGGAGGAATAACGGGCGCTTAAAACGGAGGTAGACCGGACAAGAACTAAAAAGCCTAACAGGCAATTTTCACGATCGTAGCTGATCGGAACCTTTCAAGTTAACGTGTCGATTTACACCGACTTCTTTCCGTTCCTCTGCAGATCGTTGGACTCCTCAGCTGATCGTAAGAGTTCTATTAACCCGTGCTGAAAAGGAAGTCGGGCACAGACACAAAATAAAACATCCGGCTTCTTTTCAAAATAAAACACTCCGTGTTTCAGGAGGATCGTATTTCACACCATGCAAACGGGCGGAGACGAACAAGTGAAAGGTTTTTAGACGTCATTTCACCCCGATGACACCATGGATGAGGAGATGCTGATTCTAGAAGTCTAGAAGTAGATTTCCTCCTCTGGAAGGACACAATCTACTGCTTATATGTCTATGTGTCTGTCTTTATAGAGACAACTCGTTATCGCACTTTTGAACGTGAATCTGCGGGTTCTTGTGAGTTCTCGCGATTACTGCTGTCTGTAATCTGCCATGAAATTCACCTCACAAACTCATCCGGTAGGAATTGGCGGATGGCAAGAATCGGAGCCGTTCTGAATCGGAGACGTTGCGGTGGAAATCCCGGCTGAGCAGGAACAGGATAAATCCTGCTGACTCCTCATCATCTGTAAACGGTCGCAGAGACGGTCGGTGTGTAGCGTCTAAATTTACAGGTCATAGGCAGCAGGTTCGTTCACTGATAATTAGGAGGAAACACGACATCTTGACTGCTGTGATGTCTTTTTGACGCCACGATCGCCCCCCTGAAAACTGGTTTGGAGGGGTGGAGTTTACCGTCAAGATTTCTCCTTTAAACTGGATCTTCCTCAGATCTTGACTACAACACCTTTAAAGAATAAAAGACAACAAGTAAGTTCAGGAATCTGTACAGAGGACGTCGTGTTGAAGAATCTTGGCTGGTTTTCTCAGGTCGACTCTGTCCTCGTCTGAATCAGTGACTTTAACTCTCGGTTGCATCATCACCCCTTAAACGGCGCCAGGCGAATATTTTCACTCCAAGTTAATGTTTCCAAATAAAGCCGACCGTGTTTACTCCCATCGGACAGTTTTTGTTCAACAGCCTCAGAGCCAGTCAGCGGCAGAAAATACCTGCGCCTGTTATGCAACACATAGCCTGTGGTCTCCAGGGAAACCAAGGAGGGTCACCCTGGGAGAGGGTGTGTGTGTAATGACATGGATTCACTCAATCAGCCAACCACGAAACACGGCGGCGGCTGGAAGCTTTGGCCTCCCGTCCGTAATGACAAAGTGTGCTCAAACATCAGCGGCGCCGCTGCTGCTGCTGCAGGACGCCGCCGGCTGCACACGGCGATCTCTTCCTGCTGCACTGATCAGTGGTTGCCACAGCGACTTTGGAAATCGATGAAAAGAAGAGAGACTCACCTTTAAAGCCCTCCTCGTCCACGATGATAGTGTAGTCTTCGGGAGTCTCTGTCAGGCTGAAAAACTTGCATCTGCAGGAGGAGAAAAAAAAGGAGAAGAGTGAAAAAACTAAATCTGAACGGATGGAGTCAAAGTCCAAAGACCGGTGCTCCTGCAGGCCCTCGTCGAGCCGCTGCTCCCTCATGCATTCATAACCAACACATCAAACAGTGTCTGGAGAACCGAGGAGACGGTTTCATATGAAGAGACGCAGCAGAGAGACGTTCAGGAGCCGTTAAACGTCTGCTGAGTCACTTTATATCCAACATCAGACTCATTACTGAGACGTCAATAAAGGATTCACCTCCCCACACCAAAACTCAGCTGTGGGAGGACCACTAATGAGTGGAGATGGTTTTAAACAGGAGGCCAACGAGCAGCAGTTTACACCTCCAGCTGTCTGACATAAATAACCACGAGAACTCTGACGACAATGGTTGTAAAATCAATTAGCTGGCCGTGCAGCGGCGGCGGCGTGGCTGAAGGCGTGGAAATGTCTCTGAAATCTCTCCACAGTCATCAGGAACACAGTCAGTGTGGAGGTCTCCTGACTCACTTTACACTGACTTTTTGTTTTTCCTACAATTCAGTCACATGATTTTCTCCCAGCAGCCACGGCGGCGTGTCTGTGTTTACAGCGAGAGTGAAGACACGCTTAAATGATTGATCAGACGTCTTCAGTTTTCTTATTTCAGCTGAGGTTGTACAGTAGTCTTCACCTTTTCCACCGCACACCTGAGAGGACGCAGGAGGAAGAGAGCGAGCTGGAGAGCTGGTCTACACTGATGTGGTGTTTTTTTTTTGGTTGGTCTGTCGCGTGTGTAAAACACAGACATTAAATGAACGCAGTGTTTACTCCTATTTTCTGTAGGATATCTGTAACCTCGCTGCAAAATGAGGACACCAAAACCTGGAGTCACGTTCTCATATTCAATAAAACCTCATGATGAACTTTAACCTCTGACACGTCTCATTTCTACCATGTCTGTCGTTTCTATCTGCAGTAGGACGATTCAAAGAGACCGGGTTTGAGCCTCATTACTTTGTAAAACTATAATAATGAAAATATATTTCAATGATATAAAAAAAATAGTTACATCAACCAATTAGACTCTTAGAAAGTCATGGACAGAAAAACAAAGAGTGAGCCTGATCTTAAAGCCCGCCTCTTATATTAACAGGTGGGAGGATGAATGATTGACAGCTCTGTTGACAAATGTGAGCTCCTGCAGCAGTCTTGAGTCACTGAATGTCAGAAATATGTGGAAAAGTTCTCCTATGAACTTTAATAAACTGTTCAGATTAAAAAATAAGGGCTGCACGATTTTGGCCGAAAATAAAATCCAGATTTTTTTCTCTGAAAACCCGATTTTCGATTTTTTATTCAGTGATAACTTTGAAGTTTATCTATCATCTCTCGAAACAATGTAGTGCATACGCCAAGCCAGTAAGTGGCGCTGTATCTCTGCAGAGGAAATGCACCAAAGACAGAAGAAGAATACAGAGCATGTGTGTAAAGGTTGTTTTGTAGTCGTTTTATCCTTTAGCGTTTCCTCCTGAATTCGTTTCCATGGTGACGGGTTGATACCGCCTTCAGACAGACTTCACAGCGGGGAGTGGTTTACTCTTCATCTGAAACTGTGAAGTCGTACCAATTCAACACAACTGACTCACTCTTGTCCTATTTAACCACAAAATTATCGCCTTCTTTAGCAAACGCCATGTTTGTTTACACTGGTGTGTGTGGGAACTGCAGAGAGGGGGAGGAGCCTACGGTGGCCTGGGGGTGCGAGACATGACAGAGAGGAAAATGGATTTGAGGATTTTAATTTTTATTGATTAATCGTGCAGCTCTAATTCGAAATATTCAGTTTTTGACGTAGCTTACTGTTTGATCTAGCAGAGAGAGCTTCTGTCGTAACCTGACCATCGCATAAAACCGTTGACCCTGTTATTAATGCACTGATGATTAACACAGAGATAATAGCTCAGCTTTAAATGAAGGAAAGGATATAACTGAGGGATGCAACGACACGAGATTTTGACGACACCACAACAGTCTGAATAATAATTAAACATTTATTCAATTTTACCACGTGAACCGAGAGCGTCTCTGTCTGTATTCGATGATTACACAACAGCAGCAGATGATCTCAAACTGCCAACGACTAAAACACAGTAAAAGTCTTGGTTTCCTTTGTGCCGCCATATTAAAAGGTTTCTTTTCTTCTTTCTCTGAACGTTTAATTACCTCCCCGTCTGAGATCCCACTGTCAGGACGCCGTAAATGAAGGTTATTGGATAGAAGGAAATAAATAAGCTTGAAATTACGCCCGGCAGACTTTCTGCGGCACAAAGGAAGGCAGTCAGCAGAGAGCGGGATAAACAGCATGCACAACACAACTGTGATAATCACATCATTACCGAGCGGCCGCTGAAGGCTCACACGTCAGATTTGGCTGAGAGGTGTGAAAAACAACAGAGGGATAAGAGCGGAGAAGAAGAGGACTCCAGCAGGCCTTCGTCTGTGGAGATGGAAGCACCTCTTTGATTTACGGAGCAGGACCACGAGTTTCTGTCTCACAGCCTGGTGAATAAAACTCCTCTAATCATAATCATGTCATTACCAACACCGTCTAATGTCCAACTCTGTGAAATGACACCGAGCTCCATCCAGATTAACGGTCTGCACAGATTAAATCTGTTATTATCCTCCTGAACGTTTAACGGCATTACTCACATTCTGTGTTCATGTCAGGAACTTCACAAGACAGAGTCAAAACTGAAAAACAGACACAAACGTCCGTCTGAGGCACAAACCACAAACACGTTCGTTAAGGAAAGAAGAAAACATCCTAATTAATTAATTCATCACCATGGTTACTGACCAGAGTTGACCTGAAGTTCATTAATTCAATTCATGACTACAATCGGGATCAATATTATCCTAAACTTTCAACCAAATAAACCCCAAAATAATCTCATATTAAAATATTTTAAAGTTACAGCGATATGGGGAAGCTGTTTGTCTCCACACCAAATTATTTGGAGTCTTTTCAAACACTTTTTTTTTCTACGCCGACTCCTGAGAAAACTTCTGAGTCACAAGCTGCTAAATGCTTCACTTTGTTCACCAGCTAGGTGATAACTTTGTCTGTTTGCTGCTTTTTTTTCTGCTCAGCGGACGATGAAAAGAGATTTTAGGAGCTTTTTTAGAAGCAAGAACGACTTTACCAAAGTTTTCAGGCAGGAAAATGTCAAAATGAGGCAACAAAATAATAAAATCTGTGTTCAGGTGGGTTTTATTAAAGCACTGAGAATCTCAAACAACCTGAACTTTTGTAATTTGATTCTAAGTTGGTGTGAATTGATTCCAGCTTAAATACTGTTTTGCATGTTTTCACTTGTATATGAACTCCTGAGACCTTCCTGAAGTTTTTGAGAGGGGTCCGGCTGCAGACCTCCACAGACGCTCCACTTTGTTTGAAGTAGTCGTCCCGTTTTGTATTTTCTCTTTGTTGAACTAATGAATACACAAAAAATCATATTAACATTATTAAACAATTTTACATTAAAAAAAAGGCACAAGAAATAAAATGTATTCACACAAGACAAAAAAACAGGTACTTCCCGGTGTAATCGCTTTTACTTTGAAAGGATTCAAATCCACTTCAGACGAGAGAAAAGGAAAACGTACTCCCCGTATATTTGCTTTTATTTTGAAAGGTTTCAAACAACATCAGGTCCTCTCTGTGGAGGTCTGCAGCCAGACTGTCTTGAATTTTTTTGCATTGTGTGAAGACTAACAGTAAGAGTTTTTCTGTTTTAGTGGAAGAGCCAGAGGACATCACACTGAGGCTTTTACTGAACCGTCCCCCTCCTATTCACTAACTCTGAGAGCAAATCTCAGGAGTGCACATTACCATCTCCTTTATCATCTCAGTACCAAGTAACTTGTTCTGAATACCAAAGAAAAACAAATACAAGAGCAGATATTTTACAGGTAAAGATGTAAAAAAAAGTTTGATAAAGTAAATCAGGATCTGAAAAGAGGAGGAACAAAGTCCACTCAGGTCTGAAGGTGTTTGCAGGTTTCTGCTTCAGCTGCAGGAGACAGAGAGATGCGAGTGGAGCGAGAAAACTCAGCTGGAAGGAAACACGAGGAGGAGAGAAAGACACAAGGAAAATAAACCAGTTGCAAAACCGGAGTCATCCAGAGGACACCGGCGTTCTTCAGAGAAATGATATGAACTTATATAATCGCTAATGGACGGCTGCCACGGCGAGAAAAACATCCAACCTCTGATGAAAAAGGTGCACCATTTAGGAAGTCACCCCAAACACTGAAGCCTTTGTCCAGCTGACCCTGAAAAAACTCCCTTACATCACAGACCGTCTCTGCTCAGTTATATCGAGGCTGAAGTGAAGGAAGAGCGAAGAAGTGGCGCCGAAATGACCCGAAAACCACAGAGAGGAGACTCCAACAAAGACCCGGTTCAGCATGTAGAGATAAAACTACAGGAACTAAAAAAACAGGATTACTCACAAATCCAAGACAGAAGAGTTAAAAAGCTGCAGGTGAATCAGGTTGGACTGATTTTAGCAGAGCTAGCACCACATGTCTGCGCTAGCTCTAGCTGAAAAGGCTTCCCTGATCCGAGTTTGATTCATGATAAATACGTGGAATATTACTGAGATGATGAGTCGGTCTTCCTGTCGGCATGAAGAGCAGTCGCCTACAGTATATTTTCTATCATGTACGTGAGTCAGCTTTATTTTTATTTATTCATACAGGCTATTTATTTTAGAGGATGTTGAGCAAAAAAGTTGGAAGTTAACTGTTTGCACTTTACACAAAATACCTCATTCTTTTTCGGTTGTTTTAGCGATAAAAAGGATTTGAAATGAGTTTTCTGCTCAAGGTAATCAGATTTTTTTTCCCCCTAATAATCAGTATCGGCATCGGACCCAAAAAATCCATATCAGTCGGGCCCTGGTTATGTCAGGCAAAGTCAGCTTACAACAACAGCACCTGCGATGGAAACGCCCGAACAAGATGGAGGGAGAGACTGCTGCTGGCGTCGGTGCTACCGCTCGCAGTTCACAGGCTAGCATGAGGGATTAAACATCCAACAGGCCGATGAAATGTGACAAGGTACGGAGTGAACATATCAGCAACTTAACAGCTGACACGGTGGCCGTCGACGAGCAGCCTGTGTCGGATTTATTTCAGCTGATGAAATATCTGGAGCCAGGCTATGAAATTTCTCATGGATATCAAAGTAAGTTTTCTTGTCTGTGAAAATGTTCAATGATTTTATTTCTAAGTAATTTTACTTTCTGTCATAAATCGGCCTTAAAATGTCAAATGCAGTTCTGTGATTTATCTGTGATGTTGGCTATAATTTAGTACTTATTTGAAGTGCGTCTACAAGAACAAGTTTTTGTCTGATAACTACTGATTTATTGGGATTAGGAAGTGTTTGAATACAGACAGCGCCTTCTAGTGGTTATATAGCGCAACTGCGATAAAGAGATCTCCGACATGTAACTGTGTACCCAGTTACACGTCAGAGATCTGCTACCTTTCTGTAACACTATGGTCATATTTTTACTTCCTCAGTGACATCGACACAATAACCTCTGCTCTTCGGTTTCAGACACTGACAATAGAGTTTCAGTTTAATGACCGAATAAATCTGTACAGGGTTTGGATAGAGGAGTCAGGGAGAACAATATATCCTCAGATTTAACAGAAGAGATACACAGTCGGCTTCACCTGAACCAAAATGACCTCCTCCACCTGTACAATCAGGAGCTTTATCCTGAGAGGACAGTCAAGAAGAGTTCAGAAAAATTAAAGACGTCTGCAAACATGAAGCACTTGTTTGTACTCAAAGAGAATATCAGAGCTTTAACAGGTGCCCTCGGTCGAATTATGACTCCTAATCTGTTTAAAACCAGCAAAAATACGAGAGAGAGATCCTGATCCAAACAGTCTGGTTGTGAGCGTGTTTACTGGTGTTACAGGATGATATGTGGACATGCAGCTCTGCGGCGGCTTCTCTTACAAGACTTGTGCAACAGCCTTGGCAGCTGTGGTTGGCTATTTTCCACCACTAAAACAAATCAGTTCACACTCGGAAAGGTGTTTGGCATCGGCTGGAAAAATAACAGAATGTGTGTTATTTATTCCAGCGATCACGACAACAAACGGAGCCGTGAGCAGGAACTACAGCGTCATTTAACAACGATTAAAGGACTTTACTATGTGAAGGTATTTACCGAGGATCTAAAACCAGGTCCAGTTGAAAACATGATTGACCAGCTGATGGTGGAAAAACAGACATGATTCTGTAGTGGAAATCACTGCATGGGCTCAAAACAACTGATGATATACATGCCCATGACTTCCCTTGGCCCTACCCTCACTGAGGCAACTGCAGAAATCCAAGTTCACATTCTTCTCGGAAATCATGGACACCCATCCGCCCCACCAGGCTCAACTCAATAAATCACTGACTTTTCATCATCTCAGCCTTTCTTCAGATGGACTCAGGGAAAGTGGAAAACCTGCCTCTGGTCTCACAAATTGAAATCTGACAAATCAAAGATATCCTGAAGATACTCTGTCCTCGACTCTAAAGATAGAAGATCCAATACAGCTTATCTAGAAATGCCCGTGACTTCTCCAGACCCAAGTTCACCTAAAATGGATTAACTCAGACTGGAAAATCAGCCTTTGGTCTGACAAATCAAAGTATGAGAGTCTTTTTGGAAATCATGGATGTCCCATGTCCCTAGACCACCTGACACACAGTTAAAGAGCCGGCATCTATGATGGTGTGGGGATGTTTAAGAGTCTATTGCATTACTTTAATGGCCCTATAGTAACCCGGGATTTCCACCACATCCAGAACGGCTCCAATCTGGAATGGTTGCAATTTTCGCTGTACGCCATCGGGGTGAAATGACGTCTAAAAACCTTTCACTTGTTCGTCTCCGCCCGTTTGCATGGTGTGAAATACGATCCTCCTGAAACACGGAGTGTTTTATTTTGAAAAGAAGCCGGATGTTTTATTTTGTGTCTGTGCCCGACTTCCTTTCCAGCACGGGTTAATCTGTGCTGAATTTATCCGCCATGCTCCGGCGTCCAGAAAAAATAGAACTCTTGTGATCAGCTGAGGAGTCCGGCGATCCGCAGAGGAACGGAAAGAAGTCGGTGGAAAATGACACGTTAACTTGAATGATTATGATTGGAGGATATGGCCTTGTCGTAGACATCCAAGGTGCGGTGGAAATTGGGGGTAAGAGAGACCAAGTACCAAACAAGAAAATCTTGTTTTTGCACTACTTTCATATGAATATAGGTTTTAGGGATTAGGGTTGTATCAGGGTGTTCAGTTTAACGGCTGCGCTGTTCCTCAGGCACATGCCAAAATATATATTGGAGGTATGATTTCTAATCTATACGTCACTTCTGGGGATCGTCACTGAGGGGTGTGGTTTTGGGATGTTTGGCGGGTTATTTAAAATGTCACAGGTGTAGTCAGACAACTGGTTTGGTAGCACTGATAATTTTCTCTAGACAGTTTTTCACTGTTTCACTCGTCCTGTTTCAACCTCATTTCAGCAAACCCCCTTTATTTGAAGGCAAAGTTTTAAACGTGTTTTCTTTGCTATTTTGAACAATAAATCACTTTTTTAACACTCAAACTGGACTGATAATTAGACGAGTCACAGATGCAAGCGAACCTAAACCCCAGCGGCCTTTTTTAGTTGGAGGAAAACAGTCTTTACAGTTCAAGTTACACTAGAATGAGGATTATCTGCTCTGTTTTATGCATCTGAAACCTGAATTTAACCTTGTTTTTCAGCCTTTAATGAAAACCTTTAAACTGTTACAGGAGACAAATCCACCTGAGAGCCTGTGTTTCATCATTACCTTCAGCTCAGAGGGAGTTTTGATTACCAGCTCACAGGGCAAACAGGCAGAGAGTCTGTTGGGTTTATTTGTTTAGGATAATATTAAAAGACGGTGGAGGTAATAAAACTAAAGTGTGCGGGCCTGCTGCTGCTGCTGCTGCTGTAATCTAAAGGATTAATACCTAACTATGTGACATCTGCTAATAATGTCCTGCCCTGTTTGCTGAAGTTTGGTTGAAAACATCCGTGTGAAAAGGACAAAAACAGACTCACACACACACACACGGACACACATACAGTAGAGGGACACACACCCCCACTGGCGACGACCCAGCTACAGATGGCACAAAGCTCCAAAATGACACTACAGAACAAGGATAGGCCTGGAAACTGAGAGCAAACACACACACACACACACACACACTCACTCAGAATAACACAAAAGCACAAAGTACAACTACACAAATCAACTGTAAGCTGCATTAACACCACTGTCTGTTAACACAACTCCATGCAGACATTAGTTTGCTGTAATGTTCACAGTAAACACACACGTCCAGATCTGAAAAACACACATTCACGACACTCAAGTGTGTGTGTGTGTGTGTGTGTGTGTCCTCTCAGAAGTTACCTACCTTGTTTTTGAGGCCAAGAAAGCCAGTTTGATTAATCCGTGAGTGCAAATCTGGATCCCCTCTTTCTCTATACTCGCCACTTTCAGGCTGTGCTCTAAAATATGAAGCTCCATCTTTTACGTCTTCTCATTTGAGGAAGGACTAAAAAAGGTTAAAAATAAAACCTAAACACTTTCAAATAAGATGCATAAATAAATAAATACACTCATACGGGAGGCTAAGACGCTTTAAATAGAGAAAGAAAGAGCGAGGCAGGGTGGAATAAGGAAAAGCAAAGAGGTAAAAAGGGACCTGCTGTCAAAGCTGCAGAGGGACCGCGCACGCTTCCGGTCACGGAACTTCACAATAAAAGTCTTCCCAAAAGATAGCCGGTAGGTTAGGTAGGAAAAAAAAACACATTTTGTGTGTAGGTCGGCTAAAAATAATTATGTATCAAGGCTTATTCGTTTTAAAAATAAATGAAATAATAATAATAAAAATAATATTAAAGGTTGTGTAGGCAGGAATCTCTTAAAGAAGCATCTTTTTATTTTGTGGTGTATTTACAAAAAATCTTTTAATATCAGTCAATAGTTATTAGTTATTGATGACATTTGGTAATATATCGATATCTCTGTTTTCTCTTATGTCTGTGTCGTCAACATTTTAACATTTTTGAGCGGTCCGCTCTTTCTGACATTAAACAAAGCCGTTCTCCACCTCCTCCAACCTGATTGGTTGTGAGGCAGACGCTGCTCCCCCGTGTCGTTCAGGAGCCCAAACAAAGTTAGCGTGCTACAATATCGGACAGTAGAAACCAACCAGAAAGTTCGGAAAATTGTCTGAATCCTCCTTTGGCCACGACTGCCGACACAAGCAAGAAAACAAAGTAAATACTGGAGACTCTGGAGGAATAACGGCGCTTAAAACGGAGGTAGACCGGACAAGAGCTAAAAAGCCGGGTCAACATAAACCATGGGGGACGCTTGGGGATCTTGGTGACCCTGTAACCTTTCTGCTGGACAGGTAAACCGCTTTAACAAAGTAAGACAAGTGTCTGTAACAGAAGTGTTTCTTGTCAAACGGACCTGCTGTAGCGTGTTGTAGCGCCATCGCTAAACTGTCCTCCCTCGGGTCCTGGACTATGTCACTTTATCCTCGTTGTAGAAGTCCTGCAAACATTGTGTTTGCTGGTAGTCTGTTGGCATCTACAGTAGCACCAACGCTTTTGACTTTCACCTTGACTGGGCCCCGTTTGTAATGATCTGAAGTATTTATCTGCATTATATCCGAATTTAATTGGAACGATACGAGTTGGGAGGGGTAGACTTTACATTCAAGATTCCTCCCAAAAACTGGAACTTCCTCAGATCCTGACTACCGTTAGCAAGGAGGCTAATGGCTTCAACTCCAAGAGTCACCTAGCAACAGTACAGCTAGGAGGAAGTTAGCATATAGACAGCAGTGAACATCAACTGCTAATTTTTTACAATTTGTCATTTTTGCAGGTTTAACATGAAATATTTGTTATTCAGGCTGAATGTTTTAGTGTCGAACATAAAAGGGTAACTCAGTGTCTCCATGTTGGCCTGTACAGATTTCACCAGTTAAGCTAACAACAGAGTCATGATTATTATTTTAAAAGAAGGATACAGACATACCGAAACACTATTCAGGCGTTTATATCGGCATGTCTTATAGTTAAACATTACATCACGGGCCAAACACAGACACCTACAGATGAATAATTATCAACGTTCCTGTGAGTTCGACTACGCCTTTTATTTTGAAGAAGCTCCTGAAAGCGGAAGTGAGTGTTCCTCCGGGCTCCCGTAGCTTGGCAGCCCTTTTAAATGGGTAAGCAGAGGACCGCTGTTCCCCATGTTTGCTCTCCGACTGGAATAGTTAGCTGCTGCTGCTCCGACTGAAACAAACAACTTGCCATTCAAACGAAGGGGGCGGGTTTGCAGTGGAGCGGGGAATCATGGGAAATGAAGTTCTGTACTCACTATCGGCCTATACAGGTAGGCCCGTAAGTATAGGTGTAGAATTAGGTTAAAGAGAGCTGTTTTGGCGCTAATATGGTAGGATATCGTCAAAGGAGATAATGTTGGACTTGCAGCACACTTTTCTTTTAATATTCAAACCAACAAAATAATTTTAAAGCATTTTCCTCTAATCTCACCGAATAATAGTGGTTGTTGACTTTGTGTTTTCCTATTTTTGCCTCTTTTTTGTAGTTTTTAAGGCTTAAATCCAGAATAATTATGATTGGTACTTCAAATAAATACACAACTTAACCAGTCAGAGTAATGCTGTCAGATAAATTGACCCCTTATTAAAGGGATATTCTGGCATAAAACTAAATTAGCGTCAAACACACTGGAACACAGAGTTAGACCCCCCCTCCAGAGATGAATGTTGCCGACAGCTTGCTTCTCTAGTTATACCAACTTTAGTAACGACTGCAGGATAGCAATACAGAGAGCCACGCATAATGATAGCCACAAATAATGCTCAGAACAGCCCCTAACTTCATCAACAGAACATATAGGGTCCTAGATATAATACTAGACACCAAACATCTTTTTAACTTTATGAACATTTATGATCATTTCTTCATCATTTCCTTGAAGTAATAATCACCATATTAATCATTTTACAGACGCGGTAGTTCTTCTGTCTTAGCGTCTCGGTCTGATTGTATTACCATGAAGAAATGATCATAAATGTTCTTCCTTGAGCTGCGTCACCCCGCTGTAGTCCGTATTGGACTGGCCTGAGGTTTCGCTACAAACAAGCGTCTGCTGGAAGAGAGTAGGTGAGTTGTGTTTAGTCTCTTTGCTAAAGAAATGAGTCAAAGTTAAAAAGATGTTTGGTGTCTAGTACTATGTCTGTGACCCTATATGTCCTGTTGATGAAGTTAGGTGCTGTTCTGAGCATTATTTGTGGCTATAGAGTGGCGTTTTGATTGAGGTTTGTTTATGGCTCCTCAGACTGCTGTGTATTACCATCCTGCGGTCGGCAACATTCACCTCTCGATGGGGGGTCTAACTCGATGTTACATGTGTTTGACCCTAAATTAGTTTTACACTAGTTTTTAAGGCTTAAATCCAGAATAATTATGATTAGTACTTCAGATAAATACGCAACTCAGCCAGTCAGAGTAACTGCTGGCAGATAACTTGACCCCACATTAATAACAATAGCCAAATATCTAGACATGATCATTCGTATTTAAAGACATTTTTGAGGGTAGAAACTTGACAAATGGAGGATCACACTTAATACACATCTGAACACAATATGTCATTCTTCTGATTCCTATGAGTCTTGTAAATCCTGATTCTCCTCTTAGTGTTGAAATCAGTTATTTCTAGTCCATTATTTGTCGAGTATTTCCATCTCTGATAATAAATCTTGGCACCAACACTAAGCCCTCTGCCTCCAAATCTCAAAGCTCTCAGAGTGCTTTTTAATCCTGAATTTGAATTTGGACAACCATGCCGAGTCGTCACCAAAATTTCTGTCTTCTTTGAAGTATTTCGTCTTTTCTTTCACGGAGAGATAGTCAAACACATTTTTCAGGAGGTTTCATCACAAAAGCAGGAGGTATTGTTTGTTCCCTCGGCTCTCCTGACCACTCCTTTCTCTCCGAAGCTTCAGATCCACATTTTATTAAAGCATCTCGAGCCACCTCCATGACAAGTGCTCTCCTACTGAATAAGCCGTGGCAGCACTGTTGTGTTAATTATCTCTGGCTGAAGGCCTGTGTCGCTGTAGCATTTTCAGCCAACACTCTAATTGCAAGAACGATTAGTTTCAACAGCCCACGACAAAGTATTAATTAAGCGAACAAAGACAGGAGCTCTACTGTCTGAACTCGAACAAGGATTTCCCCAGAGAAATGACACTAGTGGGCTGCTAACTCTCACACCAGAGTCCAACAACGGATTTATCTCTCAACAAATAAACACAAAAACAATCACATGAATCATTAGGTGTTTCATTTAGTTTACGAAAGAGATGATGGATCAAGTTTTGGTTTGGTTTTATCTCTGGTTCTTCCACAACATACGGTTCAGTTGGGGTAGTCCTCATACTCGAGTAAAGGACTCACAGGACTCTAAACCCAATTTCCACCTTCATCCTGATCGTCTCCTAAAAGGTCGTATCCTCCGATCGTAGCTGATCGTAACCATTCAAGTTAACGTGTCAATTTACACCGACTTCTTTCCGTTCCTCTGCGGATCGCCGGACTCCTCAGCTGATCACAAGAGTTCTATTTTTTCTGGACGCCGGAGCATGGCGGATAAATTCAGCACAGATTAACCCGTGCTGGAAAGGAAGTCGGGCACAGACACAAAATAAAACATCCGGCTTCTTTTCAAAATAAAACACTCCGTGTTTCAGGAGGATCGTATTTCACACCATGCAAACGGGCGGAGACGAACAAGTGAAAGGTTTTTAGACATCATTTCACCCCGATGACACCATGGATGAGGAGATGCTGATTCTAGAAGTCTAGAAGTAGATTTCCTCCTCTGGAAGGACACAATCTACTGCTTATATGTCTATGTGTCTGTCTTTAAAGAGACAACTTGTAAGTTCTTGTGAGTTCTTGCGATTCCTGCTGTCCATAATACGCCACGGAATTCGCCTCACAATCAGACCCGGTAGAAATTTGCGAAAATTGCCGCCATTCCAGATCAGACCGTTCCAGACGCGGTGAAAATTGGGGGTAACCGTGGTGATTCAGGAGACCAGGAGGAGGATTTAGACTTATTTATAAAGACTTTAATAATTGGTTAATTTTATATAGCACCAGCTGTCAGGTAAGTCCACCTGTATGCCTGTTATTATACAATACCACGTTTTGGCGCTGTGAGTAGGTGTCAGGTCCTGCTGACATAAAGCTCCTCAGCAGATGGAAGCATGAAGGTCTCCAAACTCTGGTAGACTTCAGGCTGCCTCCATTCTGGACTTGATAAAACAAAAAAAGTAAACCAACAGCAGCAGAAGAAACAGCCGCCAAAATCATCACAGACTCCAGGACCTTGAATTCCAAACTTGACTTCCATCTGAAAACAGGACTCTGGAGCTCTGATCAGGAAAAGTATATTAACGACAAACGAACCCCGTCTCTCCACCACCAGGAGTTCAGATGAATTCAAACCATGACGAGACCCGGGTCCATTTAATGTACTCTTACCTACTTTTCTGTTCTAATTCACTGTATATCATATAAGTGTGGGTAAGAGCTTTTATCACGCTGTGCCTATATGAGTGGATGAAAAGAGCCGATCTGGACACCAGCGCGCTGTAAAACCATGAAACGGTTCGTTTGGATAATGGGGCTTTCGTTCTCTTCACCTGACCGACCGCAGAGATGTCAACACTCCATCCATCAGAGTTACAGGTGGCTTTCTCTCAGCTCCACAGGTGTTTTTAAGACCCTCCAATAACACTTTAGCTTTCAGCTGTACATTAACGTACATTAAAGGCTAAATGAAGAAGTCTCTTTGAATGGAGGGAGGTGTAAGCAGCAGTCGTCACCCTCCACTCCGCTGCTCTTCAACACACTTCTTCAAGCTTCCTGAGAAATGGATCACAGAGGTTATTTTCCTTTTACCTCCTGGCAGGTCTTACTCATCCCCCGGTGTGAAGAACTAATGAAGAACTCCACTTTGGGGGGTTGTCTAAGAATGAGTCATACAACGGAGGAATAACACACACAGGAAGTCTGCTGGAGGGACGTCAGCGCTCCCACTTTAACCACGAAGACGAAGGGACCCGAGGAGTTCTGCATTAAAACTCGACAATAATAATTTAGAAGGAGAGCAGGGAAAGGAGGAGAGAGAGGAGAAAGGGGAGTGGAGAGGACGGAGGAGGAGGATTGGAAGACAGAAGAGCTAGGAGAGAGGAGAGGAGCAGAATGAGGAGAGAGGAGAGGAGGGAGAGAAGCGAGGTGTGTGTTTATGTGAGCGTCTGAAAAGCCAAGGGACAGAATCAGCGCTACGAGAGAACGAGGGGTCAGGGATCTTTAGCGATAAAATAAGAGACATGGATCTGAATCATAACAAAATACTTCTCATTTCTCATATCTCTCATTTTTCATAACTCCATTTTCTCATATCTTTCATATCTCTCATTTTCTCAAATCTCTCTTTTTTCTCATCACTCTCATTTCCCATATCTTTTATTTTCTCGTATATCTCTTATTTCTCATATTTCTCATTTTCTCACTTTTGATTGTACAGTTATAAAAAATAGGAGACCTGGCCTTGTATCAAGCACGCTCTCTGTAGTTTGCAGTGACATGTCAGAGTAATGAACCCTGCATTGTGCAAATGTGTTTAAATGACATTAGCTAACACTGATGCTAACCCACTTAAGCATCTTCTGAATGTGGTGAATCCTGTAAAAAGCTTTTTAAGAGGTCCGAGAGACTGAACAAGCTCTATATGAAATGAAGAGTACTGTTCGTTGTTGTGCGCGTTGCTCACCTGCCTTCAGAGCCAGATCACCCGTCTGAGTATTTTCACAGTGAAGGATGCTTTTTACCGACTGTTTTAGCTCTGCCTGTATGTGTTATTCTGATCTTATAGGCCTTGGATGCTGCAGCTTGTGAATCAGGCTGGAAAGAGTCCTACGATTCGGCTTTTTCAAGTCTGACTGGATTCATGGAGATCAGAAAAACAGCAGTCCTGTTAGGAAGTCTTCACTCTCTGGTTTTAAAGAGCTGATTCTGGTTAAAAAGCAAACGTCGAAATGTGGCGTCATGTAACTCACAGACATGAAAACTTAGAAAAAACACCCACCAGTGTGGAAATCTGTGGAGGCTCATCCCCAGAGCTGGATCTTCATCTGAAGCAGGTACGAGGAGCAGAATTAACCCAGGAGGAGGTGAGTGGTCGTGGGGATGCATAAAACCTTCTTTAAATGACAGCCGGAGGAAGCTGATGAGGGCGGGGATTTTAAAGTTTGGCAGCAGGAGGAGGATGATTGCTTCTGTGGAGAGTCTTAGAGCAAACTGAAGAGAGCTGACGGGGAGAAAACCTGAGAGCGAAATCTGTACGTCAAATCTAAATGTGGCAGGTGGGAGGAAATTAAAAGTCCTCATGGTGAGCAAACCTGCATGTTGAAGCAAAACCTTCTGTGCTCAGAGCACCTGCTTTAAATTACTGAACATCCTAAACATGCAACACTCAGAGGGATGATCCTCTGAGAAGATGTGCAGGACCGTCTGAGTGAAAGGGAAACATATTTCTGACATCAGCCTGAAGATTTAACCTCCAAACTCTCCGAACTCACTCAGAACTTTTGCAGAGAGGAGAGAAAAACAACTCAAACAGCAGCAGGACACAGCAAAAAACACTCACACAGTTTACTGTTTCATGAAGGAAGCTTAAAGGGATATTCCGGCGTAAAATTAATTTAGGGTGAAACACAGCGTAACATCGAGTTAGACCCCCCCTCCAGAGATGAATGTTGCCGACCGCTTTCTTCCCTAGTTATACCAACTTTAGTAACGACCGCAGGATAGAAATACAGAGAGCCACGCCCTCAACCAAAACGCCACTCTATAGCCACAAATAATGCTCAGAACAGCACCTAACTTCATCAACAGGACATATAGGGTCACAGACATAGTACTATATTCAGAGTTGTTCTAACTCCTAAGAAAACATAAACTTAAGTGGGGGCGTTTCTCCACTTCTGTAGTCTATAAGCTGGGCCAATAAACTTCTACTGTAGTAAAATGAAAAGGTAAAGGTGTTTTTATTGAGCCGAATTATCAGTAAAATCATTATTTTGTTAACAGGTATGGATATATGTAATATATTTGAACAAGAGCACAGTAAAGTTAAATCAGCTAATTTTCCAATGAGGTTTTGTTATGAAATGGAACTACACCATGATCTACTGAGGTCATTTCTTCATGGAAATACAATCAGACGCGAGACGCTACGACAGAAGAACTACCGCGTCTGTAAAATGATTAAAATGGTGATTATTACTTCAAGGAAATGATGAAGAAATGATCATAAATGTTCTTCCTTGAGCTGTGGCACCCCGCTGTCGTCCGTAACTGACTGGCCTGAGGTCTCACTACAAACAAGCAGCTGCTGGAAGAGAGTAGGTGAGTTGTGTTTAGTCAAGTTAAGTTGGTATAACTAGAGAAACAAGCGGTCGGCAACATTCATTTCTGGAGGGGTTGTCTAACTCGGTGTTACGGTGTCTTTGACCCTTAATTAATTTTACGCCGGAATATCCCTTTAAAGCTACCATGAGGAGATTCATCTGGTCAGGCTGGGATTCCTTATAAGGAAGTCACCGTGCTGGCCACGCCCTCTGACAGAAATTCAGATTTTGGCAGATGTCAAGACCAACATCTCAAGGATATCATAAAGTGATGCAGATATATATTTATATTCACAGCGGAGCTTACACCTAAACAGCGAAGAGTGCTCGGGTCAGAATGAGCTGGAATCAGAGGAGAACTTGTTGCACCGATCAAACCAACATTTTTCTGATGAACAGGAGGAGGTATTTGCTCCGTGGCTTTGCACCAATTATCCCTAATAAGTGTGTGTCTGCCTGAGCGTCTGAATCATCAGACATTTTCCACAAATAATATCATCAGGTGCGGAGAGTCGGAGATTTGGCCTTTACTCAAGGATTATGGGAACCGTGTGTTTGAACCTTGGAATTAATCACATTAATTTATGGGCGGGAGGTGTTTCCTCGGCCAAACGGAGAAAAATAAAAGATCTACAGAAACAGCGGTGTTCAGTCGCCTCTGTTGTCTCATTGGAAAGGCAGCAGGGCCTCAGACACAGGCATGTAACACAGAGAAGGAGAGGGAGAGGGTTAAGCTCTAATCTCTTCCCCGTGACCCAGATGAAATCCTGAGAACAAGCAGGGTGTTGGCAGAGCTCAGTCTTTCAAGTAACTCCCTGCACCAGAACTCACAGCTGAGGTTGGAGAAAACACGACGAACGGACGGACTTTGTTCACTCTCAGGAGCAGAAAAGACTAAAGCCTGTTACTTCAACCTCTCAGGTTATATAAGACACAGCTGCAGCCGTTAATCATCATGACTGGGTTTGGAAAATTCTCATGAAGCCAAGATGACCAAAAGAAAACTAGACCGACTAGTTTTTTATTTGCTGCAATAACCAGGGACAGCTGAGCTCCATCTCCCTGTTTTTAAGGTTTTATTTTAGGACATTTTTACCTTTATCAGAGAGGAGAGCTGAAGAGGAAAAGGGAGATGTTGGGGGGAGACAGCGAGGGGAGACGTGCGGCAAAAGGTCAAGCAGCAACCATAAGGACTAGTCTGGGTTTGGGTTTACAGCCCGTAATCGCTCTCTTTATCTGACAAGGTTTAATACTGCCGTCTCAAAACAATTAAAAAATATATTTTGATGTTTTGTGTCTGGACTCCAATGGTGCGTTCCAGTTGTACTCAGAAGTCAGGATATCTGAGCTCCGAGTCGGAACTTTCAACTGGAACGACCTCCAAGGTTGGATTTCCGACTCGGATATTTAGACGATCCATACAACCCCCTGAGTTGACATTTAAAGATGGTGGCGCCGGTTGTAAATAGTAAGTAGAAGCTCCTGTAACGAGAATAAGGCTACCTTCTGCGCCTTTGTGTTTCCTCTTCATCCACTGTGTTTGCAGGTCACAGAAGGACCGCACATTTGTCCAGAAGTTGTTTAAATTCGGACAAGGCAAGCTCAAGAATCCCTTTTGCAGATGTAGCGATCTTGTTTCCAATTCTTTTTTTGGCTGTTGTCTATTTTTCCGACTTTGTAACTCAAACGCTGATAACTCGGGTGTGACGTCATTCCCAGCTCCGACTTCTGAGGTAAATGGAACGCACCGGAAGATATTCAGACAATTTCTGAATTGGTTTTCATAGAAGCACGTCACGTTATCTATGCAACATTAATGGGACGCTTTCTACAAAACCCATTACTGAATGTTAGCAGAGCCTGTGTTTAACTGACGTCACACACTTTTAATTTGGAAATTCAAAGAGCGAGAACGTCCATCTGAACATTCACACTCGGCTTATATTAAAGTGACCGACTGTATATTCACGAATTTTATCAATCTGTCACTTTTCATCTGAAATTTAACTTTTTGTTGTAACTTGATGGAAAACAAAGTTTGTATCGGAGCTTGAATGAGCTGTTGGTTTATGAATACATCAGCCTCATAGATCCAGCAGAGGGCGCACTCATCGTAACCTGACCTTTGAACGACACTGTTAACCTCAGTGAACCACCCCAGTGATGTTTGGTGTCTACGCAGTGGTGGTATCATGAGGGTAAAGGTTCGAGGAGATATTCAAACATCAGCGTGTCATATTTGCTTAAACTTTATTTCTTAAAAAACTGTCAGCCCTCGTTTTAGTTTTTGCTCAGTGTTAATCTGACCTTGATCACACCCTCGATTTCCTCCTAACCAGCTGATCGTCAGTGTTAAGGTGACCTCACTAAATTGTTTTGGCTGTTGTTGTTGTAAATTTGATGTTTTTGTGTTTTTCCATCACTCAGCAGACCCTGTTGATATTCATCAGAATAGAGATACTACAGCTCCATCCAAACCTCAGCTACACATTTGATTGTTTTTATCCTGTCACGGGCTGGTTGTTATTTTTCTCCTCGAACTCCGAGGTCGAGTCCTCAGAGTTTAGCTTCAGGATCCAACGAGCAAACAGAGGAACTCGTTCATCATTTCACGCTTTCTTGATTTCTTGGATGGCTGCGAGCTCCAGATTTCTCATTTCTGTTGTGCTCAGCGACGTAAATCAAAAGTGCAAAATGTTTTAAAAATTTCACCCCTGACAGGAAGTAGATGGGAATCTGCTGCATATCTGTATTCATTCCAAAACAATGTCATCCTAAAGTGAGCTGTCAGGTGTTACACCGACTCATGTCAACTCATGACGCTCGTGAATAACTGCACATCTGCTCTCGCTTAACACTGTTTCTCCTCACAGATGGCCTGTCATTGTACTGCAGATATGTTTTTAAAAAGTACAAATGTGAATTTTATGGCGAAGTGGGCCTCCAATTTTCCAGGTGATTCATTGAAAGGCGAGAAAAACACGTCCATCATTCCTCAGATGAGTAGAACGCTCACTCCATCTCAAAAACTTTCTTTGCTGCACTTTTCTGAGTCTGCTCCCATCAACCAAAAAGTTTACAGTCTTAATCAATAAGTAAGAAAGTCTTTCCCCTCCTTTAAAAGCCGGATTAATTAGTTTGTTGTCTCGGGTTTTCTAACAAATTGCCTATTTATTCACTCAGCAGACACGATCCATTATTTGGGTCTGTGCTCCTCGTTGAGAGGTGAGGTTGTTTTTAAACAGCCGTGTCGGTGTCAAACATGTAATGAGACTGACAATAATTTAAAAGAGCTCCACGGTTAAATTAAGACTCCAAAATGAAGATGCTGCTGCTGTAAAAGTGTGTCTCTTTCCAAACGGTGTATTCGATGTTCACTGTCAGTATCACAGATGGTGCTCTGGAGAGGTTTGGGTCTTATCTAACAGACAGGAGTGAATGTACATGCCCCTTCCCCTCTCCCAGATGGAGTCCCCCAAGGTTCCATACTTGGTCCTTTTCTGTTCTCGTGGTAAACGCCTCCTTTAGGGCACATTTTTAACTCACTCAAGCTTTATGCTGATGAGACACAGCTGTACTTGTCAAAGACATACAGCAATCCCTACACTCACTGACTGACCGTCTTAAAGACCTCATAGCTGGGATGACTCCAGACTTCGTCAACCTTAATCAGAGGAAAACCGACGATGTTGGTCATACATACTTCAATCAACACACTTCTCACCCCAGTTTCCACCTTCATCCTGATCGTCTCCTAAAAGGTCGTATCCTCCGATCGTAGCTGATCGTAACCATTCAAGTTAACGTGTCAATTTACACCGACTTCTTTCCGTTCCTCTGCGGATCGCCGGACTCCTCAGCTGATCACAAGAGTTCTATTTTTTCTGGACGCCGGAGCATGGCGGATAAATTCAGCACAGATTATTTTATAGTAGTTATATTGTAGTTCTTGGGAAAAAACATGGACGAATTTTACGAAGCGATCTATCACTACTTATTAAAGTGGACATACGACAGTCGGACTGCTGCCTCTTTTAGGAAATGTGGAATAAAAACAAAACTATCTATTGATAAATGAAGATCCTGCATAAATTTGTTTTTCTTTAGAAAAGTAAACATTTACAATTAAAACCATCTGAAAATTACAGTCCTGTAAGTTGTAATTCTCTGTATCATATGAAGAGAAAGTTTTGAGGTCAATTGAACGAACAAATGGAAATAAAGAAAATCACGAGGGGCTTTTACCGAGCAGAGTCATGAAGTCGCATGTGGTTAATTTCGAGAGTTTTTCGGGTTGGATCGAGTGTTTTAGGCGCTTCTAACTCAGTAAGTCCACGTGACACAAACTCAAACTTACAAACGAAACCGCAGACATTTGAAGGATTTTATAAACTCCCCCGGACAAAACTGGACAGCGCCCCCAAAAAGAGGACATGTCCAGGTAAAAGAGGACGTATGGTCACCCTAACTTATTAAATGGAGTGCAATGTAGTTTGTCTGAGTAGACTTGCCGTAGTGTGACAGCTTCAACAGGCGCTGGGGCCTGAACACATCTAGTACCGACACCTGCACTCGTGAAGTGGACACGGGTTTCTTATCGGCCTGGTTTCATAATCAGGCCCTGAAAAATCCCAGAATTAGTTTCATGCAAAAACGTAAAAACAAGAAAAAGCACAATAACCTGTTAATTTAGAGTAGGACTAAAATATAATTTGAAACATTGCATTTATATTCATACATTCAACAAACCAGAATCTTCAACACAAGAAGTGCCTGAGTGTTAAAAAGGAACCAAAACAACAAAGGAGAGATTTT